GATACAGTTTTACCAACTACACGCACCGTGTTCCGTGTACAAACCGGCTGCGCAGGCAAAACTGTGGTGAAGCTCGTGCGTGTGGTAGGCCCATTAGATTGGTCCTTTGCTCGACCGCATGGAGACCATTCATTAATCTATGGTATTGCGTATTTGCGACACAAATCCTTTAGACAATTCAAAATATATATTTGAGGTTTGAGTGAGTATATTTTATTTTCCTCTATATAACAGCATACAATACATAAAAGGGATATCAGAAGGGGCTCTCATACAGGAAACCTTTTTTCACGGCGTTTTTCACTTGAAGAATCATTGTTTTTTATTAAATGTGCAGTTTTGTAGTTAGGAACCCACTGCGTGCGAGTTTGGCTTCGTGTGTTCTATTAGAATTTCTTTTTAACTTGAAATTGTATTTCAAATGTGCAATTTTCTGCATTTATACAGAAATGTTTCGCGGCTAAAAAAACTTGATAAAAAATGGGTATTTTTTATCAAGTTTTTTAGCCAGCTGTATTTCCTATGACTTGAACGATACCTAGTCCTAGTCCGATTCATAAATTGGCCGGGTTTACTTGATGATATATACAAGTAAACACAAAAAAATACTCTCTTTGAAAGTTTGAACTATCTGAATTATTGTAATTCAAAGAGACAATTTGAATTGTCTGAACTGTTGCTGTTTATTTGTTCTCATCGGGTTTGAGTTTGCTTAATATAGTCTTCCTTTACAATCCGGGTCTGCTTCCATTGAAACAAGTTTCACCAAAAGCCTTTTGTGTTTCGCCACCGGACGTCTCTACAACTAAAATGGTTCGCGATCTGTATGACAAGATTTACTTAACACACTCTTGGCACTGTCGAAACTGAACTTTGCACTGGACTAGACTTATGTACATTGCACACTTTAAGATTTTATTACTACTTTTATTTGCAGTTAAGTTTATTGCATTCAGACGTGCTAATTTCACTTGCCAGTATTTAGTTATTATGTATTACACAAAACGCAACAAATACCATACCAACTAAGTCGTCGATGTCTAATTAATATAACATATTAATAGTAATTTGTTCTGTGGGTTCAATTTCTCCAACTTCTTGTAATGGCCCAATTCAAGAAGTCGGAGGGTTCTAGGAGGGGTCTCTACCTGGCAGAATCTTGTTGCTCCGAAATTCATTTGGCATAATTTTCTTTAAACGACTATTTCTAAGGTTTTTTTTATATAATTACTGTTTGGCCGAATGTTATATGTCCGAATTCACAATGGCATACTTTTAAGATCGCAGAATTTAATTAGACCTTTGGCAAAATTTTATTCAACGTTATTTCGTTAAGCATAACGTTAATTTATGGTAGTGGGTTAGGTTAGGTTAGTGTTGTGACCTGAATTTAGCGCGAGCCAAGCGAGCAATGCCAGCGTGCCGCGGCAGCAGCTGACGAAGCGCCAGTCATCTTATATAATAGATAAATAAAATAAGGAAAAGTTAAATATTTGTTTGAAATATGTGCCAAAAGACGACTGATTGTGAACTTTTTGCAATATGATGGTTTTTCTTTTTAATTAAAGTGAATATTAAAATGCCTAAATATGATTCTCGCTTACAAAATTGTGCGTCTGAATGTTTGCTAAATGAGTACATGCCAAATTGCCAAACGATTGTCTGCAAAATGAAGTTTATGCCTTCCGCATATGCATAATACTATCATGACAAACGAAATCTGCGATACAAGGTAGAACCCTCTTGAATTAAATGTTAGATTAAAATGGTAGTTTTAACAATCCGTATATATTTTCATATATTAATAATAATCAGCAATAGATATGAAAGCACTACCAGTAGTGGAGAATAAAAAAAATGTAAATAATGTTATTTATCAAATACACAGCCGAATAAGAAACTTTTTGTATTTATTCCCTTTATTTTCGTAGCATAAACAAAATAAAATTCAAGCACAATGATAATTTATACTTATTATTTTTTTATGAGTGACCTTCTTTGCGTTTTGTTTCGCCATTTGGATTTCTATATATTGGCTCGGATGTCGTAATGTCGTAACCCGTCCATCGCCTCAACCACGCCAACACGCCCCATAGTTCTGCGCACAAAATTCTAATTTAAAAGCCTTCGCTTATTCATTCAGAAGTTACGTCATCATGTTTGCGACTATTATATGCAAAAGCTGCGTGGTTTTCTTTAGGATCAATGGCACATTATTTTATTACATTAAATACAACGATTATGTGCACATTATTATTGCCAGTCTATTAATGCCCCCACTATTGGGGCACAGGACTTTCCTATAGATGGAATAGGTAGAAAGTGCCATACAGGACCCACCACGCAAGGTCAGTACGGTTTGATGTCTACTAAACGAATGTAGCCGGGGCCAATATCTTAACGACCCCTAGCACAAAATATACTGATTTTAAAACACTTTGTTTTGGTCACCATTCTAATTACCGGACATGCGAAAGGTGCTTAACATCCACTGGACATCGAGCTCCCCCATCCAATTTTGTAGTCATGGCTGGGAGACCCTGTGACATTTTGTTATAGTTAATTCTGTATGAATAAATATCTTTAATATAGAACCCAAGAAATTATTGAAACAAAATATAATAAAACAGCAGCTATTCACCTGCACCATAATAGCAATCCTCGGAATTACCAATACAGGTCCCACAAGACTACTAACTTATGGATGAGTCATCTTGCAATTATTCAGTCTTATAATAGCCACACAGCTTATTTTTAAGCGAACGCAGCAATAAGTACACTGTTTATGGACATATTAGCGGCCGCCCGCGACTTCGTCCGCGTTTACTTTAGTTTTTTCAGAATCTCTCAGGAATACAACATTTGTTTGGGATAAAAAGGTCGTATGTCTTAATCCAGGTGATAGACTATATATGTGCCAAATTTCATCCACATTCGTTCAGCCGTTTTGATTGAGTATATCAAATATATATATTGGATGGGTGACCAAAAATCTAAAAATCTTTTATCTCGAGTTCCTCTGTGCTTCGGAAGGTTTGTTAAGTCGTTGGTCCCGGTTGCACCTGCAGTCGTTAGCACCCGCCAATCCGCACTGGGCCCGCGTGGTGGATCATGGCCCAATCTCCCTATTCCATCCATAGGAAAGGCCTGTGCCCCAGCAGTGGGGACATTAATAGACTGATGATGATGATGATATCAAATAAACAAACTCACTTTCGCATTTATGATATTAGTTGGGATTTTAAGATTATCTTATTCTAATTCAACATGAGAGCATCGGTCCTCTTGTTTGAGAAAGATAAAAATAACAAATTAAATAATTTATTTGGGTATTAAAATAATAGGGGCAATACTTTTGAAATGATTAATAGTCGGATGGTTATTTTATCCGCCAATGTAACTAGGTCGGAAATTATTCTCTCACGGTCTCACCTCAAACTTTACGAATTTTGCAAACTTGCTAAATCCCATAAGAAACCATAATTTATGTATCTTTGAAGAAATTTATAACATTTATTCACCATAACCGATATAAATGTTTTCCTCTTTTAAAGGTGAGATCAAAAGAATACCATAGCGCATAGCATTCAACAAAAAGGCCTGTAAATTTTTAATTAAATTCCATATTATGTTCAGTTCTGATGTTTGTCACTATGCAAATCTCGTAAGTGCATGACTCAACGATGTGGAAGTGTCGTTCGTTCCAAACGTGTTTTGCTTTGCACCATCTGCACTCACGAGTAACAGATTATTATTGAGAGTTAACGCCCTTATTCTAACACGTACAAAGGCCTATATCCTGCCACTAAATAGAAACACCACTTGGTTAATTAGACGAAATGATTTAGCATAGAGTGCTACGTCTATCATCACAACAATGCGCACTAAAATTGCTTACTACGCCTGGCCTGTTCTCATTACCCACAGCGCTATTGCGTTGTGTAACTTTGGTGTTATTTTCACACTGTCTGGTTTTTGTCATTTTAAGCAATTTTAGAATAATTTAATAATTTACTGGCTGCAAGAGAATTTTGAATCGTGAGGGAATCGTCCTTATATTTTGACGTTACAGTCGTAGAGGTATCACTTCTTTCTTTATTCTGTGGGTATTACACAATAACACATTGAATTTTGACAGCGTATCCTTTTAAATAAAAATGATATGATATACAACATTAAAATCTGTAATTTCAGCTTTTATCTGTAATTTGTTGTGACTGAATTTCGATTCTTAATATTTTTATATATGTTGACTTTATCTGATTGTAATTCTTCGTATAATGCATTAATTTTAACCGGGACATTGTTAATTGAATGTATTTTTTTTATCTTAGTTAGAAAGTTTTTAAACGCTTTTTCATTGACAGTTTATCAGCATTTGCTGCTTCTATTTTATAACGCATTTTGTCTAAACCTTTAATTATAATAACATTAAGCTTAAGCACTTTATCATTACCTGCTTGATTGTTGTATGTCTATTATGTTGGTGATCAAATAAATAAATAAAAATATTACATATACGAAAAGGACAATTTAAGAAGAAAGGTACAAATATTCTTCTAAATAAATTGTGTGGCATAGGCGTGAGAGGATTGTTAAACGACAGGTTTGCGTTTAATCTTAAAAATCGAAACCAATAAGTATATAGAAATACAATATCACGATCAAAATAAAATAACAAAAAATAGATATATGCCCGAAGGTTTTGCAATCGGATTTGCGTTTTTAATATATTAATTAATAACCTCCCTATAATAGATACGTTGGGTTGGTCATTATTAGCTGACGACATATCGACTTAAGACCCTTTTAAAAACAAAACCAACTTAAATACAAGTTTAGAGAATTCATTACTTAAAGTAGACAAAGGGTTAACTGATAGATTGCGTTAATCTAAAATTTACAACAAATAAACTCATACATTTCAGTCCATAACAAAGACAACAATTAAATGTAGATACCTCTTAATAATAAATAAGAATGTGTTTATAGCTACTCACTTTAAGAAATACTATCGATACAATAAATATAAACTGGAAGAGTCCCTTCAATAATATAGTGATGGCTGAAAAACGGTGTTTTGCCTTTAAACAGGCAAATGTTTAGCCTTGGCCTTTTGCTTTCTGCAGCATACATATCATGGGTATTCATGGCTGATTTCTTGTATTTTTTATTATTTTTTTCTATTGTGTTACTCTGAAATGTTTATGAATGTTGTAGAAAATAATAAACGTATTATCTATCTATCTAATATAGCTGCATAGCTGTGGAGTTTCACGTACGCGTTATTATACGAGCTCAAAATATGCACAAATAAACAAACCGTATTAAGTGCATACTATCCATATCACTACGCTCCACGCTCACGCAGTGCGACTTTATCTTGTAGGGAAACAGCACGGACGTAGCAAAAAATCCTGATCCCGATCAAAATTTTGTATCAATTTTTATTTATACAATACCATTATTCTATGTAATAATATATTATAATAATATTATTATATGTAATTCTATCTTTGAAATGTTGCGCTTGCGATGCCCTCACAGGAATCATGTTTTGGTACAAGAAATACTCATTGTACAATCTATACAATAAATTACATATTATAAATAAATACAAATTATATATTCGATTGTATATAATTCCGAAAACAGGCCCTATAAACTGGCTTTGTAGGTTTTTACATTTCAAATCTTTTATCATTTATCAAATCTTTGATCTAATACAAAATTCTGAACAGTTCCGATTTAATTCATGAAAACGTAGTTGAAACTCTTTTGGTGATGCACTATAAAAGAAAGATGGAGATAAGAGCTGTCTTATTTATCTGTGTTTATCATACCAGTTGCAAGAAAAACCTTAATTGTTTAAATAACAAACAGCTACTGAACAATAATTAAGTACATATATTAAAACCCGTTAAATTAGACTTTTCTTTAAACGCTGTGCTGCATATGGAGGAGCAGTTTCCTCCATTACGTTGTATGCAATATATAGAACCTAACCATCATGATTATAATAGTCTCAGTTCATTGTTATTTGAATATCCGTGAAACATGAGTACAATATTTAAGTAGGCTGACGTATTCTCAATAGCTACGATGTTATGGTTACCTACCTATTTGTATGACTCCTATAGTATTATGTACACTTTGACAGCGATCATTGTAATGCGTCGAATACCTTTTCGCGTTTTAATTTCCTCTATTTATCTTCCTACGGGGACTACGACTATACTAGTAAGAGAACATGATTGTTTAAATGTATTGATTGCTCTATTATGTGTCACCTAGGACATAAAACGAACTCCTACTAAATAAGTCTACGTCAACAGTACGTATGAAATATGTATATCTGTAGTGTTATTCAATCAGTACGATTTGTTTAAACATGAACCAATGAAATAGAAACATTTCCTTAAAACAGAATTTATTTCTATTTTAATATAATTATTCTGTTTTTTCTTTCTCAAAAGTTGTTATTAATAAATCAATTTATCAGATAATCTCATTTATAAATATATCGATCATCATCGAGTCGATATCAAATGATATACATAACTGTATCATTCCTCACATTTATTATGAATCATCGGTGATAACATATCAGTTCAACAATAATAAACATCTATCATACTTGCCTTATTGGAAAACTATAACTGTTATAATAAACCACATAACAACAATCACAACAGTAACACAGAAATATACACTTTATCACAACAGTGTTTGTAAACGAAATCCAATGTTTGCCGGGTTCGAGCACATGTTGCGAAGTGTAGCGGGTTCGAGCAGCGTGCAGCTCGCCGTGGTGTCTACTAATAACTGGTCGGCAATGCCATGCCGGTTTGTTATCTCGCAAGGACTTGTCTCATGGAACGCAAAGCCGTAACACTTGAGCAATGCCAATTTAAAAAATACAAATCTTATAATAGAAAAAGTCATTATCCATGCTGTGTTACAGCTAAGACAAATCGCAATTAAACACAAAGGACTGCTATTTTTATTATTAATTCTTGGACATGGCTATGGACTGTAGGTTTTAAAATGTGAAGGTCTCTCGCCAAAGAAGTCATATTTATTTTTTATTACATGCCTAAGTATTATCTTTATAGATGATATGACATAAAGTTTTGTTTTGAAAATTACTATATCTTCATATTTTTTTAAGAAAGAGCAACGTAACAAATGACAAATTATTTATCCTAAAGAATTCAAGATAGAAAAACTCGTCTCGATTTCCTTGGGGCCTCTGTCAAATAACTTCAAATAAGCTGTTAATAATGTAAGAATCAAAAACATGTCGAGATGAACGCGTGCCTTACGTTCGTATTTGTGATCTCATCAAATCAATCGTCGTCATCCGGCCCTGATGGCCATTCACAGGCTATGCGTCACCAGTTGGTTTCGGAGAGTTCCAGGGTCCTAACTAACAAATACTATTTTTTAATAGAGAAACGTTCTTGACATTTTTAAAATGTAACCTTTATAATTAAAAAGGTATTTTATTCAGATTCCGCATACATGAAAAAGCTCTAGTTTTTGGCAAATTTTGGAGTACTTAACGTTTCTGGCCCTTTACGATTGCGTGGTCACCAACTGCAACTGAGATGCTAATATCGAAACCCGTTTAGGAAACAAAGTTTTATTTCATTAATAGATAGATACTTTAATAATAAATCAATAAAATAAAAGTTTTTTCCATAGAATAACTATTTCCTCGTAGCATGCTACATGTACATTATATTTGTTTATACCTATATTTTAAGTAATTTATCAAAAAAAAATAATGACGTGATAATGTGACTTTAAGTCGAACTACGTTGCGAAATTAGTGGCATGATATATTAAAACATAATTCCGTGACATTTTCATCAACAATTTTAGATGTATACAATGTTTGCCGCTACATCATTCGCATTTTCCACAAATCAAGAAATAAATACTATTTGCAATAATCGTTTGAAATAATTTGATTTATTGAATGATGTTAGTTTTCAACGTTGCAATTTGTAGGTAATCGATTAAATTCAGCTGCATATTCTTCACAGATTTCGTGTTTGCGTTCATGACCCTTGAGCTGACCTTCTAAATATTGCCTTGAATTTCGTTTAGAAGTAAGTGCACTTAGCAGTTATTAGATTCAATACCTAGTTACAAATTGAGGAGCTGGCGAACGAATAGAACGGTATAATTACATAAAATTAAATTTTACAGGAGCTGTATAAAACTAAATGACATACATACAGAGCTTTTGGCATGTTTTTTTATTTATAAATTTAGTAATTTTAACACTGTTTTTGATTGAAAATTATTTGAGATTCAAATTCAACGGGCCCGAAACCTCCGGACTGTAAAATAAGTAGTTTGACCAGCCCCTCTAGCATGACCACCGAAACGGGATATGATAAAGCGATATATCGGCATTAACTGTCAGACTACTATGGAGTTTGACAGTAGTCTGTCAGCTAATGTTGATATATCGCTTTATCATATCCCGTTTCGGTGGTCATGCTAGAGGGGCAGATGCGTAATTATATCGTTTCTTTCGCCAGCACCTCAATTTATTTATGCTCATTTGCTAAAATTATTATTAGCGATTAACTATTTTTTCAGTAAAATCCCTGGACCTCCAGACCTTACCTATTTTCTGACACAATATGTAATTTAGTACTGCCAGACAGGTAAATATAAGGTCGCAGACTAAATAAGGTTGTGTTTTTTGCTTTCGACATTTAAAGTGAGTGAAATGACAAAATGTGTCTGGCAGTATTTATTTCATTTTTTTTTCAATATTCTCTACAAGATAAGTTAATTGAGTAAAATTCTTACGTACTTTTACCACCTGATACCCGAGAATCGGCCTATGGGACAAGTTAGCAAGTATGTACTCGTTCATTGTACACAAATACTACTCGATTGGACACGTTTTGTCCATCATAAAATAGGTCAGGTCTGGTGGCCTTAGGATCATGTACTTTTTATTTGAACTAATACATGAGTCTGACTTATTTATTAAATTCAAAAATGTTATCCGTTCAACTGTTGCTTTTGCAACTTTTTTAGAAGTATAATGAAACTTTTGTAGTTAACCTTCATTTCAAACTGTGGTCACCATTATTTACCGTTCACCGCGTGCTTAACAATTACTGCTTATTCTTAAGCAAGCATAAGTATTAATAAAGAAAGAAATCAGCTAGATTCTATCGGAAAACATTGGAGTTGGCAATCTGTCACTATTGTTTGCGAATAACCAAGAACTACTGATGTCATTTATTGCGTAGGTTGTTGTGAAAATATGGTAGGTGCTATTATATTTTACAAATTTACACTACTTATATTTTATTATGACGCAGAACAATTATTGTTTTACGCTTTATCATGTACCTAGGTAGGTAACAGGAATTATGGAACTAAATAATATCTGCGGTTAATTAAATATTTAAATTATAATATTATTTAAAATAAGTTTACTAAGCATTATTCATTCAAAGTGATTAATTTGTTACGTACCTATATATAAAGTATTACTAACGTTATTATTTTAATGTTAAAATTGTATTAAATGAAACAGATGATCTCACAATTACTCAATTTAATAAAACAACCGCTCTAATATTTTGATTTGTCACAATTACTGTTTACTAATCAATAAGATTAAATAAAAACGTGAGTGCCGTGGAACACTCGGTCGAAACGTAGGTAAAAATAATTATATACCGTACTGGGCCCGCGTGGTGAGTAATGGACCAATTTTCCTATTCCATAAAAAAAATATCCTACCCACCAAACCGGACTAGGGCCGCGTGGTAGCCCACCAATCCGCATTGGGCTGACTTGGCGAGTTATGGCCCAATCAGTGGCGGACTAAGCCCGTCAGAGGCCCGGGGCGGCAAAGGTGAATGAGGCCCCCAGCTTTTAAGAAAATTAGTTTTTATCTTTACTTCGTTCAAATCTGGAAAATGAAATTTAAATTCGAATTAAATTATTTCGGTTAAATAAATATACACACCTACAATATATAATGGATATGAGTGAGAAAAATAAAAAACGAACCGATCGACAAAAAAAAGAGATAAAATAAATTAAATCAAAGATAGTTTTTTTATTTTTTGTAGCGTGTTATATGTGTTTTCGTGACGTCAATTAACTGAACTCCTCAATAACTTCTTTGAAATCTATTATTCGGATTCGGATTATAATTTGTAAGCTATTATATAGTTTTTTCAAATACTTGAAAATGCACTAACTCAACTCTGAACTCATTTACTTTTATACCGCAACAAAAATCAAAAACACTATTACACTTTCTAATGAAATTAATTTGAACGGGTAAGATCGCGTATATTACTTTACAATTTGAAAAAAGGCTTATTCGTTCATGAAAATATCGGACACTAATGAACTATTAAATATCAACGTAATGACTTTTAATACCTATATATTTAATGAGGCCAATGTTTATTTTTCGACGTAAATATAATGTATTGAATGTAAATGTAGGCGTACAAGAGTGAATTATTTTCATTTCATTCATTCAGGGATTCCTGAGGAAGTACCCGCTACAAAGACGGGAATTCCCCCAGTGTATTGGACACGTTCAGCCAAGTTAAAAGAATATTAGTACACGGGGTACTAGAAGTCTAGATAGCTGTAGTGTTTTGATCTTGATGAAATTATGTAGGTAATAAGCACATTTTTAAAGTCTTGTTTAGGATTTGATCAGGGGAACGCGGAGGCATTTGGGGGCCCTCCCAAGACCGGAGGCCCAGGGCGGGCCGCCCCTTCCGCCCCCCCTGTTAGTCCGCCACTGGGCCCAATCTCCCTATTCCCTCTTAAAAATATCCTATCCAATAATCCTCACTGGGGACGCATGGTGGCCCACCAATCCACACTGGGGCCGCGTGACGAGTTATGGCCCAATTTAGTTATTCCGTCAAAAAAAAATAACCACCCACCAATAGAGAGTTAAGAATCATTTACTTACGCATTCGACACGGTAAACTTAATCTAGGAATACACATCTGCCTAAATAGTCATAATAAAAGAAATTTAAGAACGAAAATCTTTTAATTGAAGGCCAAATAATAAATTTCGATTTTCATTTCATTTATAGTATTATGTGCTGGTACCGCTATACATTTTAACATATATACCTACCTATAAATAATTGGCTCACATGGTGTTGCGTAATCGTGAAAGTGGACTATTGTAATTCATCAGTTACATTGACTGGCGCAGATGTGACAAGAATTCAGAGTGCCTTTTTTGACGTTCATTGTATTTTAATTTGGCTGCTGCGTTGTCCGTGATTGAGCACCGACAAAGTAATCGGTGCGTGCATCAGTTCCGGTGATTCAGTACGGCGCAGTGTTATGCTTTAATAGTTTGGCGCTAGATTTAATGTGCAATACCGAAACATTGTTTACGCAGCTATTTGCGATAAGACTTTGTAGAAGGAAACTATTGGTATATCTTCTACACTATTAATTAGCAACCTTACGTGTTACAAGAAAATAAAAGAGTTCTTCAAAATAGACCATACTTCCCAAAGGGGCTATCCAATTTATCTGATAATCCACAATGCCCTACTTTTCTTTAAAACAGTTGGTCTGCGTGTTCTTTTGTATTATCGATAATAAAGATAAATCATAAACTCCATGTAATCCATAATGAAGGTAGTAAGTAGGGTTAAATTACAAAGCACACAAAGATGCTATAATTTTATTTATTTGTTGCAGTTAACGGACATAGTGAACGCTATGTCGTCCCGTGGCGAGTTGCCGTTGGAGTTGGCGTTGCGTGGACGCAGTGCCTCCATCGCCACCACGTTACTTCAACACTGCGCCGATGCGGACTCACGTGGACCGAGAGGACGCACCTTGCTGCATAGAGCGGTCGACGCCAGAGACGCGTTCTCCGCTAAATTTCTCATCGAAAATGGAGCCGACCCAAACCTTACTACGAAGTGAGTGCTGGAATTATTGATGTGAAACAAATAATAGCGTGACTTGGCAGTAAAACCATTCTTACCGTAATAGAAAATGGCATAATGCTCTATGTCAGCATACCCTTCCGAACTCGCGCCTCTATGTCATCATACTCCTCCGTACTCGTTATTTTTTTAATTCATTATACATTCTTTGGATGCATTACTCACCACATGATTTCTGCCAGCGCAGAGTATTTTGAAAATCAGGGCTATATTTAAGGCAGGGCAGATGTGACTGTAGCCCAAGTCGTAGGGACTAACACGATAAAAATTAATCAAATTCCGACGGGCCACTCACCAACCTGGGGGTATGCAAATCGTAAAATACGCCCTCGTTAGGGGCCTTCACACCTTCGTTGCCTCATTGCCTCCACATCTCTAAATCCAGCAATGGCCAAAATGTAATCGTATTATTACAAGGCAGTAATTTAGTGAAATTAGGCACACATTCAACAATCGCATGACTCACGCAAAAAATATGCATATATTTGAGGCGAACAATTAATTCAAGAAAACAACATAGTGCACGTTTAATTCGTTGAACACATTTAATACTTCTTTTATAGCTGGCATAGTTTCGTATGGTTTTGTTTAGTAATATTTAATGATCACCAGTTTTTTATAATACACTGGTTGTTGTGTAAATAGCAACTTACATAATTATGATATTGTCATTAGCTTCTCACATGCGTTCCCAATTGGAATAACCTCGACATCTATGCACTTCAAAGCTCTTTGTCAAGTCTCAAATATTATCAGAGACAAAGCATATACATACTTTAATTTCGAAACGTTGTTCGATCTAACCAAAACTAAAAAGTTCACGTCATCAGATTACTCGAATAAAGCATTCGCACCAAATGTTCGTGGGGAAAGAAAGAAAGAATTGGGAGTAAATGTATAAATTTACGTGATATTTTTAAATACTACCTATACATAAATTCTTGGGCACAGATCTTCCATGATGGCATAGGGAGAATGTGCCATTTTCCACATCCTACCACGCAGGCCCAGTGCAGAATGGTGGGTGCTAACCACGCAAGTGCAGCCTGGACCAACGGCTTAACGTGCCTTCTGAAGCACGTAGAAGCTCGAGATAATATTTTTCTGATCACCCATTCCAATGATCAGCCATTGCGAAAGTTGTTCAAGTTCCACTATCGCAGATACAGAACATAGAAAGAGTTTAGAAGTATGATTATACACCGTTTGTGCGGGAACCGATGTCGCCGGCTCACCCCCACCACACTTCCACCTAAATATTCTACATTAACTTACAATAGGAAGAATAAATATACTGTTTAATTCTATTGGAAATAGTCAAAATCTTTTGTAAGGGGATAAACGAGGCGCTCAAAAATTACGATAATTGCAAAAAATGTGAAAGGACTTAAAGTTCGTGCTTGGACCTTAGTATACATTTTTCACACAAGACCTTACGTAGTCGCATTCCCTAGAGAAGTTGATTTTTTTAAAGTGTACCTACGTTTACCGGTTGTTTCGTTTAACAGAGAGGAGGGTGACACAGCGCTTCATCTCATAGCGGCTCTTACGTCCAGCTCATGCGACGAGGACACTATGGAGCAGATGGCGGAAATATGCGAGACCATGATTGAGAAAGGAGCAGACCTAAACAGACAGAATAGAAAAGGATTGTGAGTATTATCAGAGCGGTGTTTTAAATTGTTTTTTTCGGTGGTCATGCTACAATGAAAGAATGTGCTGAATTCTTATTCACCCCCCCCCCTCTCAATTTTATTTTTAAGCTAAAAAATATGACTTGTCGTTATTTCAAAATTTACATCCATACCATAATTCATAAAAATCAGTTCAGTGGCTTAGACGTAAAATCGTAACAGACAGATGCAGCGATATTTACAGAAACGAGCTGGTACTAGCCTTTTTTGCCATGGCCCGGAGTAACCGTGCTATGCTGTGGTGTAGTTACTCCGGCCAATGGCAGCCCTCCTTCTTGTAAACCAGCTTTCCATACTTGTCATTGGTCAATTGTGTGAACTTGTATTTGTAAACACAATAAATAATTAACATGATATGAAAAACCATACTTTGATAATGCTTTTCAAGAGAGCGATGTTTTCAGCACTCCTCTACACCAAGCAGTGATAGCGAGGAATCAGAGGATATTCGATATATTATTGAAACAGTCCACATTGGACACAAACCTTCGAACCATTGCCGACGAACATCCGCCCTTGTACTACGCTCTAGTAGACGACAGGCGAGCGTCAATATCCTCCAGCGAAACTTTAGTCATGAACGGTTCGAATCCTTTCGATACACCGGTGACGAACAAAAACGCCTTTGCTGAGGATCCAGTGGAAGGCAAGAATGAGACCATTGTAGAGCGCGGCTTCGCAGCTAAACTGCTGCAAAAAGGTTGTCAGCCGAATCCGGTGTACTCGGGCTCTGGTGACAGCCTACTACATATTTTAGCTCAGGGATGGTTTGAGGTAAGTTAGTTTTAGATTTTATTGTTAAATCATTCTTAATTCTCAGCTAGATATTTTGTTGAAAGATTACACAAAATTTCAGGGACCTTGTTTCTTTAGCTGTATAGAATTTATTTCTAAATATACATGGAGCACCCCACTAGAGTCCGTATACAAGGGTAAGCGCTTATACCAAGCTTATGTAGTATTTTACCTATGCGTGAGGCACGCCCACAGACGTCGCGATACATCGTTTCATTCGGTAACTGAGCGTTAGGGCACGTTTATATGACACAGAATGTCACAGCGTGGCGGCTGCGCGGCGATAGTACAACAGCGGCGCGGCGGCCGCGCTGTTCGCAGTGGCGGGGGCACCGGGCGAACCCGATTCATTTCCTTGATCTTTCTTAAAATTCACACGTCGTGTTCGCTATGGGCTATTTGACTAAGAATAAGAAAATTATGATTGCATATTACTTGTACCGACAAAGCAAAAAGAAAAAAATAAGAAATGTAGAAGATCTTGGATTTATCTAGCACGGCGAGAAGAGTTTGGTGAATTTCATACGCTATACAACCAACTGCTAGAAGATGAAAAATAATTCGCAGATTATTTCCAAATGGATGTTAAAACATTTGATACATCGAGAACTTTCGAGTGATCCGAGCGAGGCGGCCGCGCGGACGCCGCGCGTTCGCCGCGCAGTTAGTTTCAACAAAGAATTTCAACGCTTAGTCCTAGTTAATAAAACATCAATTTGCTATAACTGAACAGTAAGTACGCGGTAACAGCGCGGTCGCCGCGTGGCGGCCGCAATAAATTTTTCACGTCGTCTAACTGCAGCCTTAGTCGATGTGTTTCTTTAGTTTTCGTGTTAAAAAACTGTAAAAAATGTCGTACTGTACAATTAAATAGTGTAGAAAGTGGAGTAAAACATCCAGTCTTCAAAAAGATGGTATTACTTTTCACTGTGAAGTTTAATTGAATTACAAAAGGACAAAATTATACTCATATATTAAATTGCTGTTAATTGTATTTATTTTTTGGAGAACTCGTTGATGTCTTTTTACAATTATCCCTTTCTCGCATGTGCTGTACATATGCTATCCCGCTCTCACATCGGCACGTGTATTGCTAGCGACGTGACGCAGCTCATGTCTCAACCCGTAAATTTATCGATAAGTTTGTCAGCTATGGAAATGGAAAAAATAAATAATAACTATTTATTTCATCGTATATATGGAAAGTGGCTTCATGAGTTACCTCATATTGAAGTAATTTTTCAATTTGACGACTCTGTGTATAATACAGAGAGAGAAAAACAGTCGAGTTCCTTCCCGAGTTTCTTGTCGGTTCTTCTCAGTACAAGGTCTCCCGCCGTAGAAATGCAACACGATGGCGTAGCTTTTCGACGTTCACAAGTGCTTGTAACAGCCTAGACTGAATAAACGATATTGTTTTTTACTAGAAAAAAATCCACGCGGACCAGGCAGCGGACGGGACACGAACCCGCATCCTTCGCTATCCGGGCGAATGCACTGACCATTATGCTACCACGGCCCTATTAGCCGCGTCGAAATTTTCCTAGCCTTAAGCTGCAAGGCAGCGCCATCTCTTCGTCCCATTAATAGATAAGTTAGATTTAAACATCTAGCAGTTAAATGCTTAAAAAATAAATAAAATCATAGATATTGTTTTTTTTATGATAAAAAATCGAAAAAGTAAGCCGTAAAAACCTGAGTTGAGAATGATTGCTTTAACATTAAATTTCTATTTAACTAAGACCTATCAATACGTTAGAAAAACCTTTAATACCTGAATGCCCTCAGTTAAAACTTTATCTAAGTAGTACCACTAACTATTGATGGTCGCCCTGGCTTAACTGAAGAAGCATTTATCGCCATTAAAATGAAGGCAGAGCAATTACAAAGTCATATATTGTATGGGACATTCGTTTTCGACGAAATGAAAATTAAAAACAAGGTCGAATATGTCCAAAATTCGCGAAGAACATATGGGTACGTCGAATTTGACAGTGGGCTTATTAATGAATTTACTGAAGCTCTAGTGTTTCTCGTTGCCCCATTCAATGAAATGTTCAAAGTGCCAATAGGTTACTTTTTGGTAAATAAAGTAAATGCCGATCAAAAAGCAGGCATGCTCAGGCAAGCGATCCATCTATGTGACGAAGTCAATTTCAAAATCAAAGCTGTAACTTTTGACGGCTGTCTGGTAAATCTTGCTTTGGCAAAAAAGCTTGGTTGCAATTTAGACCTATTTAATCTAAAAACCACTTTTACTTTAGATAACAGCGCCGAAATTGCAATCTTCTTAGATCCGGTTCACATGGTGAAACTCATAAGAAACAGCTTTGAGTTTTATAAAGACTTTGTTGACGATCGAGGCAATCTTATAAAATGGTCACACATTCAAGCATTGCACAGATTACAAGAACAGGTAACTTTTCATATGGCCAACAAACTACGAGCTGAACATTTGAGTTTTAAAAATAATATTGAAAAGGCAAAATAAGCAAATCAATTGTTCAGTAGAAGACTCGCCACGACTTTGCGTTTCTGCAGATCAGAACTGCAAATTGATGACTTTAAAGATGCAGAACCTACTGCTAAAATGATTCAGATTTTGAATGATCTGTTCGACATTTTAGACTCCAAAGATTTAAACAAGACATTTTAGTTTAAAGAGAGTCATAAGAAAAGAAAATTATCCGGAAATCTGTCCAAAAATGGATAAAAACAAACGCATGCTACTATCACTTATGATACGCAGTACAACTAAAACTATAAAATTGGGTAAAAAAACTATAAAAAAGAAAACAAATCGATATCAGAGAAGTACTTGTTGTACGTTTTTGGCAACCTTACCGTCATATCATTTTCCTCGTAATTTGTACGCACAGATGTTACATGAAAAAGTTGCGTGTGGCGTGTTCTTTTTGGAGCGGGAGCCTTTAAGAAAACTATTCTATTTATCAATTCGGTGCAGTCCAGTACACCAGAACAAACATCGAACAAACCATCATGACCCGCATGCGTCGCCTGTCATCAAGAGTAATGAGACCGTATATGCTACATGACTCCCGATACCCATTGGATTTATTTTTAACTCTAAAGTTTAGATATTTTACGAATTTCATTTGTATCCGTTTAATGGCGCGTTCGTGTGTTATGTACTGTGGATTCCACACGGTGCTACAGTACTCAAGGGTACTTTGAGCATAAGCATAATACAATAGCAGCGTCCTTGAAATCCTTCGTAACTGAAAATAAATCCTAAATTTTTATAAGCCGTGGCGGTTACATCGTTAAAATGATTGGCGAATGTCAATTTTGAATCCAAAGTCACCCCTAGATCCCTCACAAAATTCACTTTAGTCACTATTTCATTATTAAGTTTAAAATCATACAGAACAGGATTGTGGCGTCTTGTGATTTAATATGCACGCATTTTGCCGTGTTAAATGTTATCCTGTTTCTTATATAATACTCTGAAAGTCGGTCCAGATCTTCTTACAGTTTTGAACAGTCATCGTATGATTCAACTTTAATGTAGATAGAGCTGATGATACAAGTCTCTAATTTACGTCAGGGATAAAAGTATCCCTCTGATATGGTGTTAAAAATTTGTAAAAGATGTGTTTTTCTAAAGTGTGTGAATTTGCCATCCGAGCACATGACAAATGCTTAAAATCCGAACGGCGAGTAAATCATTTGGTAACAAAAACATTAAGCACCTTTACTAATGATTTGGTTCCGCATATATGGAATCATCAATTTGATTATGAAAACATCAATCATCTCATAGATTTGATAAAAAATATTATGGAAAAGTACATTAATGTGCGATTGACCTCTTTAATGAAAATAATATATCCAAGCAAAGTAATTAGACGAATATATACATTTTAAAGGCTAATGAGTGGTTTTGCTGTTTTGCCATAATCGCTGCCTAATCAATATTAATAAAAAACGTGAAATAATGTAACAGTCACTTTCAATTTTAACAATTTTGACTTTTAAGATTTAATACAATGATTTCAACAAATATGCTCAAGAAATGCATTTACGGAGGTTGTATACTTTTTTCGACAGTTCAAAATTACTGGCATACCGCATACCCCCATACATGGCACCGTGCATATTCTTTGCGTTTTTTTTTTCGATCTCCTTGGTAGTGTCTATTGCTTTTAATACATACTTTGTCTTACTTTAATACCAAAAAGAAAAAGAGACGGAAGATGTAGTCCTAATTTTCACCACACACACGTGGCACCATTAGAAATGCTCGCCATTTTCCTTTAGGAAAAAGTTTGCTTCATTACTTAAATTATGTAGGTATACTATTTCTCGTAAATGTCAAACGTTGTTTGACATTCGTGCGGATTATTATTTAAAAATTCGTGACTATGTAAGCCCGAGAGGAATCGTCTACTCGTTTGTAAAACCAACTTACCGCACGTATAATAAAATATCTTTTAACCAACTACTTAAATAAAATTAGGACCGGAGATCTGTGGGGTAATTTCCGTTGATGTTTCTAAATCGGTAATTGAGATAGCTCCTACTCTAGTTTGCATATTTAATGAATGTGTTGCATGTTGATTTTTTCATGATCTCTTGAAATACGTGTATAGCTCTCTTGAAATATCATGATGATGAATAGCATGATCTCTTGAAATACGTGTATAGCGACTTGTCTCAGGGTTTTGATTGCGATTTTCATGAAACATCACTTAAGAAACTTTACTGCTATGCATTTAGAGATACCAATCTGGATCTTATTACACCATACTTGAGGGATAGGGTTCAGGGAATTGACATCATTGGCAAAAAGTTCAGGGTTAGTTGGTGGTGAGTTTTAAAGTTACCATAAACAGCATATTATTGTCTATGCCGATATTTGTCACGTGTTTTTTTGTGTTGCTTATATATTATTTAGTATGTTGTTACTTAGTCGCCTCATGTTATTAGAACGCTGGAAGAACTTTGGTTGGAATTTTGATTCCAAACAAAATTTGGGTGATACGAACTCTAGTGGGAGTGCTCCACGAGTATATATTATAGATAGATAGATAGATAGATTAACACTTTATTATAACACCAAATACATAATTACGTAACATTCACAAACAATAATATTAACAAAATCGTTATAATTGGCGGTCTTATCGCTAAGAGCGATTTCTTCCAGACAACCACTGAGTATGAAAAGTTATACAGAGACCATAGGGGTGTTAAATGGCTTGGAATAAATAGTCACATCCATACATACAATCTACATCAAACTAAGTATCCTAATTAGACATATAAATATATATACATACATACACATATATATACATATGCATTTAATAACATATAAACATACTTACACATATATACATATACATACATACATAAACATAACATATATACGATAAAAAGTTTACACAGTAAAATCAGATTCACTGCGAAAGATAGAAATTTTTGAGCTGGTCTTTGAATATATTCAAAGACTGAGCGCGTCTGATATTAGTAGGCAACGAGTTCCAAAGCCGAACAGCTTGTACAGCAAAAGAATGGTCATAATAGCTGGTACGGTGAACAGGCATTGTAAGGGTCAGATTTTCTGATGACCTAAGGGAAAGCGATAGGGAATTTTGAAACTTAAAAAGTTCCTTGAGATAGCGCGGGGAGAAGGGATTAAACAAAATATTGTAAAGGAGTGCTAGTATGTGAGTATTCCGGCGAAGCCTAATGGGAAGCCACTTGAGCTTAGAGCGAAAATTGGAAACGTGATCATATTTGCGCAAGCCAAATATAAATCTGATACAGAAGTTTTGGATTCGCTCAAGTTTATTTAGCTGTTCCTCCGTTAAATCCAAATAGCAGGAGTCGGCGTAGTCTAGTAAAGGAAGCAACAGAGATTGTGCTAGTGCAATTTTAGTGGCTGTAGGAAGAAAGTTGCGCAATCTTCTGAGAGACGCCGCCGACGCATATAATTTGCGACTGACTGACTGTAGCTGTAGGCCCCAACTTAAAGTATTGTCGATGGTCACACCTAAATTTCTAACAGATGAACTGTACGGAATATTAGTTCCAGCAAAGTTGACCATAGGGAGAGTTTTTAAGGTAACCTTTGCCATCATTTTGGAACTACCGACTACGATAGCCTGTGATTTTGCAGGATTTACTATAAGGCCAAAAGATTTGCACCAGTCAGCGATACGTTCTAAATCTAAAGAGATAGTAGATATTGCATCATTCAACTGTGAAACGGACGCTTGGCAATACAACTGGAGATCATCTGCATACAAGTGGTAGAACGATGAAAGATTTTGAGAAATGGAGTTAATTAAAACGGAAAATAAAAGAGGAGATAAGACGCGGCCTTGTGGTACGCCAGCAGCAGTCACGCACCAAGATGAGAATTTCTCATCCAAGCGCACCCGCTGCCTGCGTCCATATAAATAATTGTGAAACCACTCGATTACCGTTGGAGATATGTTAAAAGAGCTAAGGAGTGCTAAAAGAATGTCAAAATTGACTGTATTAAAGGCATTACTGAAATCCAATAATGTTAGTACCGTTAGAAGGCCCTGTTCCATACCCAGGCGAATATCATCAGTAATTTTGACAAGAGCGGTAACAGTACTATGCCCAGGTCGGAAGCCAGATTGAAATGGGTTGTGGAGGTCATATTTAGAAAGGAATGCGCTTAATTGGTTATGTACAAGACGCTCAAGTGCCTTGGATAGGAAAGGAAGTATAGAAATGGGACGGAATTCGGTGACAGATTTAGGATTAGGCTTTTTAGGTAAAGGGATAATTTGAGCGTCTTTCCATGCAGAAGGGAAGTCACCCTCAGTCAAGGAACAATTAAAAATGAAGGAAATGACTGGAAGGATGAAATCAAGAATCGGCATCAACATATTGCGACTAATACCGTCACTACCGACAGCATTAGAGGTGATTGACAAAATGCTCTTTTTAACATCACAATCCGATAATCGAGCAAAGACAAATGGAGGAACGTCAGGCAATGGTAAAGAAGAAAGGTAGTCAATGGTCTTAGTTTTGTCAGAATTACTAATTCCAGATGATGAAGAAAAGTGAAGATTGAGGGAGTCAATATTAATATTATTTGGAATAGTCTCTTTACGAGCTTTACCAATGCCAAGTGACCTGCGGAACTTCCAAACTTTCGCAGGCTCCTCATTTTCGACAGAGGAATGAATATGACGGCGCATGGCGTCCCTACACACTGTATTGCAGCGATTTCTAGCCTTATTGTAATTTGCTTTGTTTTTGTCACTAGGATATTGCTTGTATCTACATTTTGCAGCAGCTTTGCGGTGTATTAACTCTTTAATATCCTCGGTAAGCCATGGCGCGGGAAGATGTTTGATTTTGATAGAGCGAAAAGGTGCATGTTTGTCGTATAGTTGTATTATAAGACTGTTGAAAATTGCAACCTGTTCGTCTATGGTTACAGCTTTGTATACAGGAGACCAGTCAATACCGCGCGCATCTTCAAGAAAAGCTCCCTGGTTCATACCACTAAAATTGCGCTGAAGAATAACTTTACGTTTTGCTTTAGGAGGGCGGATTTTATATGATAAAAACACCAAGTCGTGATAAGAAAAGACATCCGCTGGGCATTGACCATGCTTTGCAACATGTTGAGGAGATGAGACCATTAGAAGGTCAAGAAGAGAAGGGGAGCAGTTCGGAAAATGATGAGTGGGACTAAGCGGAAGAATGTACAAATAATACGCAGTGCCCTAATTCAAACTTCCGGTTTCGGTTTTATGTTTATCGAGTGTACTTTAGTGAATAAATAAATAAAATTCAGATCATATCATACATCGTCACACTGACAAAACCATCGATATTAATGATCCTGCGAAATCATATTCTATGTAATTTTAGAGTGACGTGAGTCAGTCACATGACTGAGCAATAAAAAAATCTAATTTGCTTATTGTGACATGGGATTATGGACACTTCCTTTCTTTCCTTTACCGGCTACAGGACTCTGCAGTATTCCTCGCCACTCATTTGAACGGCGAACTGAATCACACCAATGAGGCGGGCATGACGGTTTTACACGCGGCGTGTTCCAATGGACTCGCTAGACTTACTACGGCGCTGTTGGAACACGGTGCGAGGCCCAACGTACAGACTTCTTATGGGGAACAGGAGGACACTGTTTATAGGTGAGTTACTACAACGCTGCACATTCACTATTCAATACGCTAGTTTTCTAGAGGGGTTGCAGAAATAATTTTATTGTCTACACTTGCTACAGTCCTGACCATAGAAAGAGAGAATGGACTTACACATTTTTCTGCCCCTTGGTCACACGATCCCTTTCTTAAATCCAATGCTCAATTTCATGCAGTTATTACTTAGTCTATTATTTATATCTATAGTCTTAACCTAAAAACATGCATTTCATCTCTCTAAGAGTGAGTTTCTATAATTCATTAGTAACATAAAATATGTTATAGCGAACTAGGTAGGTAAGTGCCTCTCTTTCTTGTCATTAGTAAATTGTACGAATTTTCTATAAGGTGTTTTAAATTTCTTCTGAACAGGCAAACGCCCCTCCATTTGGCCGTACTGAATAACCAGGAAGGGGCGGTGCTAGCAATAATAGAGTTTAAGAAACAAGTGGAGAAGGGCGAGTTTTCCTCGACCGATCGCAGCAACGTCAGTCTGGTGCCTAACTTCAATCTGAAAAACTCTGAGGGTGACACGCCGGTCAGCCTCGCACTCTCTGAAGGTAAGATAAAAACAGAGAGAATATAATTTAAGCCTATTAAACAACAAATATAAGACTGTAGGATACAACACACAATAACAACACAAAAAAAAATCATATCCGTGCTCTTGTGTGCGATTTTTATTTTTTTAATGATAATAAAGCAAATAGCGATTATATGTATGCCTATCTTTTATCAAAGCCACTGATTTTCAAATGATTTGAAAAAGCCAAAACTATTTTTTAGGACTTTCACCTTCGTTATATTTATATTATCATACTGTAAGGCAAAATCCAGTTGTGCTCAATTTCATATGTTTATGAAGTATCGTAGTATTAATAATATCAGTACACGCGATTGTCGCCTAAATATGGAAGAAATCTAGATTTCTCACTTAATTAATTTTCAAAGCCATAAATCTATCAGTGACTGCCTCAGCAGAAGATCAAATTTGTCCAACAACCTTGACGGAAAGTTTTTAATCTTCTACTCAATCTGTATCTGACATTTGCGCTTGTGTATCTACAGTAGTAGTCCTTTATATAAATGTGACCAAATGGGGAAGAAAACGCAAAGCTCATTACAGATGGCGCTTTAGCTCTTTGTCTCATAAAAAGCAACCTGTCATTTTGGCGTTTCAATTTTGACATGAAATTTTTGAACCTAGAGCGTGAGGTTTGGAACGCAGCCCAAGAATATATAAATTTATTGGTTTTCCCTGTGACTGACAGCTATCACGATATGTCTATGTCAACATATTCGACACCTGCGCCTCTGGTAAGATAAATTGGCAGTTTTCTTCCCCATAAATGATTAAGAATTGGTAATTCAGGTCACAAGAACCTGGTCATGCCTCTCATCGAGGGTGGTGCTGATCCCAACATTCGCAATGGAAAAGGATTTACTCTACTGCATCAAGCGATAGTGGAAGAAGACTCAAGGACAGCTATTTATTTGTTAGACCATGGAGCTGATATGGACGCACTGTGAGTATTTTACGTTTTAAAGACAGTTTACCATGAAATTCGTTAATTTGATCATAAATTAAATTAAGTAAAGGTCTATGTTTGTGTTGGAGAGTTTAAACGGAAGATCTTTCTCTGGACTGGGTGATCTTAGCCCGGTGGACGCGGCCTCAGCCAATGTTAGTCCGCCTCTTAATAAATGGTTGTCAGCCTCAAAACTCCGTTAGCGCGATGCATGTTTACTATATTATCGTCGAATTTACTGTTAGAGCCCCTACAGCTCTCTGTTCATTGTCTACTGAACTCAGTGGTGGAAGCGTTGATATGAACAGGCTGGATGCGAATTAAAGAACGCCCCTTTAGCACGCTATATCTACCTCTCACCCTTTGTCCATTACATCTTCAAGAGACATCATCTTCACAGAACTGAAGCAGGCGAGACGCCTCTACAACTGTCCATACACTGCCGACTGGGTTTAGTGGTGGAAGCGTTGTGCGTTCGAGGCGTGGATATGAGCAGACTAGACGCGAATGGAGTACCACCTTTGTGGGCGGCATTGGATTCTGGTCAAGAAGAAGTTGCCAGTGTGAGTATTTTTTTTTAAATCTCCATCTTCATACCGAATCCATAGCCCTTAATCTTTTAATGTCCCCGCTTGAGATACAAGCCTGAGACCTGACAGATCTACAAAGTTACTAAATTGATATAAAGTTAGTGTAATTTTAAAATTTTAATTTCATTTTTGTTCTTAAATGTGAACACTTAAATAGCTAAACGTAATCAATAAAAAGCTTCCAAGTGCGAGTTGGACTCGCCTATGAAGGGTTTCGTAGCAACAAGTAACATAATATAAAAGTTCTTATAGTTCGTTGTAACTTTGATCGATGTTTTAATAATAGAGTAAAGTAAAGTTGAGTTAATTGAATTGAAGGTAAATTGCGGTTTCCGATTTATGACGTATTAAAAAAAACTACTTACTAGATCTCTTTCAAATAAACAATCTCACAGAATACATCTACTTACCAAGTTTCAACAGTATAGTTTTTATAGTTTCGGAAAAAAGTGGCGGTGACATACGGACGGACAGACAGACATGACGAATCCATAAGGGTTCCGTTTTTTGCTATTGGGCTACGGAACCCTAAAAATGGATTTAAAATGTCAAAATTTATGTTAACTTCATTTTAATTAAGTTACATGGTCGGTCAGCTGATCTATGAGCAGATTACACTTGCAGAAAGGGTCGTGTCGTGACTAACCACGTGGGCCTTATGCGAGCTATAAGATATCTAGCTCATACTGAGTCCGAATATTGTTGCTTCGGGTAACCTCAACTACTTTCCATCAAAGACTTTTATTAATTGGTTATTTTTTTAAAATCGTGGTTCAAGTCGCAGCGTGCAGTTACTTGTTGGGGGTTTCAGTGTGTAAATAGCAAATTGTTCTTATGTAATCTAAAAAAATCATTTTAAATTTAAATGAAGAATGAATGTGTAATCTTCTACCTAAATGTTTAAACAAGTTACACACGTACGATAACATTGTACAATTTTACTGGCGTACCTGAATCTAATAACTTCCTCTTTTTTAATAATAATTGGTTTGTGTCTACTAATTAGGTAACAATTGGAATAGCGACGTTTGTTAATACAGCGTGAATAGCTTCCGTGCTACTACAATGAAAGTGATTTCTTCTATTATTTTTTCTTGACTCACAAATTTAATACAGCTGAATATTGACGCTGAAATATTCACATTATTTCGAGTACAAAGACTACATTAAAAACTTCAAGCTAGATGCTGGTGCATGGTGTTATTTTTTTAGTTTTATTCCATCATTAAAATTATACTCTTGTCGCCGAGCTTAATCGCTACAGTTCGATTAAACCAGGGCCAACTTACATTTTGTCTTGTAAAAATTCAAAATCCGTTTAATCTAGCGATATTTGTTTCTATTCTACCTCTTTTCATATTTGGGAAAGTGATTCATCGCGCGCGTGATCATACGCGCAGCTTAATGCAGTCGGGATGGACTGCTTTAAGTGGCGATTGCATGCATAGTAAACTACAGTCTTCTAAGTACACACATACACGGACCGCTCGAGCAATTCATACCAATTGCTACACAGTAAGCAATGCCAGCTTCGAGCTGTTGACTCTGACTGCTCCAGCAGTTCTTATAAGTTCATCACTGGTTAACTGCTCGAGCAGTCCATGTATGGCCGCTCTAAGAAATAGAAGTCACACAATTAGGACGTGCGCTGCTTTAAGTGGGGCAGCGCACGCCCTTAGTTCCCTGGTTCTGGAACTTTTTTTCAAAGCTTAAGATGTAAGTATATCAGATGATGGTCTTAATAAGGCTTATGTGACAACTCGCCATATGAAATTTTCGCCCAATGACCAGTTTACACCTGAACTATATTATAATACGTATTTTTTATACATTTTATCAGATATTAGTGAGAAACGGTGCAGATGCCGACTGTTGGGGCGCTGGGCCTGATGGCTGTGTTCAAAATCTGTTGCACAAGTAAGTTTTTACTGTATCTACCGTTGGTAATGCTAAATTTATTTTTACCCTTAATAATGCTAGTACTGCTTTATTACATAAACGTGTTCTGTACCTACTAATTGTCACAGCAAACATTTTTTGAAACACTTACACACACAAGGTTTAGTTTTTCAACAATCGGTATCCGGAATTGTGTGGCTTGATTTGCCCCGTGGCTCGTCTTTTTGAATATTTAATGGAGCGTTTATTTATTTATTTGCAATCCAATACGGTATTCTGAGTGGCAGTAAATTAAGCACGTGGCATAAGAAGGTCAAGCTACAAAATCACACCACAGATTAGGGAAACATCGGATAATGCTGGCACTTCACTTGGATACTCGGGTTTGGTGTTTCTGGAATTGACAGCGTGCATCTTTGGAGAGCACAAAAATTTTATTATATGTTTAGTATTGTATTTAAGTAAATGTGTTTATTATATACTTATGTGGTTCTATATGTTTATATATAAATGCATTCTTTATTTATTGTTTTGTGGGATGCACTTCGTATGGTTGTTTCGGTTGGTTTTAACGACCTCGCCCAGGCCCTGCCAGAATACCAGCGCTGATTATACTGACACAGTGAGAAAGTACTTTTCCACTGTAAAGTACTTTTCCACTGTAAAGTACTTTCTCACTGTGTCAGTATAAGCTGAGGCAGCGTCCTGATTGGCCATCTTAGATTTTTATGTTCTTTCTTATTTATTTTTTTGTTTCCTTAGGTTAAGTTTTCTTGAATTTTTTTTTTTTCATTTCATTTCAACAATGTACAATTATTTTATTTCGGTCTTTAAAATACATTTCATAATAACAAAAATCGTGCACTTGTTTAATTTTTTCTCTTATTTAAAAGCATATTTTGTACTCAGCCTCACGTAGTTGATGCCATAAATCATGAGACATGCTCGGGGATATTAAGTGTAGTCACAGAGCCATTTCACATTGGATCTGCCTTAACAAAAGCAGTGTGTTAATATTCAAGTCGCTTCCTAGTTTAGGGCTACGTGCACTGAATAGAATTATATGCATGATATCATTTATAAGCTGGCTGGCATACACTTCGTTTTCAATTGTGCATAATATATAAAATTTTACGATGCAACTTGCTGCTCCATAAATAATGTAACTTACGATAGTTTTGCTTTTTGATAAAAAATATTGGTAAAATCAGAATTAATATTGTATATGTGTAATGTCTATCAAAGTTTCTTAGGTCGCCACGTCGCAATGAGCACACTTTTAGAAAGTAGAATATTATTTTCGACAAACTTGGATAGAATTTTTAAAAAGAGTTATATAATAAGTAGTTCTTTCAGTATGTAACAATTGCCAAGTTTTGTCTTCTAATTTTACGTAACGAGTTATCAAATCTCCAACCGCTATATACCAAAAAGTGGACTAAAGTTATAGTACAGTCATTTGGTGAGAAATATAGTGGTTACTTGGAAAGTTTCCCGGGAGTTTTGAATATTGGTAATTTTATAAATTTTGAGGTGTTCTTTCCGAATTTCGACTCTGCCACCTCCTATTTATGCCGCTCGCGCCGCCATATTGGAAAAATGGCGCCTAAAAGCAGTTTTTTGACAATATCTCCTTTCCAACTCATTTTACGATAAAAACAGTTAATACAAAATGAAACTAGAGACAATTGCCTACAATTTATGTATCTACCTTTTTTTTTCATAAAGTCAAGACTTTTGGCGTACGATCGCCGTAAAGTGTACTCCAACGCACATTTTGGCAAAAACTCATTTCCACACCACCTTGAGTTAGAGTAAGTGGCGCGTGTTTTTTTAATGTGGTATCCCCAATAGGCCTCATCCACATGCAATTCAATGTGCTAAAATTTTGCGTATTCTCCTTCGCTTTATTGTTCTCGATGGACCAGGTGTTGCAAATTCATCGTCTGTAGTACCAATCGAAACGTCACAGACTGGTATTTCATCTACATCATGGGTCTATTATAATATCTATAGTCAGTATAGTTTAGATTTACATTAATTCTTTACAATCTCCATCCAAAGGTTGCCTGGAAGAAAGGCCGCCCATTGCATCACGTGTACTAGATGGTTTTGTACTTAATGTTCAACGTTTTTTGGGGTGTACAATAAAGAGTTAATATATTGTATTGTAATTTTATAACTCACAAATATAATGAGTTGAAATTAAATGCCACAGGTTGCATGAATAATGAGTAATGACCAAAGCGCGCATTGGAGTACACTTTGCGGCGCTCGTACGCCAAAACATAAATTGTAGGTAATTGTTTCTAGTTTCATTTTGTATTAACTGTTTTTATCGTAAAATGAGTTGGAAAGGAGATATTGTCAAAAAACGGCTTGTAGGCGTCATATTTCCAATATGGCGGCGCGCGCGGCAAAAATACGAGGTGGCAAAGTCGAAATTCGGAAAAAGCACCTAAAAATCTATAAAATTACCAATTTTCAAAACTCCCCGAAAACTTTCCAGGTGAACTCCAAACTACCAAATGACTGTACTATTAGTCTTGGCTTAAACCTAATGTTGTCTCTGTTTTCTTTTTAACAAACAAAACAAGTGAAAATGTTGTCACTTTTTCCTAAAAATGTGCATTACTAGATAAATATGTAAAAGTTTGCCAACCTTTTAAAGAAACATGACCAGATATTTACAAATTGTTAACAATTTTAGAGCAATAGATGAGAACAAAGAGGCACTCGCGACTTTTCTAATACGCTCTGGATGCGATGTTGAGTCTCCGAGGCGAGCGGGACCCGGCGGTGCGGGCGCCGATGTTGTGTCAGACGCCCATACGCCGCTACACTTGTGTTGCACTTGGGGCCTCACTGAGGTCATACAGGTGAGACCGCCAATGTCAAAAGACTGATGAAAATAACATCAGTTTTCTGATGTCTTCTTGATAAATGTAATGCTAGGGCACGGATTCCAGACTTCACATGCCTCTACACTTGTGTTGCACTTGGGGTCTCACTGAGGTCATACAGGTGAGACCGTCAATGTCAGAAGACTGAAATATCATCAGTCTTCTGATGTCTTCTTGATAAATGTAACACTAGGGCACAGATTCCAGACTTCAGATGCCGCTATGCTTGTGTTGCACTTGGGGTCTCACTGAGATCATGCAGGTGAGACCGTAATTGTTATCGTTATCGTCATCATGATTCTGATGTCGTGTTGTTCTTAATATGCTCGTGTTGCGTCGTGGAGTCTCGGAGAGAAGTGGGCGCTGATGTTGTGTCAGACGCCCATACGCCGCTTCACTTGTATTGCACTTAGGGCCTCACTAAGGCCATACAGGCAAGACCGTCAATGTCAGAAGACTGATAAAAATATCATTAGTCCTCTGATGTCTTCTTGATAAATGTAATGCTACGGCACCGATTCCAGACTTCACATGCCGCTTTACTTGTGTTGCATTTGGGGTATCACTGAGATCATACAGGTGAGACCGTAAATGTTATCGTCATCAGGATTCAGATGTCGTGTTGTTCTTAATATGCTCGTGTTGCGCTGTGGAGTCTCGGAGAGGAGCGGGCGCCGATGTTGTGTCAGACGCCCATACGGCTCTACACTTGTGTTGTACTTGGGGCCTCACTTAAGTCATACAGATGAGCATCGACAGTCATCTCATATCTTATTGAACTTATTCGCTCTGATTGCGACGTGGAGTCTCTGAGGCTAAAGGGCCCCGGTGGTGCAGGCACAGATATTGTGTCAGAAGCTCATACGTCGCTTCACTTGTGTTTCACTTGAGGCCTCACTGAAGTCATACAGGTGAGAATAATTAATCATTTGATATCCTGTTGTCTTAATACACGAGCGGGACCGGGCGGTGCGGGCGTAGATACTGTGTCAGAGGCCCATACGCCGTTACTTTTGTGTTGAACTTGGGGCCTTACCGAGGTCATACAGGTAAAGGTCATACCGCATTAGATTCACCTGGCACCCTACCAGCACCGCCTCGGCGCGACGGCCACTCGTGTATACCGCGTTGTCAACCAGCCGCGCGTTCCGCGAGACAGAGCGCTAAGTACGACACGTTTCTCGCGTAATCGCAGCGAAACTTACGTATTTCGTGTTGTCCCCTCACAAGCCGCAAGTGCGTCTCTCTGTCTGTTACCTCTTCGCGCTTCAACTGCTGAACCGATTTGAATGAAAGGAGAATGCCCGATGTCGTCCCAAACACGTTGGGCCCTATCGCAAATGTAATTTTCTATCTTGTACGTTCATGAGAAAGATATGAACGACAAAGTACCTATTAAAATGTTTATAACTAAAAAATGGAAAAAAATATTTGATTTTCTTTAATTCTGTTAGCTTCTTTAAGATAAAATATTGTAGCTATAATGCCATTAAACACTTCTTACGCTCTTTATTGACAACACAGGTGAGATGCAAACGTTTTCTTTTCTTGCAACCAAAATTTTTCTACAGTTCATTTTCTCATAGCAGCCGATCACTATAAATACGCTTCATACAGTCTTATTCGATTTTAAAATAGCTCATCGTCCCCAGACGCTACTGGAGCACGGTGCTAACATAAACTCGAAGGATTCCGAGGGCAAGACGCCGTTACACATAGCTATAGAGAACCAGCACGCGGCGATCATCTCGCTGCTGCTATCGCAACCGGGCATAGACCTGTCCGCCAGAGATAATAAAGGAGTTTCTCCATTCGCGGCTGCGCTGACTGCTAGGAATAATAAAGCGGCGCAAGCGATCTTAGAAAAGAACCCATCGGCTGCAGAACAGGTAATTGAGTTACTTTAAAAAAATGTGCAGGCATTTTGAGCATCGATCATCATCAGCCTATTAATGTCCCCACTGCTGGGGCACAGGCCTTCCCTATGGATAGAGTAGGGAGATTGGGCCAGGACCCACCACGTGGGCCTTGCGGATTGGTGGTTGCAAACGACTGCAGTTACAGCCGGGACCAACGGCTTAACGTGCCTTCCGAAGCATGGAGGAACGCGAGATAGAAGGTTTTTGGCCACCCATTCAATGACCGATCACTGCGAAAGTTGTTTAACTTCAATGATCGCAGCCGACAGCGCTAACCAATTGCGCCATCGAGCTCCTCCTTTTGAGCGTTAATAATGCTGTTATAATAGATAGGCAACAAATTAGAGAGAAAGAAATTTTATTTCTAACAACATGTGTAAGAAAGATGTTCAGTGATAATTAGCTAAGTACATAACCTGTTGTGCCAATATCGGCATACAAATTAATTATTATTTAAATTCATAATTATTATTCTAAGATTCAAATTACAAAAATCAAACTATCAATAATGTCAATACAATAAAAAATGACAATAAATTGGGCAAACACTTTAAATAATATCTCAATACTTCAAAACAATAATAATCAAATATCATTAAATTGGGCAAAAACTGTTAATACATGTCAATACTAGCATGCTACAAAATCAAAATGTCAATACAATAACAAAATTTCAATAAATTGGGCAAATACTTTAAATAATATTTATGTCAATATTTTTAAATTAATAATCAAATATCAATAAATTGGGCAAAAACTATTAATACATGTCAATACTGTCAATTTAATAATCAAATGTCAACAAAATTGGCCAAAACTATAAATAACATGTCAATATGTACTTGCAATTTAATTATCAAATGTCATTAAATTTGCCATAACTATGAACATAATTGAATAAAAATAAAATCACCATTTGTCAATAAAAAATTCTGATACATTATAATAACATTTATCAATTAACAATTTCTTAAATTTATGTTTAAACAGATTATAATTTAAATCTTTCAAAGATGTTGGGAGTTCATTATATATTCGAGGAGCCATACAGAATATATTATTTCCCATGAGAGCTGTTCTGGAGTTGGGCATGCAAAGTCTACTGTTATCACGTCTGTTGCGATCTAGTACATCTGTCATTTTAACAACTAGGTGCATGTTCTCTTTTACAAATAAGAGAATTTCAAAAAGATACAAAGACGGAAGTATTAGAATCTTATATTTTAAGAAATAAGGTTTACAACTGTCCGTTGTTTTTAAACCAAACATGGCTCCTATGCATCTTTTTGCATTTTAAATGCTGTATCTTTGTCAGTATAATTCCCCCAGAAGATAATACTGTATCTCAGAATTGACGCAGCTAAGCCGTGATATGCGGTGAGCAGGGCGTCTGTGTTGAATAAGAAGGAAAATAAAAATCTTCCAATGAAATAACCGAACGCTCAATATAAGTCTTTCGAAGGTAGCTCGACAATTTTAAATAAAAAATCATTATTCTGACGATGCAGACCTGAAAAGGCTGCGAAACGTCAATAAATAAATAAAGTTTCGTGCATTAGCCCGTAAAAACTAGTTTTATTTAATGAGTGATGTGCGTGAAAACCTAAGAAACAAATAAGAAGGAAAGTTTAAACAACGCAAAGGCCGCACTACTGACTTTATTACTTAGATAATCTATGTGAGGTTTCCAATTTAATCTAGAATCTACCATTATTCCGAGAAATTTGACGCTTTCAACTTCGCGTATGTCAACATTTTGTTGATCAATTTTTAAATAAGTTTTCAAAATTTATTTTTAAATTATTATCATTTAACCATGAAATAACTGATGTCAAAGAATTCTTAATGTCTTGTTCATAAATGTCAGGATCTTTACAGGGAATTGTCAAAGTACTGTCATCAGCGAAAACAGTAATTGGATAGTCAACAGATTTAGGTAAGTCATTAATATACACGTTGAAAAACAAAGGACCAATCGCACTCCCTTGAGGAACTCCATATTCAACCGTGCGCGTTTTTGAATAATAAATTTCTTCAAAATGCGATTTTGTATTAATTTGTGAATTAACAGTATACTGTTTTCTATTTACTAAATAATTTTCAATCAATTTCAGAATATTTCCTCTAATACCGTATGCGTCAAGTTTTTTAATAAAATGTCATGATTTACGTAGTCAAAAGCTTGTGTCATATCACAATATATTGCAGAAATAGGGTTTCTTTTGTCCATATTAGTTATTACATTAATAAGAAATTCGAACAGGGCTTTGATAATATTTTTATTTTGACGGAAACCATTTTGTTCTTTACAAAAAATATTTTTTCTTTCTAAATAGTTATAAATTTCTTTATAAATATATTTTTCGAAAATTTATGATATTATTGAATTTATGGCAAAAGATATTATTGAATTTGAAATTATATAGAAGCATTACTCTCTAACAAAGCCTGTTAAACCAAAGTACCAAACTTATTCAACTAAACTTCAATACTAACGCGTCACGCACACAGTTAAAACAAAATATTTTGACATAAAATATCAAATATCTGCAAATGAATTCGACTATTGATTCATTGGGTAAGATAATGTTTGACGGAAATCATTATCAATAATAATTTATTTTCAGAAAATGTTATACAATCCATAGAAAGTTAGTAACAATGTGCCTTGAAAAATATCAAAAGCTTTTGAAAGTGGTTGGTCATAATTACTTTTTTGTATCTAACCATAGTAAATACTAAAGAAAATATAACTAGAAAAAAATCCACGCGGACCAGGCAGCAGACGGGACTCGAACCCGCACCCTTCGCAATCCGGGCGAATGCACTGACCAATTATGCTACCGCGGCCCTCACGGACCACGTCGAAATTCTTTCTAGCTATTCTTAAGCTGCAAGGCAGCGCCATCTCTTCGCATTATAGGTAAACCCACAATGTCAAATGAATACTTTTACAAGTATTAGATTTAAACATCAAGCAGTTACATGCTTTAAAAAATAATAAAAATTATAACTATAATTGCTATTTCTTCTTTCAAATGTTTAATACTTGTAAAAGTATTCATTTGACATTGTGGGTTTACCTATAATGCGAAGAGATGGCGCTGCCTTGCAGCTTAAGAATAGCTAGAAAGAATTTCGACGTGGTCCGTGAGGGCCGCGGTAGCATAATTGGTCAGTGCATTCGCCCGGATTGCGAAGGGTGCGGGTTCGAGTCCCGTCTGCTGCCTGGTCCGCGTGGATTTTTTTCTAGTTGTATTTTCTTTAGATTTAAACATCAAGCAGTTACATGCTTTAAAAAATAATAAAAATTATAACTATAATTGCTATTTCTTCTTTCAAATGTTTAATACTTGTAAAAGTATTCATTTGACATTGTGGGTTTACCTATAATGCGAAGAGATGGCGCTGCCTTGCAGCTTAAGAATAGCTAGAAAGAATTTCGACGTGGTCCGTGAGGGCCGCGGTAGCATAATTGGTCAGTGCATTCGCCCGGATTGCGAAGGGTGCGGGTTCGAGTCCCGTCTGCTGCCTGGTCCGCGTGGATTTTTTTTTCTAGTTATATTTTCTTTAGATTTAAACATCAAGCAGTTACATGCTTTAAAAAATAATAAAAATTATAACCATAGTAAATACTAATTAAAACTAACAATGCAGCCGGCATAAACATTTCGTTTAGGGCCAATTTAAAAAAAATGCCTTTTACTGACTATTGTCTTCACCACAATATTTTATGTATTTTAGATTGAAACACAAGTATGTAAACCAAAGATTAAATTATAGGGATACTTCGTCTTACACTTTGAAATAAAAAAAATCGAGCTAGCCTTACAGTAGTCGCGTATGATTTGTGCAACATTTGAAACCTCACCTTATATTAGTAAAAAAAAAGAAATAAAACCTACTACAAAAGGAATAAGCCATTTGAACATTATGTTCTTGAATCAAATCAAATAGCGCGCGCTTTCGCGAGTTCCTGATACACACTTCCGTCCCATTTCACGAAATCACTCCTACAAATTGCAGGAAATCGAGAGGAAAGATGCTGCACATCAATAAAATTGGGTCACCACGTATCTTACGAGATTAGCCAAGTTAATAGGACCCAAATTTTACTTGTTGATAGACGTTTCAGTTCGATGCCAGGTTTTCCAGTTACTTGGCCAAGTTATTAAAACAAATTGTATGTCCAAAGACGTATAAAGGTAGTCCACACATATGTCTGCACCGTACGCACGCATTTCGTAAAGTCTATTAGGAAATGCGGCGGGTACGGTGCTAGTATATGCGCGATCACCTTAAAAAAACATTTCATTTAGGTGGACAAAAAGGGCCGCAACTTCCTACACGTGGCGATCCAGAAATGCGACATGGAGAGTGTGATGTTCCTTCTATCGGTTGAAGTGGACGTGAATTCTCGCGTTCAGGACGCCACACTAGCGCCGCCGTTGCATCTAGCGGCCAACGCGGGAAATGAGGTTTTGCTGAGAAGCCTTCTATTGGCCGGCGCGAGACCCAATGACAGAGATGCTCACAAGTAAGTTTAAATTAATGGTGTCGATTCTGGCATGTTCTCTAAACTGTTTCATTCTGTATTGGGAATGCCAAGGATACACTGTTGTCGAATTTAGGTTTGGGTTTGGAGAGTCATGTTAGAATTGACACCAATGTATGTGTAGAATGATTGAATCTTAATTTATAAATTATATTGTGCAATTGTATAATAATGTATTTTAAATAGATAATAAATAACCCTCTTAAGTTGTTGTGCCCTTGCAGGGCGTCACATGGTTACTGTATTTTTCTGTACCATCTTATTTCTGTCAGTGTTATATGCAATGAATAAATAAATACATTAGAAGAAAATAACTGTGTGAGAAACGAAGTGACAAAGTCGTATGGTTATTAGCTGTACTATTGCTTTGTCTCTTCAAAGAGAGTTGACAATATCATGCGAATATCACTAAGCTCAGTCTATTCTCTATGATGATGCTGTCACTTTTTTTTGCAATAAAGAAGACTGAGACAGCTTTAGGTTTGAACCATGACTAACTTTAGTCTACGTTTTAGAATAAGGCAGTTGGTGTCCTAGCTTTCTTAAAACCAATAGATTGGATAGGTATTGGCTACTCCATTACTTTCTCTATTTCTAAAGAGTAGGTTTTTTTTATGAATGTGACATCAATCTTGAAATATCTTTCATCGTCTCGATATGTGCACAGCCCTCCACGTAGCCGCGGGCGCCGGCCACGCTACCATAATCAGCGTATTAACCAGCGACGGCGCAGAGAGCGGTGTGTGGATTTCTCTCTCCAAACAGTTGTCAATTTCATGCGAATGTCGCTATGGATCTGCCTTATCATTCTTTGAATATCTTTCATCTCATCTAATAGGCGCACAGCCGCCCACGTAGCAAGGGCGGATCCAAAGGGGGGGGGGGTCATGACCCCCCCCCCCTGGGCTGGGTCCATCTGTTCCCACTGTGACTTGACCACGACTATATGACCCCCCCTGGCGCCAAAGCTGGATCCGCCCTTGCCACGTAGGCACGGGCGCCGGCCACGCTACCATAATCAGCGCACTAGCCAGCGGCGTCGCAGAGTGCGGTGTATAGGTTTCTCTCTTCAAACAGTTGTCAATTTCATGCGAGTGTCACTATGGGTGTGCCTTATCATTCTTTAAATATCTTTCATTTCGTCTAATAGGCGCACAACCCTCCACGTAGCCGCAGACACCGGCCACGCTACCATAATCGCGGTATGTGGATTACTCTCTTCAAAGAGTTGTCAATTTCATGCGAGTGTCGCTATGGATCTGCCTTATCATTCTTTGAATATCTTTACGTAGCCGGGACGCCGGCCACGCTACCATAATCAGCGTATTTATTGGCCAGCGGCAGCGCAGTGCGGTGTGTAGGTTTCTCTCTTCAAACAGTTGTCAATATCTTGCCAGTGTCGGTATGTATTCTTTTTATCATTCTTTGAATATTTTACTTCTCGTCTAATAGGCGCACAGCCCTCCACGTAGCAGCGGGCGCCGGCCACGCTACCATAATCAGCGCACTAGCCAGCGGCGGCGCAGAGTGCGGCGCAGTAGACGCGAGCGGCGACACCGCGTTGCACGTGGCGGCGCGCGACGGTCACGCGGCCTGCGCGCGCGCACTCCTCGCCGAGACTGACATCGACGCGGCCGCCACCAACCTCAAGGGTAAGCGCCTGCCTAACAATAATAATTTCCATAGAAATAACACAATAGCAACAATATGCAGTCGGTCCGTCCTATGCCGGCTACAGACCTTCAGTTTTGACTGCACAGTTTTAACTGAACAGTCGAACTGTTCAGTTAAAACGTACGTGTGTAGGCAAAACTAGAAACTGTACAGTTGAACTGACAATTTATTTAAAAATCATTAAATAAAACTGCTCAGTTAAAACTGTGCAAGTAAAACTGAAGGTGTGTAGCAAAAATAACTGTGCAGTTGTCAGTTTTGCCAAAGCGCCGCCGGAGTGATCACGTGTTTTATGATAGTTTTAGTGATAGTTACATCGAAACTAACAATGCCAAATCTACGTGAATGGTTAGAAGAATTTATAGAATTATATCATTCAGAGCCTTGCTTGTGGAAAGTTAAAACAAAAGAGTACCACGACCGTGGCAAAAAAGAAGCAGCCTACGAAAAGTTATTGGCGAAACTTCGAGAGATTGAACCATCAAATAGTTATTATAGTCTTTTGGACAAATTCTGAGCTCTTTCAGTAAATTGTCATGCGAATAAAGTTTTCTTTTCAATAACCAATGTTTACACCACATTTTTTTCCTTCTTTGTATTCTTTTTTCCAAAATGCATAATAGTCCAATAATTGCCACAGTGTCATCTGATGATGCCATGGCGACGTGTTACTTCGAGCGAAAAAGATTACAACTGAAATAACTCAACGTGTGTAGACACTAGGGACGCCAGTTTTAACTGAACAGTTCGACTGTTCAGTTAAAACTGTGCAGTCAAAACTGAAGGTCTGTAGCCGGCACTAGTTACAGCAATAAGCTCGATGATATATTAGAAAGAAATAGATATATGACTTTTTTAGGCCTTTGGAAAATTGGATAACAATGTTTTGACGATCAAAGTTAAGTAAAAACTTGTAGGATTACGTTTACAGCTCACTAAGTCAATGTTAAAACTGTCAGTTTTAACAATTGAAACAAAAAAAGATTTCAATTTTTTAAATATAAGAAATGTATCCAAAAGTTAACTAAAAAGTGTACCAAATCTTGGATAACTTTGAAAAAAGTTGAATAAAGTGTCTCACAGTACCGATCTAGCAAAATCATCATATAACACGTGCGCGCCTTCAGAGCCTTGGCTAGGGTTGCCAACCCTACTATATTAGGGGATCAAATACTATATTTAAAAAATAAAGTAGGCGAAACTACTGTATATATATATATTATATAATATATATGTTGCTTTAGTAGAATCTTGCCAGTAAAAGCTTTCTTAAAAATAAGAACTAAATTATGAAGTTATAATGCAGCTAAAAAATACTCATTTCAAAAAAAAAAATTAACCACATACGATATATTTTTTTTTATTTTGGCAACTACTAAAATTTTAGGGGCAGCAGCTTCGAAAATACTATATTTGATAGAAAAAAGCCGGGCGAGCCTTACAGTAGTCGCGTATGATGTGTAACATTGGAACCTCACCTTATATTAGTAAAAAAAGAAATAAAACTTACTAAAAAAGGAATAAGCCATTTGAACATTATGTTCTAAAATCAAATCAAATAGCGCGCGCTTTCGCGACCTCCTGTTACACACTTCCGTCCCATTTCACGAAATTACTTCCACAAATTGCAACAAGAGGAAAGATGTAATGTTACACATCAAAAAGTTAGTAACTTGGTTGGGTTGGTTGGAAAGATACCCATCATTCTACTTTTTAGATAGCTATCATTACTATCAATGACATAAGAATGCATATTGTTATATCCAACAGGTCGTAACCCGCTACACGAGTTGTGTTGGTGTAAAAAAGATAACGCAGCGACTATATGCGAAATATTCTTGGAATTTATGCCAGACTACCCCATAAATAGGACAGACTTACAGGTAAGATTTTATTTTTGTCTAAGACTTGTGCACCACCGGCCGCGGCCATTAATCAGGGTGGAGATTGTCTTTCTGCGCCCTTTTTTTTAATAAGAGTAGGAACAACGAAATAATTAATCCTGACAAGTCATGTCAGTACGGACCTTATTTACTTTTTTACTAAATGGAAAGTGTAACTTCGTAGGAAGGCCAAAGGGGAAGATCTTCCTCCGAGCTGGATGATGTTAGCTCGGGGGCTGCGGCCCCACTGATGTTGGTCGGGCATTGTACATATGGGAGTGTTAGCCTCCGAATTTCTCTTGCGCGATGTAGGCTGCCATTCGATGTGAATGCAGCGCCGGTAGCGCCACCTCTTGAGGGGGCGAGTGACTATTTCCTCCATGTTGATTAAGTTTTGTTTGGTGAGTGATGGTCTGGGAGCGTGTGCGATGAACGGGAGTTTCCATACTGGGCACATTCTGCACTGGGACCATTCCGCACTGGGCCTAGTAAGGGTTGGTGGGTAGGATAGGTACTTTTTTCAATGTAATAATATGATTGAGCCTTGACTCGCTACGCGGGTCCAGTGCGGATTGATGGGTGGTATATAAATATTTTTAACTTCGTTCCAACCGAGTGTTCCACGACTCACGATTTTTTTATGTTAATTTAACTAAATTTTTATCTGTTAACTAAAGGAATGTCCCGATCGTATTCGTTTTTTATTTATTTATTAGGCATACAAAATTCTTTTAAAATAAACATACAAACAAATATACATACAAAATTGTTAAACTACATGAAGAGCTACTCGATGTAAGCACATCATGCGTAGCCACAACTTTAAGTTTGTGACTTTTCTTTCTTTGGCGCTTTTACTGTTTTGTTAAATCGAATTAACCACGCATAGGGATAAATTGTTAAACATTGCAAAAAGACAAAAACGTATGTAAATCGGAGTATTAAGGAAAAGTTAAGGTCTTTTGTTTGAAGATTTAGGCGCTAATAAATCGAACAACCATTTAAATTGATCCATACACTATAACGACATGGTGACTTGATCTATCAGTAGACTTTTCGTCTCAGTGCTGCCACCTGGTGCCCGTCATTCCAGAAAACCCTCATTAACCACGCATAGCGATTATTTGTTAAACATTGCAAAAAGTGAAAAACCTATGTGAATTGTATGGTTGGTGTGCAGGGAAATACTCCGCTTCTATTGGCGTATATGAACGGGCAGGGCGCAATGTGTCGCGCTCTAGTCCGCGCCGGTGCTTGTTTAGCGCAAGAGAATAAGGACGGCGTTTCTATATTCAACTACCAGGTAGGTCATATAAAGGTCTTTTTCTTTAGGTTTAATCATCTAGCAGTTAAATGCTTAAAAAAATAACTATAATTGCTATTTCTTCTTCCAAATGTTTAATACTTGTAAAGGTATTTCATTTGACATGGTGGGTTACCTACAATGTGAAGAGATGGCGCTGTCTTGCAGCCTAAGGCTGGAGAAAATTCGACATGGCTGTCAGGGTCGCGGTAGCATAAGGGTCAGTGCATTCGCCCGGATAGCGAAGGATGCGGGTTCGAGTCCGGTCTGCTACCTGGGCCGCGTGGAATATTTTCTAGTAATATTTTCTTTAGATTGAAACATCGAGCAGTTACATGCTTAAAAAATAAAAATTATATTCTATAGGTGATTATTTATGTTTTATGCTTCGTTTATATATACACCCTGGCTACCTTATTAACTGTACGGAAGCGGCACAAAACATATCTACTACATATGGTAGATATGCTCGTCGCTACACAGGCACACATTGACGGCTTTAGTACAATCTGACATTTGAGTCACGCAGATATTGCGCGAAATATGAGCCGTTCCCTTTGTGTGATTTATTTGGATTGTTATATCTAGTAAGTATCTTCAGTCTAAAATAAGCAAAAATTAATATTTATAATTTAAATTAAACGGTTTTATGGAAAAAAATGCAGATAAAAATTATAAAGAAGATGTATTAAAAGCTTCAAAATAATTACACCGTTCTCCTCATCAGTCTAGGACATTGATCTGATAAATAAATAAAACATATTAATTCATAACACAAACTTTGAACACCAGTCTTGCTATACGTATTTGCTGTTTGAATGTGTCATTTGATTGGGTTTTTCGCCTTTAATAAATAATTATTATACAACCCGGAACATAGACAGGGAAGCCTGCGCAGTAGCCATTTAACAAACAAGTACGTCAACTGCATAAGTTTATTTGTCTATGGTTTTGCTCGAGGAGTTTGCCGCTACTTACTTTATTACTATTATTAGCGGCCGCCCGCGACTTCGTACGGGTGGAGTTAGTTAGAAATAAAGGTTCAATGCTTGTTCCGCAAAGGTGATAGCGTGATAATATGTAGCCTATATGTTGACCCGTCTTCTTAATTATATTCGTGCCAAAGGACATCGACGAAATCGGCCCTAGTATGCCCAAAAGAATATCCTTCACTATTATTTTTATATTATTTTTTTAACTTATTAGCAATTAATCATTGTAAACGGACAATCTGTTTAAGAAAATAAAAAATAAAAGTTCTGTTACTAGATACTACAGTCTGTTCATCCAACTTGGCACTCCTTTTTATTGAAAATACAGCATTAAAAATCAACTGATAACTAGATTCAATAGGTTTCAGTCTATAATAACGATTTATTTAAATAGTTTATTGGCATCGTTAATATTTTATTATTAAACGGGTGATTCTGTTAAAAAGTTGTGTCAAGATTGTTTACCTTAATGAATGCAATATAGGCGACCATAGGTATTTATCAACATAAAAATAGAACTAGGTACCTTAGTCAATAATAGTTATTACTAGTATTTATATTATATTTATAAAAAGATTATTGCTGAAATTATGTAAATATAGTTTATACTCCCATTCCATGTAATATCTGTTTATTTTTATGAAAATCATATTGATAACCAGGTACATACCTAATTACCGATAGTAAAATATAGAAACAGGTAAATGGAAAGACTGAACATTTCATTTGAAAAGAAATCTATTATTACCTACTACAGGTAGGTATAGGTATCATAGGTGCCAACTGACAACACTCATAAATCAATATGAATATAAGCATTTATTATTTTTATTATTAATTGCATTTTATGTTCATTTAATGCATATTATTTCAGTGCTTACATAGAGGTAAAAACTAAATCTATTCAGAATATATAAAGTGTACATCTTTTACGATTAAGTATAATAATTATAACCTCAAAATCTAATACATTCTGTAGAAGGCCACTGTTCCTCAAGTTGTCCGTATCTCAACAAATGCTAAATTAGAGTTTATGAATGATTCCGAACACAACTAGCATTTTCTCATTGCTGGGCGTTATAGGGCATTCAATGTATGGGGAACGAGCAATGACCTTTGATGTAAATCCATTCAGTACTTTTTGAGTTTATCCCGGACATACATGCAGACAAACAGACAAAATTTCTAAAAACTATATTTTTGGCTTCGGCATCGATTGAAGATCACACCCGAAGTATTATTTAAAAAAAAAATCAATGTACAGTTTTGACTTTCCTACCTTTTATTATAAGCAACATTTTCCAGGTGGCGACTAAGCAACTACTGCATCGGTTACTGGACGCCCTACCGGCTGAAGCGCCGTGGGCGGAGAGCGATCTCTGCCAGGAGTGCGGCACCAAGTTCACACTCACCATGAGGAAGCATCATTGGTCAGATATGCTCTTCATCTTCTACCTATAAATCTTGCTGCATCGAGCCCCTAATATTTCTTCTACTTTTTTTTATTTAATTATTCCTAAACATTGTCTGTTTCATACTTTATTTACAGAATTACAATATATAGAAATACAACAACAACAACTTGAAAACTACCTAATGTATAAAATTGAAATACAAATTACCTTAACCTACTTAAAAATCACACTAATATTATAAAGGCGAAAGTTTGTGAGTGTGTATGTTTGTTACTTCTTCACGTCTAAACGGCTGGAGCGATTTTAATAAAATTTGGTATGGAGTTAGCTGACACCCTGGATTAACACATAGGCTACGTTTTACTGTGGGAAAATATCCCTAATAAACCGCGGGCAACACCGCGGGGCACAGCTATCTAATTTACAAAATGAAAAAGACTCACCGAAGTGACTGGTGACCAAAACTGGCAGTTTTCTTATACTTATTTCAAAAATATTTCCGCCCGCGACTTCGTCCGCGTAATAGTTGTTTTTTTTGGATTTTCACTGGAACCTAATATTTGCCAAGATAAAAAGTATCCTATGTCTCAATCTAAGTGACAGATTAGGAATTTATACCATATTTCATCCTAATTTTTGTTCAGTCGTTTTTGCGTGATTAACTTAGAACCATACAAACTTGCAAATTTTAATATTAGTAGGAAAGTAGGATAGTCCTGCTTATTTTATAACGCACCGGTTGTATTAAAGTAGGTTTATACGTGATCTGGTGTCCATAGTACAATCAACAAGCCATGCTTAGTCTGAGGTTAGATTATAGCAAAACTGCACAACATTTTAATGATTTTACTCGGCTGAATATCTCGCGTTTAGTTTATGGTTTCATAACGCAAGTGCTCCAAATAATGTTTATATCAAATATACATTGTTCTGCTATTTTTAGTTTTATTTTTTTTATTTTCCAGTCGTCACTGTGGTCGTATGCTATGCAACAAATGTTCGAGTCAAGACGTCCCCATTTTGAAGTTTGGTATGAACAAACCGCAACGGGTCTGTGAGATTTGCTTCAACGTACTTCAAGTCGGAGCCAGTTAGTAGTCCACCGATCGCTACTCTGAACCAAGACCCTTATAGAACGCCTTGGCACCAAGCCCCCAACAGAACGCCTCGGCACCAAGCCACCAATAGAACGCCTCGGCACCAAGCAACGGTGAGCTTGGTCCATTATTTCAGTTTAGTATCGGTTAACATGTTTTACCTATATGTACGTAATTAATGTAACATTTTAACAGTACGAATTTCGACTACGGGGCCGTTCAAGTATTACGTAAGCACTATAGGGGGGCAGGGGGGTCTTTGCTTTGCTTATTTTTGATGTCATAGGGGGGTAGGGGGTCGAAATAGTGATTACGTCAGCATCATGGATTTTGGTGTCATGGACTGAAGACCTTAGAGCTAAGCTGAAGACTTAATTGGAATTAATATTTATACCAAAAAATCGGAAGAAGTTTGTTTTGTTCGTAATAGTACTTAATAAGATTTAACCTTACTCTATGTTGAATACTGTGTTAATAAAGTTTGTTTAAATGAATACTATGTGCGTTAAAGTCCTCTATCCTAAGCCTATTAAAGCCTATTTTCTCATGAAGCTCATGAATGAATAAAAAAAACAGAAAACATCAAAGGAAAAATGCATATAGAGATACCAATGTTTACGTAAGCACGGGAGGGTGGGGTAAGAGCTTTGCTTACTTTTGCTGACAAGGGGGAGGAGGGGGTAAATAATTGTAGTAAATCTGCTGACGTAATACTTGAACGGCCCCTACCTTGTTTTTATTTTGTTTACAATTTTTATTTTTCGATTATATAATTTATATCAACGTGTAAACTATCCGATATGCTTTTACTACACGATTTACAAATTGTGCGATAATAGATCTTATTAATTCTGACTTTGAAACGAAATCCTTAGAAATGGACCCATAAGATATAATTTACCTATTCAATATTCCTACAGTTGTCATGTCTTGTTTAATATTCCTTGGATTCTAGATGTTTCACTATAATGTATATTGTAGTCGATATTTGTACGAAAACTAAACAAGAATGCTTTTGTTTTTCGGAAAGATAATATGTCACAATAGTAAGATGCTAATATGTAATGTGAAACACTTTTCTTTTAGAGTATAGATAAACTATATAATATGTAACTTACATATTGCAGTTGATATGTAAACACTTGCTTTAGTTGTGCTAACAAGTACTTACAATGATAAACACCTGCACATTATGTTATCAGTTTTCTTGAGTAAAGTTGTCAATTTTTACAGTATTGTAAAATAAAATTCATTACTTTTTTCAAATTAGATATTTATAGGCAGCCTACATCCTAAAATATTAAAAGTGCATCAAGATTCTGTGCCTCAAAATATAGCAGTTATGTATTATAAACAAAAACATGCCAAAGTCTGATGTTGCTGTTACAGCATAGAGGTTTTGGACAACTAGTTTTAGGTTAAGTTATATTATATAACTTTTTTAAAAGCTTCACGTAGAGCATATTTACGTATTTAAACTATAATGAACAGTATTTATTAAAAAACACAGACGCCCACAGTTGATGTAAGGGTAGTTACACACTTAATAATCGGGCCAGCATTGTCGGTTTTGCAGTATTTGTCGAACATCAAAGCCGACCCGTAGTAATTACTGCCGAACATTCATCTACAAATATTTGATTTTACCGCCCGGCTGTGCCGATTAACGCCGGCCCGCTTATGTATGTAGCTACCCTAAGAGTGCAATTTCCAGAAAATACTTTGAAGATAATTTCAGCATTTTATTTGGAGTTGATTTAAACATTCCTTAAAAACTTGTGATTGTTTGGAAAGTCGAAAATGAATACCACCGGAGCTAACTGTTCCGACCGTGTGTACACAGATGAATAATTTGTATTACCAAATTAATATAAACAAGGTTTAAAAGAACTATTGTATAAATATAATATCACTCAGTTTAGCACCCCATATTCAATTCTATAGATGTCTCTTAAACATCATCGGCCTATTAATATCACTGCTGATGCCTATGTATGATGATTTGATAAATTGAATTTTCGCAAAAATCCTGGGATTTTGCGCGAATAATTAGGCAATCGAGATGACAATTCTCAACTTTACTGAAAAAATATAGGATTTTTGCGAAAACGCGAGTCGTCTCAGTAAGATTGCGAAAAGAATCGTTAACTTATCACACTAATATTATAAAGGCGAAAATTTGTGAGTATGTTTGTTACTTCTTCACGTCTAAACGGCTGGAGCGATTTAGCTGACACTCTGAATTAACACATAGGCTGCGTTTTACTACGGGAAAATATCCCTAATAGAACACCGCGGGACAGCATAAATATTCTCGGGTTTCTGGCTACCTGGGTTCACACTAGGTTAGGTAAGTTGTGAGTATGACGCGCGAGCCGAGCAAGCGTAGCGAGCAGTGCTGCCATTTTAGCGCTTTGCGCGCTAGATCTAGCGCATTTTTGGTGTGGTTAGCGCCTATTTCAAAATTTTAGCGCCTAGCGGATAATCTAGCGCTTTTTCATTTGTGTCGTTGTAGCACTCTATTGCCGATTATTTACGGCCTCGGGAAACCCCTCTATTATTTTTTTATAGCGGAACTACACTTATCTGTCTTCTTGTGTTGTGACGCGTCAGAGAGGTATCGGTTTCATATATTTAGTATGGTTAGAACTATACTTGTGTGTCGCGATGTTTCGACACCGTTCTCACTCTAACCGTACTACTAAATGTATGAAACCGATATAACTGTGTGATGGTTCACAACACAACACGATGGATAAGTAGTAATATTGCTGCCATTAGTTCATGGTATTGTTTTCATTCATTCATGTTTAAACTTTGCTGGAAGTTATAAAGAAATCATGTAGTTATACATTCTGCGACAGATTAGGATTGGGATATTATATATGAAAAACAATTTAAGACAAAAAATACATGAATGGCCATAATGAAGCTGGCCCTATTTAAGCTATGGAAGATTATTTTTGAATTAAGATTAAAATAAATATATTATTTATTTTGACGTTTTGGTTGAATTTTGTCTGTTTTTTATTTAATAATAAAACTGAAATAAATTTAGCGCATAATCTAGCGCTTTATTGAAGCACGTTTTTCTTGAAATCTAGCGCTTTATATCGTTTTAGCGCTCAGTCGGATTTTTGATCTGGCAGCTCTGGTAGCGAGTGCCGCGACAGCGGCCGGAGAAACACCATTAAAAAAATCGTTAAAAAAAATTGAGCAATGTCATCGCCTTTGTCTTATTATTCGCGTTTTGCAAAATCCCAAGGACCCGTGAAAAATCGATTTATCTTATTCTATATTATTATTTATTTAATCTTCGACGGCACTTACATTATGGATCGGTGGGTGACCACTATATCCAAATATACTTGAGAAATTAACATCGTTTAAGGTCCATATTAGCATGAAGTCAACATATATGAAATAATATATGAAAGCACAACAACCAAATTAAATAAGTCCAATAATATGAACCATCAGCAAATATTGAAATTCGGTAAATTTTATTATCTTCTTTAATTGTTATTTAAGAATTTATACATAAACTTTTGTGTCGAAAGTTAATGAAAGAACTGATAAAACAGTAATCCAACTCTGTGTATACATGTAATATGGCTGTTTTTGTGATAAGTAATAATTCTAATTAAACATTTGTTAATGTTTGGCTAGTTACTAAAAAATCTAATTTTTATATTTTAAATGTGCCATTTTTATTTTTCATCTTGTATATTTTACACTGAAATTTATTATGTCACCATTTATCTTATTATTATTGTTTCAAATGTTTATATTTGCTATAATAAATATTGTATTAATGCAAAAAGAAATATTTTAATCATACTGGAAATGTTGATTATTGCCCAATGTCGTTTTGCTTCAGTTTGAGGTTGGTTTATCAACTTTTTCTTTGATCAAGTACATCATGTCAAATCACTGCCCAAATGTGTATCAAGCCACGTGCACTGTGGGGCTCCCTAGCTACCCACCATAAAGTGCAAACTAATAGGTAGCATTTCATTTGAATTTTAAATCCCGTAAGTTGCCTTTTCTGTCTGATACCTTTTTCGAATGTTGAACACGTATGGTCAATAAAATTCATACTAGCGCACAGTCCAAGCGCATCGATACAGCTTTCAGAAATGTAACAAAGCAAATTTTCCCTATCTTCGGAAAGTAATGCACATATTCCATCGTAGCTGATAACGCGCGAATTCGAGCATCTTTTTATCTCAGAAGGAATATGTGCATTACGTTGCTGAGATAAGGGAGAATTTGCTTTGATATGTTTTTGAATGAGGCTTTGATCGAGTCTGGGCTTAGTATAAATGGACCATAACTCAAATAGAAATTAATATTTTTAAGGATATTATGGTATTATTTGAGGTTGTTTTAACTTTTGTTAAAATGGTTCGTCCATTCAAACACAATGCGAAAGTGTCTGTGTGCCTATTCACTCTTGAACTACTGACCTGATTTACATGAAATTTGCTACAGAGATAGTTTGGAGTCCTGCCCCTCTAGCATGACATATATGATCATATCCCGTTTCGGTGGTCATGCTAGAGGGGCTGGAAAGTTTATAGGATAGTTATAATCCTAGGAATCATCGTATATGAATTCTTCGTTTCAAAGGGTGTTAGAATTTATGAAAATAGTGCATAGAGGAGGTGACAAAACACTACCCTACAGAACACCAGCTACATCGCATTATGACAATTCCATCCACACAAAATGAACTATCACAGCACATACAGGTAACTCAATCAATTACAGTTGTAGGAAGATACAAACAGAGAAACCAATATTACTTATCTTCATTTAAAAAATCATCATTTCCATGGGTCATTCTCTCACTTCACAGAACTGCAAAAGAACAACTACAGATTTCATACATATTATAAGTTCTCTAATAGGTACTTTGATGTAGGATCTTATAGAAAACAATGAGGAAGTTGTACAAAACTAAGAATAGAATTCAGGTCTGGTTTTTCAAGGTAAAAGAAGAATTATAGTAGGTACCTTTCTTTCCATGCCAAAAAGTTAATAATAGGATTTATTACCAAATTCTTCCTGATTTGGTAATAAATAGAGTGATGATATCCAGGACAAAAATGATCATAATGACTAATGAGAACTTATGAAATCTATCCAGAGGTCTCCTGCATCATTACATTGTAGCAGTATTCTATGATATATAAAAATGAAAAACTGCAAGAATACAAAAAATATTTTGACTATTTAAATGTGATTTTATTTACAAATAAACAACAATAGTTTCAACACAATCATTTTCCACTCAAGAGTAATTGTTAAATATTCACTAACAGCACTATTATTTCACCCCCAAAACAAGACTATTATTGTAAAATGACAAAATTAACACTTGTGTTGTGCATGCAATCTGCTTTGAGGTGGATTTTATAAATTTTACTTTAATCTTTTGAATAGGTCTTTGGTGACACATTTATCAAGCACATGGAGGTAGTCTATGAGTTCTTCTTCACAGGTCTCTGCTGTGTTGGAGCGAGAGTTAACACGGTCATTGCATTCTTGGTATTTAGACCAATGATTCTGGGCATCTTGCTTTTGCGAACATTGTTCCTGTAATTTAAACATAACTGTATTACAATTGGTGTTATAAAACAATAATATACCATAATGTAAGAAGATATTAAAATTAGGTTAATTACTAATGCTATATTTTATTTTTTTGTTTATTATCATTAATTTATCACCTACAACATATAAGTATAAATGTTTCTTTTTCTATATTTGAAATACAAAAAATATAACTACATAAAATATCAAAACAAAAAAACTTTTTTTGGGTATTGTTAGTTGTGACAACGACCCCGTAAATTTACTAAAATAGAAATCATTTTAAAAAATACTCTAATAATTTACTTCATACAACAAGTATTTAGAACAAGAATGAATTATGAAGACCATTAGCATTCCACTAGGGCTAGGCTTACAAGTGTGTGTTAGAAATATTATATTCATTTAATAATGCCGAATAATTTATTTCTGATATTTTATTTTTTAATAGATTGATATATTATTTTGAATTCTTGTACAGATATTTTTAGGTTAAGAATACTTCAACAATATCCAAATGTATCACATGTAAAGCATAGTTTCCTTGTGTCGATTAAATGACAAATATTACCCTAAGGACGGTCTGAGGATCTACCAACTCTTCCTCGGTCTCCTCATCGGCCTTTACCACAGGTATAATTTTATCGGTCATTTTGCCTGAAAACACATCACCATTATGAACCATGATATTAATTTAATAATATTTTATGTATTTAACGATTATATAATCAGTTAATTATGAAATACAAAGGTTTAAAATTTACCCAAAATCGATGATGCAACAACGATCTGACAGAAAATAAAATTTGTTACCATTCGGAAAAATATATTGCTATTGTTTTATGCCGGCACTTCACATGGCTGTTTTTCATTGTAATTTTGACAGAAGCTGTCATTTTCATACTCAATAACCATGGACTTTAAGTGTCAATAACATCGATAGGAAAATATGAAGTGAGAAACCTATCCATCTGTCAATAATCCTCCAGTAATACAAGTCATGCAAGTTTTTACATATTTACAGTATATTATACATTTACATAATTTTTAAAGGTATATAGCTTAAAAAATTTAGCTTCCTTAAAAAATAGGCAATTGATTACGCCGCCGGAGCCGGCAAGCATGTTAGGAATAGGAATGGTTGCCGGAGCTGTTTGTCACGTGTTTAAAGCGGGCTACTGACATCCCTGCAATCTAGTGTGCACGGCGGTCGGGGCAATATCGGCTTGTCTCTACACAAATGCCCGCTATTCAGTGTTTGGCTATAAGTTGAGCTAAACACACGCTTTGATAATCGCCCCAGTATTATCAAAAAATCAAAACATCGGTAGGTAGGGCCTTGGCTCTTTCTATGTTGTAAACACAAAAAAAAAATATACTGGGTGAAGAATTGGCAATAGAAAGAAATGTATTAAAATAAATAATGTTTGTGTTTTTTATCCCACATGTGGAGCCGGTCTTTGATTAGTTTTATCACTTGAGACCAAACTTCATGCTCATTATGATCTGCCGCCATCTTGATCGAAATACGTGCGCTCTGTGTGACCAACCAACTGATTGAGAAATTGCCCCGGTCGCGCTACACATACGGCAACGTGCAGGACGGCATGGACAATTAAGCGACTAAGGGTGGTCTCGCACCCCTGCCGCCCTACCGCAGAGCCAATTTAGAAATTTGCCCCTTCTTGCTTATACACATCACAATTCCCCACACATACACCCTTAGACCATTAAACCACTTAATGGTCTAAGCATACACCCTAGATTGTCTCTATGGCAGGGATTTTGTAGCCTGCTTATCTGTCATCATATTAGTTCATCACGTCACTTGGCTCTAGGATATTTTATTGTTACATACTTGTTTGCCGAAGTTTTCTGTCTGATGCTTGTCTGTTGCATTGAGTGATTTTGATTTAGAGCATCTTAATCATATGAACCTTATCCTCGAATCGAACTGTAGCTGTGAGTGTTTCACGTTTGAAAGATCGGAAATAAATGTACTTCCTACAACGAATTTAGCATAGAATTAACAAAGTATAAGAAAGCTGTTTAAGGTTAAGAGACTCCAGAACTATTACGAATCAAGCATCCTGATACAGTAAAAAATGCCAACCAGGCATTAAAATATTACTTGGTTGCGACTTGTATTATGGAGGCCATACACACTAGGTTTTGCATGGTGGTTATGCATGTACATGCATAACCGAGTTTCACATACATGTTGGGGTTTGCATGTACAGTTTTGCCATTACTCTCAGTTGAGCTACGTGACGGAGTGTGTAGAACGCCTATTAAGTACTGTGAATGGAATATTTTTTTTAATCACATCTTCTTTCGTAGCTGTGGGCACTAATTCCTTGACCTTAGTTATCAATCTCTGGTAGTCTTTGCACTTTACGCCAAAGACAAGGTTCTGACTTATAACTTTCTATAAATTCTTCTAATGTTGCATTGCGCTTGCGACTAGCCATTTTCGAAACGACGCGATGGTGCTCGGACCTTCCGCCGTCGCAACAATCAAAAACTGAGAACTATGACAGGCAAGCTCGCCGGACGCCACACACGCTCGGTTATGCATGCGCATGCATAACCGAGCGGCATAAAATATCAATTTTGATATTTGTTCGGTTGCATGTACATGCAACGATAACTGTACAGTTTTATCACATACACGCTAGGGTTTGCATAATGGTTATGCATAACCATCATGTAAAACCTAGTGTGTATGGCCTCCATTAGAGGTGGCAGAAAATTCGAGTCTAAACATGAAACATCGACTTTAAATTGCTCAACATTTAAGCAGGATTCTCTGGTTGCAATATCTATACATTAGTAACTGTAAGCAATATCTCGTAGTAACGAAACTGAATGAATGTCATTATCATAAAACTACTATAACAGTTTATAGCAACAGTGACTGAAACTTCCTGTTGAAATAAAGGCGGATAGAAGTTTTTATGTAATTTTACTACCTTTTTTCAGATTTCATCCGAAATATATTTTTTGTTTATTATCTGACCTGAAATAATCATAATGTCCACTTGAGTCACTTTGTTGCTTAATCCAAAGCCGTCATCGAAAATCCGATATCTATAATACTTTTCAAAATACTGACCGCGGAGAAAACAGTTTTCAAAATCAGCAAAAAATGGCGGCCTGACCCTAATGTGTCAAACTGTTGATTAAAAAAAACAATATTATTAACAGGGATGACGATTATGGTAGTTTTCCAATTACAGCACTAGAGCGCATTATGCGGCATAATGCTTAACGTTGAATGTTTCAACTACAGCAACGCTTCGCACAATCGAGCACTCTCAAAAGTAATGTTTTCGTGTGATGCGTGCAATCGATACTAACTCAGTGACAGAAAATTAACAAGTGTTTTTTTCTTTAAGTTGGCATTGATCGAAATGTTTTATTTATATATTATCGTTATTAATATTATTTATTGTTGAATTTTTTTAAAGCTTTCGTTTCATTGTAGTTTTTTTTTAAATAATCAAAGTTAATTCAAACTGTGTTAAAAAAATATATAAGTATGGCTGAAGGTACAAACATTGTAATTTTTTTATATTCCACATTTTTTGTTCAACACTGAACTTAGCGCACTCTGCTGGTGCATTTGAAAACTAATTCACTTTCCAATTAAGCATCAGCATAATTCGGCATTGTGCGCCACTGAGTCGCATTATGCTCTGTAATTGGAAAACTACCTATATGACGACCGACTTTTTTTTCGTACAATATATGTCAGGTATTAGCACGGCACGTATTAAGTATTTTTTCTTTATTTACATAATCATACCATTAAAGAGATATATCACGAGCTCCCACTTCCAAAGTTTGACGCGCTTTATCATGTTATTTTTTGGTTGATCGACCGAAGAAAAAATGTGTCCAGTATTTTTTGATAATCTAACCATAATCTAACTGACAGACTTCGCTTAGATTATCACTCACCCTTATTAAGGGCATAGCCTAAGCCCCAAAGTAAGCTCGGTGTCAATACTGGCGTGATTCCTTATTCAGAGACACTTAAAAACACTTCAACAATCACGCCAGTATTGACACCGAGCTTACTTTGGGGCTTAGGCTATGCCCTTCCTGACTTAAAGTGGCACCCTCAGAACTTATTACTGAATAAGTTGTTATTTAATAAAGTCAATCGATGAAATTCATTTCAAACTTTATTTATTAATAAAGCAGCTGTTCGGATTGGTGGCTCCGGGCTCCGGCAGCTGTTCGGATTACCGGCTCCGGCAGTTGTTCGGATTGCCGGCTCCGGCAGCTGTTCGGATTGCCGGCCCAGTAGCTGTTCGGGTTGCCGGATCCGGCCGCTGTCCGAATTGCTGGCTCCGGCAGCGGAGTCACTGCCTAAAAAATATGTAGAAAAATTAATAAAAAAGAAAAATTTTACATACATTTCTATAATACCTGGTTCCGGATTGCAATGTTTGGCGCTGCAAAGACTTGATTCTGCTATGATTCTCACACACAAAAACTAAAACTTTGGCAGTAGCATATGGAGGAAACAGTTTTAATATGTTTGACTTCAATCTTTGGATAAACAGGTTTAATGCAAAACCTATTTATTATTGTAGCATCTCTGTTTGGCATGAAGCTAATCTGATGATTGAACCCATAGAGCAACTCGGCCGACACGGCGTGAGTAGGCATTTACATAGTTCCCCTCTGTCGATTTCTCCCCGCGGTTGGGCCAGCTCACGTAACAAAAGTAGTTGCGATCGGATATTTCACTAGACTGACTCAAGTCGTGAGAGTGTCAGAGCAGAAAAAACGCAAATTGTTCAGTAATTTGCTGTCATATGGAGGAAACAGTTTTATACTATGATTGAGTTCAATTTTTATAAAAACAGGTTAAATGCAAAACCTATTTATTATTTTAGCATCTCTGTTCGGCATGAAGCTAATCTGATGATTGAACCCATAGAGCAACTCGACCGACCGACGCGGCGAGGAGGGGAGTAGACATTTACAACATTCCCCTCTGTCAATTTCTCCCCGCTGTTGGGCCAGCCAACATAGTCAATTGTTGTTTGTTTGGTAATTTCGTTAATTAATATAATTAATCGTTTTTTGTTTTTTAAGAGAATTATGCATGCCTGAATCGACACTTAATAATTGTTTATAATTTTTATGTGGCTATTTACCGCCATCGATATAGAGTACTTTTTATACATATTATCGTAATTCAACGTCGAAAGAAAGATTTTGGTGTCGAATATGTTAGCGTTCTCTGAACTTAAATTTGACAAGTGTATCCTTGTCATCCTCTATACAGAATGAAAAGGAGATAGTAATATTAACTTTAGTTTTAAGCTTAGAGAACCATGCAAGAATCGACACCTTTGTTTGGTTAAGTTATAGATCGTGATTGATTGAATATTTTTTTTGGTAAGATCTCTTGATGTATATTTGTTTTATCAACATGCTATTTGTATCGGCAGATACCAATGATATTAAATACCCTAGATACAACAACACGAACAAAATCGTGCCCGAAACCTGTCCAAAAAGTACATGGAACGATCCATGGAGCTCCGTAAGATGATCGCGTAGTCAAAATCAATATAAGACATTAATTAAATATAGAAAGTAATCTTTAATACATACTGTATAAGGTCTTAAATAAAACGCATGCGTCAAGGACTTCTGACAGTTCGAAATGCAAGCTCATAAAATTTTACGACTTATTGTTATATGCGAAAGAATTTAGACCTTAGTTTTTTGACTCTATGCGCAATTCTGAACGCGCTGTTAGCATTAAAGCAGGCACGGACCGCGAGGAAAAGAGACGGCTATATGGCGACCTATAACCGACCATGCATTTGAATATCACAAATATTTAATATTAAATCAGTTTATAGTATTAGATCAAAATTTGCTTCAAATACGTTAAATTAACAAACATTGATAAGATACCTGTCGAAAAAACGATACTATTCGTACTCTAAGTATTATTTTTGCATTTTTTCGCGGAGCTTTGAAGTATCTTGGCTTCGTAACGGTTATAATAAGGTACTCTGTGTAACGGTCCGCGCGTGACTGTGAACCAAGAAGTTGATTCCGACACATTTTGAGCGCTCGTGGTGTATCTAGGGTATTTAATATCGTTGGCAGATACACTTAATTAAATCTGGTTGAATGTTTTCCAGTATCAAAAATACCATTCATTCATTTTTCATAACATCACTATGAATATCTACCTGTTATTTTTGTCATTCATTCGTGATTCCGCGCCTTTTCTTTTAATAGAATTTTATACCAGAATATTAACTTTTTAGAACTTAAAAATACTTGTTTATGATAGGAAACACCATGTTTTAGCAAGATTGAAGTGTCAGATCGGTTTTTCGTGAGAAAACCACATAATTTTTCATTTTTGCGGGAGCTCCGACTCACGCTGCGAAACGATCCAAATTGGTAGCAGTCATGCGTGAATTAGTTTTATATAATGATCATGGCCAATGGCCATGATCGTTTTGGCGGAGGGGTTCGCCCGTCCATGCCATCTCCAATGGTTAAATCCTCTAAGGGTTCATGTTATCAGTCCTGTAATAAAAGGCAATTTAATAAAAGGCGTATTAAAATATAAAATAAAAGGCGTAAAGTAATTGCCAGATCCAGAACCTTTCGGCAGAAACGCATGGACAATTCAGTTCATGCCAGAACCTGAACCAGAATCCCACCACCATCCGATATCCCGATCATTAAGGATCACAATATTTTTTTTACTTACTGGCAATTTTTTTGACAGTTTGGAATCATGTTGTGCAACATACAAAATTGAAACACAGACGTCTATGAAGTACAGATTTAATTAAAATAATTTCCAGGTACGTAGAGCCTTGTAATAAGGATACTTTATTGTAAACATTGCCTACTGTGGTCGAAGGATAGTCTTCATCATGTTTATTTTCAAAGAAAATTATATTAATGTTAGTTTTTCATTAGTCGTACGTAAATAATAAATAATATTTTATTCAAAAGGATTACAACAAGAAATACACAAAGTAAGTTTGTAATTTTTTCCATGAAATATACAGTTCGTAAGTGTCCGTCACCATGGAGAGAGCTTGTAATATGGAATTCTATTTTATTTCGTTCAGGGCTTTTATACTGTAAAAAGCAAGTATTTTCTAAACTGGTGTTACTTCTAAATTCATTTCCAATAGTTGAGAATATGATATGACCAGCAATTGTTAGCATCAAATAGAAAATCGAAATTATTTTGTTGCAACATATTTTATTTCTTTATAATCATTTCAGGTTTGTTTTAATAAATTTATTATATCACTAATCAATTATTTTTACAGATTGAGAGTGTCTTGCTTTTTTCTAAAGCACAAGTTTTTGTGGGGACAACCATCTATTGGAAAACATTGAGGTTATATCTTGTAAAACATTATTATTATTTTGTGTTTAAGGATGAATGGAGGAATGGAGCATAAAACCCCAGGACACAATGCAGTGCTTCATAAAGCACCTAAAAATTATAAATTGCTTATGGATCCATTTCTTGTAAAGGGAGCAACAAAACTGTATAGATATGATGGATGTGTACCTGGAGATACTACTTATCCGCCAGTTCAATGCAGAGATCCGAGATCTCAGCTATCAAGAATGTGGAATAGATTAGAACCTGCTGACTTACCAGTGCCTAGGTAATACAATTGTGTTAAAGTTTGTATCCGCTGTAACATAACTATTTCAATACATGGATTGTCGGAGTAACTATATCCTATCAACAATTGATATTTCAATCCAAAAGAACAGTACTTAATTGCTTTTTTTCATACCATTGATCACTTTTATCAATAATTGGTTATTATTGATAAACAGTGTAATGTTTGAATAGATGTATCAGTTTATGTGTTAAATTGTTTTGTTTTTTTATGTGATTTATATTTAATATGGTTGCATCAAATAATTTATTTGGTGGTAAGAATTAATAATACGTATAGTAATACCTTATTTTCTGATGATATAATTTCAAATAACATTTTCAATATTAGTTTGGTTATGATCTTTGTTTTTATTAGCCTTACTTACAGTATTGCCAACTTTCAATTTCTAAAGTTGCGTTAGTGGCGGGAAATTCAAAAAGTTTTTGAGTATTTTCTAGTGTATTTCTCAAAATGTTTTGTATGTTACTTTCAGGTTCAGAATAGACAAAAATTACGTGGGGATTCCACCTCAGCTTGAAATAACTATAGGAAATTTGAATGATAACATTGATAAAGCATTTTTGGCAGATATGATGAATAAAGTGGGACCTTATGAGGAGTTGACTATATTTTTTCACCCAATCACCAACCGACATTTGGGTTTTGCAAGAGTAGTATTTCAAGATGTGAAATATTCAAAACTGTGTATAGATAAATATAATGGAAAATCAGTAATGGGCCAGGTTTGAATGATTCTATAAATCTATATTATAGATCTTGAAAATTCTAAATGAAAAATAGTGTAAGATTTGTCTGTCATGACCGTCAGCTGTTTCATAGCGCATTGTGTATAGTTGTGTACTTATACTTTTTATGCTTCCTTCCTACTGTTAGACTTAGTCCCATAAAGTGGCCATCATTTTAAAGGAATATAAGACAGCTAGGATGTATCATTAGACCCAATGTCTTGTTTACATTATGCTTTTATTAATAATGAAGCTTAGTAAGTGAATCTAGATTGCATTTGGCAAGTATTTTGTAGAATTTTGAGTTACTGAGCACATATATATCTGTACACAAAGTTTGCCTAGGTGCTTGACTAAATTACACACTACGAAGAATTGATCCATTACCCTGTAGACTTTATAAACTGGACAAAATTTTTGCTGTCATTATCTTAGCTTATTAATGACCCCACTGCTGGAGCACAGGCCTTCCCTATAATTGGCATAGGGAGAATGGGCCATTACCCACCACATGACCAGTGCCGATTAGTGGGTGCTAATGACTGCAGATGCAATGGGGTGGTAAATATTCAGTTTTACTTGCTTATCTTCAGCAATCACAGACCGAACATACAAACAACCTGCCTCACTGAGCTCCTCGAAACTGCAATTTTTGGGTTCTTTGTTCATCAATGAATGCTATACATCTTTTAAGAATTTATTTTATACCAGTAGCTTAGTCTGATATGATGGTATAGATAACTCCAAGTCTGTACTAGGTAGTATTTTATAACATTGATGAAAAACAGTGATATTATGAAAGTGATTGCATTTTATATATACTATTGTGCTGGTGCTATTTGAATATTATAAAATGATTATTATTGCTTTGACAGGTGCTTGATGTCTTTCATGATCCATTTGGAAAAAGGTGTCAAGAAATGTTTGATAATAAAACAATGGAGAGAAAACAACACCATACAATTCCACCTGTTAAGCCACCGGTGTTGATTGAGGAGGTGCGCCCGCAAAAAATTGATCCTACTCTCAGCAAGCGGTTAGAAGAGGTCAAAGTGTCTGAAAAGGTAATTTACAGAAAGTAGTTTAATTTGTTTATTAGGTTTTCATGCACACCACTCATTAAATAAAACAAGTTTCAACAGTATAGATGCAGAGTGTGATGTATTCAGGGTTCATGTATGTATGTACGTACTCCTTTACTCCACCATAACTGCTAAACGCCTGAGTCGATTTAGATGTATCATAATGAAAGGTGATACATTTTCGAGGAAGTTGTTTTAGGATCCGTGGTGAAATGAAGTCCAAACCAGCCGCTTTTTGGAATCAAGTAATTAAATTTCTCTTGCGATTTCTTTTGGGGAGGCATAGATTAGAGGCAGGCATAGCTCGAGATCTTGAACAAGCACCGTTTTAACCTCAGTTTCTTCGACTAGGGCATTGTTAGGCGTAAAAGTTGTGGCAAGATGGGTAGCAAATACTTCAGCTTTCTCTGCATTTGTTTTTGCCTAGGAAGTAAGTAGATAAAGATTGTAATAGAAAAAATAAAAGCAATGGTGACAATTGTAATAGTTACTTTAAATGGATAGGCCGAAATTAATTAAAAAAGAATACTCGGGCGCCAGGCCTACCACACTAAAAAACTGCCTATCATTATACCATATTAGCCGGGAAAGCAATGGACTATTAATCGCAAGGGGAGTTTAATGCAAATCCATATTCATTTTGGGTTGTCAATTTATTTAAATTTACTACAGAATTACTGGTCCAAAAGGGTTACTGCTAAATTTTGAAACTAAGACTATGATTCTACCAAAAATAAAATGAAAATTTACCTTATATTAGGGTTCGGGTACGACAATGAATTTGGACATTACCGACTTTGCTGCATCTGATCTGGGTAGTATATGTCTGGTGTGGTAAATATTTAAGGGATGGCCGTTGTTACATCACGTGGGTTCACCTCCACATCACGGGAAATGTTGAAGTTTGAATAAAAAAAATCCAAATAAATAATCCAAATAAAAAAACGCTTTTCGCTGAAAATAAACATTCCTCAGATTAGCACATGGCTTACAACAAAGGAAAAAATGTGAAACTAAGGAAAACACTAAGGTTCTTACCGTTTTATAAACAAATTTAGCTTGGAATGGGGTCGCCGCCATTCCGCGCAAACGGTGTAAAATATTACATCATTAAAAACAATCGACAATCCAATGGATTATCAAGTTATAAATTTAGATTAAGATTCTTACATGTTTTACGTAAAAATTACGTCGTGAAGTGACATTAGTTATTTCTCAAGTTCGTTTTCTCTTGCCGGGAAGGCAAAGAGAACAACGTCCATACAGCCTACTGCTTGATAAAGGCAGAAACATAATAATTCAAAAGTGCACAGATTAAAGAAAATGGGCGCGAGATAAAAACGACCAGAGAGACAACCAAAAAAAAATCTTCTATCTCGCTCTTCGAGCGAAGGAGATCCATGTAACGTTTTTAACACGTTACAAGATCTAATAAACGAAGTGTATTACATACTTTGGTTTGCCAACGATCCTCGTGTTCTTGTACAGAGTAGTTCGCCTTTACCATGTGGTGACATACTTTCCAATTTTTGTTTGATATTGGGCATTCCTAGTTGTCTCTAGAACTAACTTTAGGTCCTTTACGGCACGGTTAAACACCTTTTGTATCGACCTCTCTTCTGGTTTGGTGCCATATGCTTCGTAAACGGTGCTTTTCCAAAAAAAATATTTTGAAAGTAACTATTATGTTTAATTTTTGTTTGATATTGGACATTTCTAGTTGTCTCTAAAACTAACTTTAGATCCTTTACGGCACGGTTAAACACCTTTTGTATTGACCTCTCTTCTGGTTTGGTGCCATATCCTTCGTAAACGGCGCCTTTCCAAAAAAAAAATTTTTTTTTGAAAAAATTCCCGGTCTGTCTTATGATTGGTCAACCTTTCAGACTGTTTTTCAGACATGATGACAGATGAGCTCAATGTTAATATTACCGGGGTATGATCAAAGCTCCCATCTAAGCTAGATTCTACGCAGGTATATAACTCACTTATGTTTTTAGTAACGAAGAAGTCGAGGAGATCTTGAAGTCTAATTTTGTCTGGTGGCTTGGTTGGTTCTCCAGTGGATATAGTTTTTTTTATCTTCTAGGGGTTCCAAATCACACAGATACATAATTTTCTATGAATTTTTAAATTTGCTTTTACTGACCTCCTTAATTATCTATAATATTTGTGTCAGTGAAGTAAAGCCACCTCACAAACTATTCTGTGATTAGACCCCTTGAAGTGCAATAATATACTGATAGCAGAGCAAAGGGCTTTTTTCGCGTTAATGATTCGTGGTATAAGGAATTGGATAGCTTGACATTGCAAATATTCGCATTATCGCGATATTGTCCCTAAAGAACATAGTAACATCATACTGCTTATTTATTTCTTATGTTTTCACGCACACCACTCATTGAATAAAACACTTTTCAACAGGTTAAAATGTATTTTCCTCTTACTTTTATAAGCATTTCTATGTTTCGCATCCTTTCCAGGATAACCCGTTGAAAATTCTTTTGTTTAAACATTGTTTTATTACTATTAATTAATTCTCCGGTTATTCTTTAATTCGTTCAGGAACCCCATACCCGGTACAAGGACGTTGAGCACAGCGACAGCAACACCCGATGGTCGGACGATGAGAGAGAGTACCGACACAGACATCGCAGCCGGGGCGAGCGAGACAGGGAGCGGGAGAAGGACAGAGACAGAGACAGAGATAGAGATCGAGATCGAGACAGAGACAGGTATTATAGTTCTATTCAAACTTAATGGTGACTGTGGAGTTAGCGCTAGTCGCGAGGCAGTAAACGATATGTAGGGTGATACTTGAGCGTGCGGAAAGTATAATAATAATAAACACGTTTATTTTCTCATAACAAACGTTTGTAGCAATAACAAAATATACAGTCGAACACAGAACCTCCTTTTTTGAAGAGGGTTAATAACAAAAAAACGAGCCAGCTTAACAGTAGTCGCGTATGATGTGTAACATTTGAAATCTTACACACAGTAACCTTACAGTAACTCTGAGTGTTTTGGAAAACTTGAAAATTAGCGCCATATCGTACGTAAAGAGAACTAAAAAACAGTACACATTTGACAATGACATTTCTTACTTGCAAACGATACGAATTCGATATAGGTTCGTGCTAAGGGTACAGTACTATTATAGCCGCGTCGGCTGTGTTGCTCTATGGTAACAGGTCATCAGGAACTCGAATTTTCAAAAATATTTAATTAGTGTAATGAATGTGAATATTCAGTAAAACTAAAGTATGGAAAGGAAAGTCACTGAATTGAAATCTGCCGATGGTTGCGTTCCCTGCTAAAGTTTTGCGTCCCGGAGACGATCAAGTCGACTTGTGAAGTCTACACGATTGAAGCCAATATTGATCGTTTACCTCGTTTACTTGACGCAAAAGTGTCCACATTTGAATACCGCATGTGATCGGGCGAGGAGAGAGGGTACAACATAGAACAACTTTAAAAAAATAACCAACTTTTTTTTAATAGCTCTACTTGCGTGTTAAGTTTTACTGTGGCGACTTTCTTTTCGATCGACATTTGCATTTAACTGTGTAATGACGTCATGCAAGTAAATACAACAGACAGAAGTAGCAAGGGTAGTAGCTGAACTTGTATAATTTGAGATTATCACTTTTCTGTATTGTGACGCATTTGAAATTATAAACTAGGGAGTGATTTTGTTTGGGCTGGTTATATTTTGCTATTTTTGAAGAATATAAAAATAATAAATCGTTTACTAAACAAAGAAAAATAGTAAGACATGGTAGTAACTGCATATGGAAGTTATGATTGCGCATTAAAATTATTTCCGCAGTTGTTACTTCGACCGTCCCATGTGCGACTATTTCAACCATCGAATGTTTACAATCACTTGATAAGTATGTGCATATACCATTGATTTGTCATGTTGAAGTTAAAGCTAAGCGTATTAAATATAACCTCATATTTATGATACAGAAATGTTCGTTTTCTTATATTGAGTATGTAAAATAACTTAAAATTGGTGAAGATTAATAAAAAATCATTTGTGTCATGCGTTTGTTTGTTTTACAAGCCGACGATGCAGAAGGAAGTGTAGACGAAGGTATATAAAAATCTTATTAATACATATCAGTATGAGTAATATATAAATTTAATTTGCTAATTTTGTGTTCATGGTAGTACTAGAAAGAAACAATTGCATATCGCACACATCATTTGTCATTTATTCACATAGGATTTTCATCTTGAATTGGAGCGACAGTCTTAAGAGTACAGTAATTTGCTATAGGATTGAAAGGCTGTTGAGGAAAAAATATTTCTGTTATTACCATCATCAGCCTATTAATGTCCTGTCCTTTACTGGGACAGCTCTTATCGATGTAATAAAAATTGAGTATCACATTTTTTACAGCTTATGGTGGTAACTTGATATGCTCATGATGACACTCTCGCTATAACGAATACTCAAATCGAGGCGAACCTTTTGAGAAAATTTTACATATTATTCTCACTTGATATCTGGCTGATTATACATGGTAACAGTACCAGTTATTACCCTAATAATATAACGAGTACTCGGCGACCAGGTATCGGGAACGCTACGGTCGGGGGTCCAGCGAGACTAGCGACTCCACGTACGCGGCGTCGAGTCACGCCCCCGAGGTGCCGTATACGCCCGCCAGCGCGGTCCCATACGACTCCTATTACCAACCCAGGTAAGGTTAACTGTACCCTTAGTACGAGTTTTACAATTACGAAAACTATGATAGTTTTCGTGAGCAGCACTCGCACTAAGGGTACTTATTTTATTGTTTTCGTATCAATACAAATAAACAGTGTTTAAATTCGATCATTAAAGCATTTGAGTCTTCTTAATTTTTAGTATATTTGGTTACTTTTCACCAAAATGGACATAGAAACATAATTTACAATTACGAAACCTATGATAGTTTTCGTGAGCTGAAACTCGTACTAAGGGTACTGATCGAGTGCAAATTAATATTCAATTAGAACAGAATAGAAAAGAAATATTTTTATTGCTCTCACAATAATATATAGTTCAATACATAGTACAATGCAATATGACAGCGTGAAGAGCAAATGGATGTGGCTCAGCATAAACTGCTTCGTTACAAAATGTCTCGGGCATCACGGGTTTTCAGCCACACCCACTTATTCTTAGAAGAAAGTCACGAATTCTCCTTCAATAAACTAGCCTTCGACTGCGTGGAAATATTGGTTTCCCATACAAACTTTGAAACTTACCCCGTCTTACCCCTTTAGTTAGGGGCGAGTTTTGGAAAATACTTTCTAAGCGCACACCTACATCATAATAGCTATATGTGTGCCAAATTTCAGCGCAATTCGTTCAGTGGTTTGAGTTGTGCGTTGATAGATCATACATTATACAAATTGCCTTTTGTACATACAGATATGAAGATTTAAACATAATTTGTCATTTTTAGGATATCTATCACGGTAAAATTAAAAAGTCACATGGAGAGATATAGATTTAAATGCTTTGTCACCTTTTTTATCGATACAATTTGATATGATGTAGTAAGTATATTTTAATTTTATTCTACCTATCGTAACTTCACGCCTAGTCCAGCCCCTCTAGCATGACCACCGAAACGGGATATGATAAAGCGATATATCAACATTAACTGTCAGACTACTGTCAAACTCCATAGAAGTCTGACAGTTAATGCCGATATATCGCTTTATCATATATCCCGTTTCGGTGGTCATGCTAGAGGGGCTGGGTAGGGTTGCCTACCCTACCTATAGAATAGAGCGTCATAATACACGGTCCATTCATACATCTTTCGCATCATTCACAGGCATTTCTCTTTAAAACGCGTCTGATAGTTTTTGTGGCTTATACCTTTATTACCTTCAAATTGCAATCACTTTGATCGTGATAGGTAAGTCTTGCCTTTCTCGACTTCTACATCCTTACATTATCGCGTCGTATATCTGTTTCATCAATCTCTTATTAGACTTTCTTTCCACATCTCCGAACCAACGGAGCATGCCTCTGTCGATTTTAACACCGATATTGTCTTTTACACTTATTCTTATATTATTTTCATTTTATATGCAGAATGCTGCGTTATCCACCAGATGATGCTGATCATATCAATTTCCATCTCACGTTCAAGTTCTCAATATTAAGTACGTTATCAGGTTTTATTCCGAAGAGGAGCCGTGACGTAATTGCCTCAAGGTCCACAAGTGCATCACACTCCCACTTCTCGATAAAGTCGTACTGAAAATAGTAAATGCTACCTTATTTCAAGACTGATTTTAATTTTGTTTTTACGGAAAGCTTTCTTTATTACTATACTTGATGGTCACCTACTATTGACGTTTACAAGTATTTTCCAAAACACCAGCGAGTGAGGCAAAAGTAGGGATGACGACTTACTTTTATTTCTTCGTTTATCGGATAGATTATCAAAAAGTATAGGACACGTATTTTGTTCTTTATTCAAATAATCACAACATTACAGAGATATCTTGATTTGAAATGTATGACGTCACGTTTTGGGAAAATTTCTACTTAGAAGTGACGTGCGCTTTATCTTTGTAATTTTTTGTTTGATTAAACAAAGAAAAATTTCAGTCCACTTACATTAAAACAAAAAGGGGCTCGAAAGTGATCCGCTTAAATAGGGATGATGACTATTTTTTTTTCTTCGTTTATCGGGTAGATTATCAAAAAGTATTTGACACGTATTTTTTCTTTCTTCACAAAATATAAACATTGCAGAGATATATTGATTTAAAAAGTTGCATGACGTCACGTTTGAGTACACTTATATAAGTGAAAATTCACTCAAAAGTGACGTCACGAGCCCCTACTCCCAAACTTTGACGCGCTATAACTTTGTCATTTTTTGGTTGATTGCCCAAAGAAAAAATACGTGTCCATTATTTTTTGATCATCTAACTGACGGACTAAATAGAATTTCGTTTACTTTACCCCGTCATCACCCCTATTGTGGTGCACGATCACAATTCGCTGTAGTCACAATTGGACATTCAAACACGCTGCATCTACACTCAATATAACAATATTGCGTATATTCTGTGTTATAAAGATAAAACAATGCCTTCGGTGCTTTTATAAAGAACACAAATAGTTCAAAATCGAATAACTAATGCCTTGGCAACACTAAAATTCGTAAAACTGTAAAATCATTTTTTTTCTCAAAAATCATGGTTTCACGTGAATGTTATTTACATAATCGCCATTTTGTTATCAAGAAAAGGACAACAATACAGCTCAGCCGTTCTCGGAAGCTGATTCGCCGTTTCGTTCTCTATGCGTTGAAGCGTTCAGTACCCTTAGCACGAACCATTATCGAATTCGAATAGTTTGCAAACCTAAATGTCAATGTCAAATTTTGTATGGAAACTTGAACAGCAGCGCCACAAAGTACGTAACGGGAACGTAAAATCAGTACACATTTGACAATGACATTTCGGACTCGCAAGCGATACGAATTCGATATTGGTTCGTGCTAGGGGTACAGTTCTGTCTCGCTCGCTCGATTGAATGTTATTTACAGAAGTGTGCGTGTGTGAGAGTTGCTTAATGTAGTTGAATCGGATCATATTTATTTGATGCTAGTATGAAATGAAAAGTCATTTATTCAGTCTAGGCTGTTACAAGCACTTGTGAAAGTCAAGAAGCTACGCCATCGGTTCGTTTACGTCACTAAACTACGGCGGGAGACCTTGTACTGAGAAGAACCGGCAAGAAACTCAGCAAGGGCTGCTTTTTTCTCCCTGTATTGATATATACAGAGTCGTCAAGTTGAAAAATGACTTCAGACATACTTCTAAAGTCACCTTCCATTACATTATTTGGGGTATAGATAAATAGTTACAACACATTTTATATTTAGTATATAGGAAGCGGCATTAGATAGGTACCATACTACTGTTACAAAACTGACTCATACCCATCAAATAAGAAATTACAAGAAACACTATGTCCATGCATTACGATCATTTAGATAATCATTAACTTTATAATAGCCCTTATTCATAAGAGTATTCTTAATCTGAGATTTAAATTTGGTTAGTGGAAGCTCAATCAGATCTTGGGGAACTTTGTTAAACAATGCAATTCTACATCCCAGAAATGAACCTCTTGATTTTTGGAGTCTGAAACATGGAACGGCAAGTTTTTTCTTAAATCTCGTGTTAAAGTTATGGGTTTGACTTTTTTTGCAAATGCGTCATAGTTTTTTCTTACTTATATTATATTTTCATAGATGTATTGCGATGCCAGTGTTAAAATATTAATTTCTTTAAATTTGTCTCTAAGAGATTCTCTTGCCTTTAAATTATATATGGCGCGAACAGCTCTCTTTTGCAGTACGAAAATACTTTCTATATTGGCAGCTGAGCCCCACAACAAAAGGCCATATGACATAACGCTATGAAAGTAACCAAAGTAAACCATTCTTGCCGTTTCCACATCAGTTAGGAGTCTTATTTTTTTAACAGCGAAGGCCGCAGAGCTTAGTCTACTTAATAAGGCATCAATATGAGGATTCCATTGCAGATGCGAGTCTAAACTAATACCCAGAAACCTTGTAGAATCCACTAACTCTACAGGCTGGTCATTTATTTTTAAACTAGTATTAACCTGCCTCACCTTAGGTAAAGTAAACTTAACACATTTTGTTTTGCTAGAGTTTAGTTTTAAATTATTTACCGTAAACCAGTGAAGGACTTCAGAGAGAACACAATTTACTTCGTCATAACAATCATTTCCTCTCCTAGCTTTAAACACTAAAGAGGTGTCATCAGCAAATAGTACTGTCTCACACAAATCTCTTGTATAGTGAGGAAGGTCATTAATATAAATAAGGAAAAGCAATGGGCCCAATATTGAACCCTGGGGCAATCCCATAGAAATGGGTGCTCCTGTAGACTCAGCTTCATTTATAACTACTTTCTGAATCCTAGCAGAAAGATCTGTATCAGACTTAGTGAAATATTTGATACATCATAATGCTTCATTTTATTTAACAATGTTTCATGGCTAACGCAGTCAAACGCCTTAGATAAATCGCAAAAAATGCCAATAGCATCGTGCTTACTCTCCCATATATCAAAAATGTGTTTGAGAAGTGCAGTTCCAGCATCACGGTATGAGCGTACCGTACCTTTCCTTTTTGTTTTAATCTAAGCCAGTCCATTATTTTTTGATAATTCAAACAGACAGACTAAATAGAATTTCGTTTACTTTACCCCGTCATCACCCCTATTCCTACTTTATGCAGAATATACTCATGTCACGGTAACATTGTTAGCAGTTACGCATATCGGTCGTACGGGTCGGGTACTCCAGCGGCGGGCGGCAGCGGCACCTGGTGGGGGGAATGGCGGCACGGGCCTCCCCCCCACGTCCATACTCATGTGAGTATATGTATACTCATTTAATAATGATAACACAGGTTTTGACACATAATGGGATTGATTCTGGCATGCCATAGAATCATGTTTCTCTTAACATAAACGACGATAGTTTGACGACAGTCTCTCCTTTTCATTCTGAAAAGAGCATGACATGGATATGATCATTGGAAAACTGATTCTACGGACTCTTGAAAAATATCGTTTTTTTTTATTTGAACCATGCCAGAAGCGGGCCCATTGCTTTAATAAAAAAAATAAGCGAGTTCATTTTACCCTCATCTTTATTTAGTTTGTATTGTTTTAACCAATTAACCTGACCATTTGATAGTTTGGAATCAGACATTAAACAAGATAATTCCAGTATAATTTGCTATCATTACTATGTACTTGTTTGATCTATTAACATTGTTAATTACGAAGTTTCTTTAGTTTATTCGATGCTTTCATATTGAGTAATATAAAAATTGACTATGACACATTAAATTATTTTTGTTTGTAATTAACGCTTTGCTCCTCCTATTTTCATCAATAATTCGTTTATCCACTGTAGCTTTGTATTTGTAATTTCGAATATGTTAGCCACAAACAAAGTGAACACACAAGATACAGGTACTGTTATCAATAATTCTTTTATCCACTGTCACTTTGAATATTTTATTTCTATTTTTCACAAACAAAGTGAACACATACATGAATCAAGAATAATTTTGGTTTTAAGTATATTAATTACCGCTGTTCTCAGTATTAATTCCCGCTGTTCTCAGTATTACGAACTTCGGTGTCATTTACTCTTTTTTCCACGGATTAGTAGCTAATACGTGATAAACTTACGAATATAGTGACCTGCTTCAAGATTTTTGCTGGAATGACAATAAAAATGCTTTTGGCAGTCCAAGCGGAATTATGGAGGAATTGAATAGAGAGAATCGTTGCGGCTATGCCACACCGTTTAGTCTTTTTTAGCCCCGGGCAATTAACAATTTGCACCTCCCCCTTCCCACCCCGAGCAAATGAAAGTAAATTAAATCAAAATGTAGGTCAGAAACGAATGCTTTTTTATGGCTTATGGCCCCCCATCGCCCTCTTCGCCAAGGGTAAATAGGCCCCTGTAGTGTAATAGTAATAGGTGGTATGCTCTAAGTTGGAGCGACGGTCGAGCGCCACGCCTGCATGGGCGGCTGCGACGCCCGCGCCTCGGGAACACTCGCCCGAAGCCAAGGAGCCCGTTGAGAAGGAAAAGGTCGGATTCACGTAGTTGGTTGATGTTGGTATAGACGTGCGTGATGTATCGTGTAGGTAGTGCAACCGGATCGGTGGATAAGCTAATAAATGGGATGCATCTGTTATTCTTACATTAATAAGGATAGAAAAAACAAACCTTTCAATTTAATGCAATGCAATACATATTTTATTGAACAAACACGGTAACTATTTCTTAATTAATAGCATTGTTATTTTAGGATCTAGATTTCCATACTGTCACAAAAAATTACGCATGACAGTGCTATTCAAACTTTATAGCGGTTGTGAAGTTAGCAGCGAGCGCAACAATGCGCAGTTTTACTTCAGTGACGTGTGAGGGACGCGCGCACATGCCCAAATCGTTGTAAATTTCGTTCACATCCGCAACTTGCGCGAACTTCATAGTCGCTATTTAGTTTGATTTGCAGTCTACTTAGCACCACTTACAGTATATATACTCACAGTATATAAAATGAAAGATTATGAGATCGTTTAAATGAACGCCAGTTTCAGAAGAAGTATCTGAATGTCGAATATATTTTTGTTTTTGTAGGCGTATTAAGCCGCGTATTCATTAGGCAACATTTGTTTATACACAGTGTTTCACAGTGTTGCATCATCTCTGTATACAGTTTAAAAACAGATTATAAAAAAAAGGTGATGAAACATTGTAACAGATATATGTTGCGTGTTCTCCACTCTGAGCAAGACGAAACATTTAGTTTATAAACAAATGTTGACAGGGGTGTTGCGAGGTGTTCATAGTTTATTAAAACATGGAAGTAATGTGGACCAATGACCGAGGTTTCGATGCTCATTGAGATTTTCCGGTTACGTACTCAGCGCACTAATCTCCTCGGGCCACATCCTTGCAACAACTGAAAAGTGTGGAAGGCCAAGTTTCAGAAACAGTGTTTACTGTGACCAACTTCATAAACAGTTTATAAACAAAAGAATACGCGGATTTACAAAATAAGTAATTTTTGTTTATAATATTACTGTTAACAATTTTTTTTATTTTTACGAATGACAGATGCATTAAGTGTTACCGTCTATTGCTCGAAGTATTTTTATATATTTTATTATTGATGTAATGTCCAGTGTTGGTATTTGTAGTAGTTTTTCCAAACAGAGTAAGGGTTGTATTTATGAGTAGGGAGTAGGTGCCTGAAGTTATAATAAAGCCTGATGTACACGGGTAAAGGGAGAAATATCATCACGGTAGAATACTAACTATACTTCTAATTATAATAGTATAGAGAATAATTGATTTTTAAACTGTGGTATAAAGATTATCTCTTAGTAAAACAAAATGTCGCCAGATGGTGCTTTATTTAATAAGAAGTACAACTTCTAACGTCCGTATAATAGCTCACATACCATTTTAAAGAGTAGAATACTCTTACTAGGCCTTATTCGGCTGTCTCGTTTACTAATAAACACTAATTACTAAACCTAAACGAATTTATAAATTAACAACTAACCATAATACTTGGAATTGGTCGATTAGTTTGCTCTAACGCTTGCACATCACATGGCTATTCGTGTTTGCTATTTGTAACATGACATCAATCTGTTCTTTTCATTCCTTATAAGGCATATTAAGGACAGACTGTTGTCAAGTTTGCAAATAGCAATACGAATAGCCAAGTGAAGCGTCGGCATAATTTTTGCTCAGTTCGTGTACACCGGTCTTTGAAATTACATTAAAATATTGGAATCGAGGAATGACTGTATTTTTTTTATATTTTTGTAGACTTTTTCATGTTGTTAGATAGTCATTTATTTGAAATGGAATGTAAATGTCGTGTTTGGCGGTTTTATTAAAAACTATTTGCTGACGTACTATGGGTAAGATGGGTAAGTTGAGCATGTTACAGTAAGCATGATTGCATGAGTGTTCTAAATTGTCCCTAGGTTTATAAGTTCCTTGTTTATATATCTGATTGTTGTCTGATTAACAATGATATCTCATTTTTTTTTAAATGTGTGAACAATCTAGTCACTTTAATGAAAGCATTGCAGTTCAACGTTATAAAAAGTACAAAATAAGTACAGTGACAACTGTAAAGTGATACTTAAAATTACCTTACTCAATATTAATTTTAGTATCTTTGCGTAGGGTTGTAATTTCATTTTAGAGACAAGTAGTAGCCCATGCTCTTCTCCGAGGTCTACTTTATAGCCATACCAAAATTCATCAAATCAGTATAAAGCTCAACCACACAGACAGGCTTTCATTATATATAAGTCTAGATACGGAATTAACTGCATGAAAGCGGCCCAAAATATCTACTACATATGCCTATATGCTCGTTGGTACACACACACACACATTGACGGCTTTACACACAGTTACGCACACATTGCGCGTAAAATGAACCGTTTTCTGTGCGTGATTTATTTGGATTGCTCTATCTAGACGTGATTATAATCAAAGCCGGCAGACCCGGTTTGGTTTTATAATAATTTGAGAATTGTCAATAGGATTTGCCAGTGGAGAGTAAACCAGTAGAAGCGGTAGAACCGCGCCCGCCTGAAGACATCTCTGATAGTAAGGAGGCCGAGGTCAAACCGCCGCCTCCCGCTGAGGAACCTAAGAACGTCGACCTTGATACAAGGTACGTCATTCGATTATTATCGAATACTTGCTATTTCAATCTCTACCTTTTTTGTGCTTTCTAGTAGCAGCTTTGGGTTGAGAATCATAGTTCACCTAATGAACTCCCGCCAAAGATTTTGTAAATCACAATAAAGTAAGTATTTAAATCAGTATCAGCTCAAACCGAATAATTGACAAAAGAGAAATATGCCTTCTACATAATCTGATTATGGCCATATGCTGCTATTTTTGCTTGAAAATACATCGTATCCTACTAAACTACAAGCTTACAAATCCTATTCTTTCCTAAATGTATATTTTTATTGTGTCTGCTTGATCTGAGTTGCCATTTACAGTTGGATTCGTTTCGTCTGTTGGCACGACACCAATTGTTGATTTGAGTTGAAATGTACTTCAGCTATCCTACTAATATTAAAAATGTGTGAGTTTGTATGTTTGTTACTCAATCACACAAAAACTACTGAATAGATCAAATTTGGAACGCGTTTAGTTTATGGCCTGGATTCAGACATCAGATACTTTTTATCCCGGAACAACGTCAGATTCTTGTGGAATTCTCAAAAAACTAGTTTTACGCGGATGAAGTCGCGGACAGCCGCTAGTAAGTCAATAATAAAGTGTGTATTTTTTTACTCTTTTATGGTTTTGTTTTTCTTAACATTTTGACTGTCGAAAATGAAGTCGAATTCAAATTAGAACTTGGTAATTTGATATGCAGGATAGCGATGTTACTGAAGGGTGCGAGTGGGGGCGGCGGTCTCGCGCCTCCGTTCTTAGGATTGGGAATATCTTCTGAAGAAGAAGATGATGAGCGACTACCCGCCCATATACCCGACCTCGACGCCCCGCAACCGCCATCCGACGATGAAGGTAACGTGGTGTTTTGACCGTTGGTTTGTCTGGCAGTCTCGAATGTTCCATAGATAAAACCATAGACAAATAAAGTTAAAGAAAAGTTTACTGAAAAAAACCACGCGTACCAAGCAGCAGACGGGACTCGAACCCGCACCCTTTGCTTTTTTTTCTAGGAAACTTTTCTTAGATTTAAACATCTAGAGCAGTTAAATGCTTCAAAAATAAAAAACATAACCACGGACAAATAAACTTGCGCAGTAGACATTTTTGTATATAAAACTGATACTGCGCAGGCTTCCCTGTCGTTGCTCAAGAAGTTTGTCGGGGTGTATAACGTGGTATTTTGACTGTTAGTTTCAAATCTTACGGTCCCGAGTCTCAATAGCAGCGACAGGGCGCCCATATATCCGACTTCAACGCCCCGCAAACTCCCTCTGACGATGAAGGTAATGATGAACATTACTACCGTAGGTTGTAATGTAACTAGTTAAATTGTTTAACGATACATTGTAAACTAAGGAAACAATTAGGAAATGTTTAACTTACATCTTCTTCTATATGTGCTTCACAGGCCTCAGACTATGTTGGATCTAGTACTCGATCCGAACTTTATTACTAAAGGAGTAAGGTTTATAATCTTTTAGAAGCGGAAAAAACAATTTTTACTTTCTTTCCTTGAAGACAAAATGACCAATAAGTATGTCCATCTATGATAGATCATCGCTCATATAACGTTTAAAAAACAGGATGTTTGTTGTTAAAAAGTATTTTCTTCTCTTTTCAACAGGTTCGGGCAGCGAAGACAGAGGTAGTATTATTTCCGTGAATCAGAAGAAAGAAGTGAATCCGGAACCGCTATCGAAGACTCCATCGCCGTACCTTTCTCGAGAGTTCTATTTGGAGTGCCTCAAAGTCACAGTCGAATGGGTATGTAATTACGTATTAACTTTTCTCCCGGTTTTTTATGTTTTCCAAGGGATTTTTTTTATGAAAATCTTTATGATTATGCTTATTTCTACTGGGCACAATCTTTTGTTTTCGAACGTAGAGAAATTAACATGTCATATAAAAAATATCAACCTTATATTAACAGCAATGTATTTTAAAGCCAACGATTCATTTATGCTTATGTTGTTTCCCAAATTGTTACTTACCAATAACCTTAGCCGCCTTATTCCAAAACGCAGACTGAAGTTAGTCTTGGTTGAAACTGAATGTTGTCTCTGTCTTCTTTTTAGCAAACAAAAGTGTCTAAATAAGTTTTAGTCCAGGTTTAATGTTAGTTTACGTTTTATAATAAGGCAGTCTAGGTTTCTACTATCTTCAAGTTTTTAAGTTAAACGGGCATTTGCACCTTTGATAATAAAAGTGAACACTTTAATATACGATAAGCAAAACATTAGCGATAATCAAAACATTCAGTCTTTTACTCCCTTATTAATAAACGAAGAGTAATCTGAGACTAGTTACGCGGGTGTTTTGTTCATATCACTCAAACGCCATTTGTCATTCAATGAACAGAGACAAAACATGGAGTTACTAATCCAAGCTTATTCTTCGTTTATTAATTAGGGAGTTACAGTTTCAATTATTTTATTCTTTTTGTTATTTAGAAATCGAAAAAAGAGGAACGCAAGAAGTTCCCCGCTATGGACAAGATCGGTTCAGATATTTCGTCGTCCGAAGACGAGTTACTAACTGGCGATGAACCGAGAAGATCGCCGCTAGCGCCACCAGACAAAGACCAGGATAACCTTGACGATGATCAGGTAATTATCTTCTCTTTTATCTAACTATGTACACAAAAATGAATGTTCTAAAAGTATTTACGCTCATAATCATAACTTTCGATCGGCTGAACCAAATCGGATAATTCTTTTTTGTTGTGTTCGTTATTGTCAGGACAAGGTTTGTATAAAATAAATTAGCAAAAATTATTTTCTGTCCAACTGTAATTAAGTGTGTTACGTAGTGAATGTGACAGAAGATCAGGAGAGATATTCAATATATTGACAAAATATTGATAGCGGGCCATCAATAGTCAAAAAAGTCTTAGGAAATTCGAAAATTTTCACTAAAGAAATTATGTGGCGGTACGAAGTTTGCCGGGTTAGCATTTTTTAAATAAAATATGTAAACCAATGAGACTTGAATAAATTGTTCTTGATTAAAAAAACAGGAACTTACTGTCATGTGATGCTAAAAAGAAATAAAGAAGTTACGTTTTTTGTTAGGCAAAGCTAAAGGGAAGATTTAAGAGTCTATATTTGTGTCTGCATTACCTCAAATCATGAAACAGTTTTGATGAATCAATTTGTAATTAATTATTTCGGGGGACGTTAACTTTATTTCGTAAGAATACAGCAACATGCTGCTTGATGATAAGTTGTTAACATCCAAATATACTAATTTTTGCGTTGTATTGAATATGATATCTAATAAAATATGAGGAAATTTATATTTTACATACTTGTATATATAGTTGTATTAAATATTATATTTTAAATTAACTAGGCAAACAAAACACTTTCATTGGTACCTAAAATATATACAGTTGTTGGAGACTGGCTGGAAAGTTGCCACAGTCTTTTTATATTTGTTGTTAATTGTGTTTTTTAGCGATTCTTTTTTAGGGTTCCGTAGTCCTGACAAGGAACCCTTATCGTTTCGTCATGTCCGTCTGTCCGTCCCCGGTTTTGCTTGGAGACTAATAGCACTAGAGGCCTGTGGGATATCGTTTAATAGGTCCTTTAAAATTACTTAGGGGTTTTTAAAACTATTGTTCTAGTAGCCCCCCCCCCCCCCTTTTTAAAATAGATTTGTTAGTTTAAGAGTAATAGTCGTTCCACTTATGTATTAGAAAATTTCTGATTTAATAAAAATTCTTCAGAAGAAAACATTAAAAGTAAATAAGACGAAGACATTGCTTAAAATATAGAGTCTTAAATATATTACAGTAACGACATAACTACGGAACCCTACACTGCGTGGAACAACACGCACTTGGCCGGTATTTTCTTTGGTCAATCAACCTATAAATGACAAAGATGAAGTCAAAGTTTGGGAGTTAATAATTACGGAGTAATTTTAAACGTGACGTCATTCGACATTTATAAACAATATATCTCTGTAATGTTTTGATTATGTGAATAAAGAAAAAATAAGTATCCAATATAATTTGATAATCTACCTGATATACGAAGAAAATAAAATTAGTCGTCATCCCTATTGCTGTGGTCTCATAAGTTAACTTGTTTGCTTGTAAATTATTATTTTAATCTGTAATAGTGTTATTCATCGGATACATTGTCTCATTGCAGTCCACGTTTTCCCTAGTTAAAGAATAAAAAGTAGTATAAAAACAATGTTCTGTCTCGTGGACAGATGTCGCTGTCATCGCTGTCGTCGACTGAGGCCAAGATCGAGGAACAAGTTCCGGCGGAGGCTTACTACCACCCCCCGCCTGTCGCCCCTCCCCAGTACTACCAGCACGTGTGGCCGCCCACAGGTAAACAATACTGACACCTAATTGTTTTTTTATGCAGGCAAAACCTCTATTTGAGAGAGAGAGAGACAGAGATATTTTTTATTAACCATTACCCGTGTAGGTCTTACAACAAGAATGAAAAAACACATAAAAATCAAAATTAGAAACTAACTAAAGACTATAAAAGTAAAATAATTTTTAATCAGGACCCTGCTTCAGCATGATGCTATTGCCATACGTTACTATGCGAGTGACAACAGCTCTGGTATTCTGGCGGGGCCTGTAAGGTGCGCTATATATATCACTGGCTGCACGATTCTCCAATCGCAAAACCAAACTCAATAGGAGTCTCTCCTGTTCATTCTGTATAGAGACTGACAAGGATACACTATTGTCAATTTTTAGTTTAGTTCTAGAGATTCGTTCCAGTATCGACACCATAATCACTACTAATATATGATAACATTTTTTTTTGTGTGAGTAGTCCCTTAATGTCATCTGTGTTTATCATTATTTATCTTAATATGAGCTGAAGTGTGGATTATCTTCAGATATTTTATGCATTCGAACATTATATATTTTTATATAAATCAATAATAAAAATTCATAATCATCGCTAGTGTATCTGAAGCGCTGGTGTTCAATTTCTCTATGTCTCTATTTACATACGTTGGAGCCCTTAAGGGACACACCAACGAACGGACCTCACGCCCATCCTTTCGCAAGTCTCACGGGTGCGAAACGAAGAAGCCGTTAAGCAGTCCGCGCGGCTTACGAGCGCTTACGGCATACTCACCGCTTAAAAATCCCTGCGAATACCATCCACGCCGTTAAGTACGGAAACGCGAAATCCCCGTTGAAGTATTTCACCGCTTCTCCGCACCTGACAGCTTCCCGGCCTAGCCGGGGCTCCGCGGCAGGGATCACCCGGGGTATCTCGGGAACTGCCCGCGCTGGGAGCTAGCCAATTTATCTCGCTAGAGTGCAAGTGTCGAATGACCCTTAATAACAAATCGAGATAGCTGTCAATATCACAAGGAAATGCTACAAATTCTGATAGACTTGGGCTGCGTTCCAAACCTACGCTCCAGGTGCAACAAGAAATTTGATATAAGGTTCATCATACATTTTATGTCTAATTGAAACGTCAGGATAAAAAGTTGCACTCGGACCTTAGGGCTAGAACGCAGCCTTGAATTGACAGGTTGCTTGTCATGGGCCGAACGGCCAAAACGCCATCTGTAATGAGCTATGCTTTTTCTTCTCCATTACTGTTCGAATAATTCGGAGTTCAGCGGCCACTACAACTTCAGCGATACTGTATTGTTTGAAGCGCACGGTGCGGCGCCGTCATAGAGGTATAAGAATAGAGTGGGGATGGCGGCTCTAAAAGTGTCCGTCTAGTAGAAAGAGAAAGATGAGAGACCGCTAGCTATCTCTCTCTCTCTTGTGACGCATGGCATCCAATGGCATCTCATCAAAATAGTAAGATGCGCGATTAGAGAGAGAAAACTAGCGGTCTCTCATCTTCTTTCTCTTTCTATTAGAGGGACAACTGGAATGAGAGTATATATCTCACCTACTCTATTCTTATACCTCTATGGGCGCCGTACGGCACTCCAGCTCCTCTAACGTACGGCGTTATCTTTGGCCCGTCCTGTCTGTAGTTCTTTCCTATAGTCGGATTGACAACTTTAATCCAAGTGTTTAGCATAAATTGCAAATACTCTTGGAATAGCGATTGCTGAGATATGGTCCCGATTGGCCCTTTTCTTACTTATTTTATTTATTTATCAAATTTAAGATCTTTTAACTGCTTGTTTTTGAATATAATATTGATATTTTTCTTTCTATGAGTTTATTTTACTGTAATGGTGAAATGCCGTCACTCCACTTTACAACAAAACTTGACAACAGTCTGTTCTTGACATGCTTTATAAGGAATGAATATGGCAGACTGATATATATTTATTTATCAAATTTACAAATCGCAAACACGAATTGCCAGGGAAGTAACAAGGCAAAAGATTTTGTTCAATTATTCAATATATTATTAGAATACCTTTTTTTTTTTTTTGTGTCAATGCTGTGTCAAGGATGCCTTACGCATCCTTCAACCACTGGGGGACCGAGAAGAACAGGCCAGCCCTGGAGCTCGCTGAAGTGAACAGGGCCCTACCTACGCCAGGGCGTGGGGTGAACAGGTCCACTAGAAACCAGACAATACCTCTGCACCGTCACCCAACACGCACTATGAGGACCGCGGTCCCCCTAGTTCGTGCCGAGAGGCCGCGTGTGGTCGCGGTACCCATCTCCGAATGGCCGCGCAGCTGTTAGAATACCTTGGTCTTTAACTATTACTACAACTACAGCAATACTGTTTTGTTTACAGCGTACGGTGCGGCGCCGTACGGCACTCCAGCTCCTCTAGCGTACAGCGTAGGATTAGCACCCCCACCAATTCTACCGCACCACTACCAACCCTACCCTGAACCGAAGCTACCTGCGCAGGTAACGTATCATCATCATCAGCCTAATGTCCACACTGCCGGGGCACAGGCCTTCCCTATGAATGGCATAGGGTGATTGGGCCATGACCCACCACGCGGGCACAGTGCGGATTGGTGGGTGCTGCTAACGACTGCAGATGCAACCGGGACCAACGGCTTAACGTGCCTTCCGAAGCACGGAGGAGCTCGAGATAGTAAATTTTTGGTCACCCATCCAATGACCGACCACTGCGAAAGTTGCTTAACTTCAAAGATCGCAGCCGAAGGCGCTAACCACTTGCGCCATCGAGCTCCTTAAACATGCAAGGTAACGTATACACGGGAGAAATACTTTTAAGGCGCTTGGGCGTTAGCTCGTATACGATTGCCAACGAAATTCGGCCAAGTGTAAATGAACAGAGTTGAGTAGGCCCGTATTCGTTTTTTTCCCGCAATCTGATATGGCTGAGGTACTTACCAACTAAAATCCAGGTGCCGCATCATTTGCTTGCGTCATTGATACACTGTAATTATTGCTTCGGGGGCCCGAAATCCAGTAACTAACGTCTTTCATGAATTCGAATACGGGCTAATAACTTGCCAAATGACGTAATATTGATACACGTTTTTTTTATATAAGTTTTAGAAAATAATGTTATGTTATATACTGATATTTATGGAGTCCATAAAAAGTCGATATTCAAAAGGTTGCCGCCAAAACTTTTCTCTGGACATTATGGCGTCTCACTAGTTTGTGACGTCGGCGTTCTCGGTCACGTGACCATAGAACTAAAAAGTTTTTTTTAATGAATTCTTTGAACAGTTTTTGTTCTCTTAGAATAGTAAAATTGCTTCTAATATTCATTTTTAATCCAGATGTCAACAATTGATAGCCTATTGCGCCTTTAGATATAATATTATCATAACAAATTGAGCCTTTACATCTTGAAACAAAGATTGGTTTCGTCTTTTGAAAATCATACGCTTTGCTATATTATTATTTTAATGAAAGCACTATATCAAGACCTTATTTGCACTAAGTGACTAGTCGCGCGCGGTCGGCTTTCCGCGACTAGCAGCTTAGTGGAAATAAGGACTTTTTTGCAATATAAGTTTAGTTATTCAGATTTATGTTTATCTATTTTTACTACGACAATCGGCATCAATGCTTAACTTAACTATATTTCAACATACAATTCTGACATATTTTTAAACTGTCGCAGGAACTGGACAACCCTCACTACCCAACTATAAACAGGGTAATAGAGCGAGTAACGAATGAGCTCAAACAGATCTTGAAGAAAGATTTCAATAAGAAAATGATCGAAAGTACCGCATTCAAGAGCTTCGAGGTCTGGTGGGACGAACAGAGTCGCAAAGCGAGACTTCCCACTAAACCTAAGGAGGAAACGGGACAACAACCTTTGCAGGTAAATATAAACAGATTGACAGTGACTTTTATTCTCATATTAAGTTTACAGTATATTGATTATGTATACATACCGGCAAACTTCTTGAGCAACGACCATATCCAAGGAAGACTGTGCATTAGTAATTTTATACACAAAAATGTCTACTGCCCGTGTTTATTCGTCGGTGGTTTTGCTCAAGAAGTTTGCCGCGACACATACTTACAATTTGACATTGCTTTACTGATTTCACTACCTTAAATGTATGTATGTACGTTGATTATAATGCTGATGATGTGAGACATCGCTATAATGTAATGTCGCATCATCTTGCTCATTATTTTTTCTTACTACATCGAGAATTTGTTTTTCTTTTATTTGGCAATGTTATCCTTATTCACTGCATATTAAATGTCGTTAGTATGTCGATATTTAAGTAGAAGTGTCTTATATTTTTTAATGAATACGACTTTTTAAGCTTTAGTTTTTTATTACCAAGAAAGCTTGTTTAGATTCAACAGCCTATTATTCCGCTAGGATATATCCAACAAGAAAGAAGAGGCTGTGGACTCGATAAAGTCCATAATGGAATCTCGAGAGCTCGGCTTAGACTTGGGTGGTTACAGTATGGGCATTGGTCTCGGGTTGCGTGCAGCCATCCCCAAAATGCCTAGTTTTCGCAAACGCAAGATTCCTTCGCCTGTTGTTATAGACGAAGACTCTTCTAAGAGGCTCAGTGATCAGGTATGTATGATTAAAACGACTGTGTAACTTTAACCAAAAACATTCTTACACATTTTTATTATATTTATTTATAAAGGATTTTTGCCTCAAAATTAGATGTCAGTTCTATTAAATCTTGATCATACAGAAAATTAATACTTAAGTTAAAATAATTAGGTTACGATGCTAGTTGACATGCTTCACGCTAACATATCGATTCTGCTCTCAGGACCATTTCTTACATGTAATTCTTATAAACTATAAAAATAAATAATAGACCAATATTATAACTAATACACTAATTATAGAATAAGATAACATATCTTTTTGATTTTAAAAGAAAAAAATATACAACGTATACTATATTACAGTGACTATTCAATGATCTCCAAAGTTAAAATGCTAATCAACAAAGTGGTCTTAACTATACACAATTAACAATTATAATGACAAACGCGTATTTTCTTACTATACTTTAAATATACTGAGGCACAAGAACGCATTGGGACAGCTCCGTAACCGTATCGCATCATAAAATTTTCTATGAAACCGAAGCAGTGTACGAGTTCTGGACCTAAGAAGAAAGTGGCTCCTTCCATACAAGATTTGACGATACGCTTATGGAACTATTCGTGTTTAGTCCCCAGTTGTGTATCGTCTATTTTATTGTATTTTTTTGCAATATTTAGGAGGAAATGGTACAGAATTCTGATGAAGAGAAAGAGGTGCCCTCGTCGAGTCCTCGTACAAGAAATACCGGATCGTACCTATCACGAGAGCGACGTCGTCAATCTACTAGTTCTTCCAGGTAAGTGCACGAACAACGAAATAGTACTGATGAATTCCAGCGGCTGCTTTTCGTCATCGCGACTATAATTTCTTATCCATCATCTTGATGCGTGGCTATCCTTATTTTTTACCACGTACCCCAAAACTGTGGAATATATTGTCGCCACCAGTGTTTCTGGACCAATACGACTCGAAAACCTGCAAAAAAAGAGCGTACTAAATCCTTTAAGGCCTGCATTGCATTTGTGATAGTTCTGGTGTTGCAGATGTCTTTGGACGACGGTGATCACTTACCAACAGGTGAGACGTCTGCTCGTATGTCCCCTTTAATATATGTAAAATTAACTTGCCCCTAGTTCTGCTATTGTGCAGTCATATTGTAATCACTAAAGGCCGCACTTTGAGCCGAAAATGAATTTGTGATTTGATAAGAGTTGATACCTTCACTTACCTTACGATATCTTTTTTTCTTTCATGTTATTATAGCAGTTTATATTTCGAACTATGAATTGTAACACACAGAACTAGTTAATTGAAATGATAGATTACTTAAATATGTTACTGACGTTGAGTTTGTAATAATGTGTGTAATTTATTATATGTACATAATATTTAAGGCGTATTACAAAGAGTTCCCGTTTCCTTTTAGCAATGAAAAATTAGCAATTTAATTAGACACCGCGTCGCTTTGACCAGAATTTTATTAATTTTACGTATCTGAGCGCGTTCGTAAATGTTAAAATACTTTAGAATAATGACCTGTCAGCAAGAATCCAGTGTACTTACACAATATTTTCCTCCTTGACAGGTCTTCTTCATCATCATCAAGTCGGTCCTCGTCATCGGAGTCCGGTTCCGAGAGAGAACCTAAAGGACCTGCGCCGAGGATATACTCCGATACCGATGACGACTCCGAACTGGAGGAGGCGGAGGTAATAGCCGCTTTTACTATGGGTTTAAGGTTCAAAATAGTTTGACACTTGTGTATTTTTATTTCCGCGTTGGTTCCAAGAGAGAACGTCAAGGATCCGCGTCGCGGATATACTCTGACACCGACGCCGACTCCGAGCTAGTAGGCGGAGGTAAAAGTCGCTTTAACTATAGAAATAAGGTTCAAATAGCACGACGTTTGTGTGTTTTTATTTGCGCGTTTGTTGCGGGAGAAGCCGTTAAGGGTCCGCGCCCAAGATATACTTTGACTTTGATTTTTCTACTTGTTTTGTATCTGCTTGTTTTGTTACTGTGTTGTGCAATAAAGAGTTTTTATCTTATCTTATCTTAACTTATAAATGATAAATGTCGTGTTCAGCATCAATTAGGGTGCAGGTTTATGTAGTACAATAATGTCCTTTAACAAATAATAATTTGCAATTTGTACTCTGTCGCTGTACCATAAATAAATAAACATTCTTCAACATCTTCTCTCTCCCTTGTACGTTCTTAGGATAGGATGTGCGAGAGAGACAGCATATTGTTGTCATTTGCGATTCCTTTCTTTATTGACACGAGTTATATGAATTCACACAGCTGAAGGTGGTTTCCAACAAGGAGAGACTACGGCGCGTTTACTCATCATCGGACAGCGAGGCGGAGCAGAGCCGGCGCGAAGTCACTCCCATTCCGCCCGTGGAGGCGTCCGACGATCGGCTGGGCTCGCCCGCGTCCCCCCCTCACGCCGACCTGCTGCTGGACCGCGTCTACTCCGACTCGGAGGAGGAGCGCGAGTACCAGGTGCTGTACTGTGAACCGGACACTATAACCCGACCCCTCGCCCGGACCGGCTGGGCTCGCCCGCGTCCCCCCCTCACGCCGACCTGCTGCTGGACCGCGTCTACTCCGACTCGGAGGAGGAGCGCGAGTACCAGGTGCTGTACTGTGAACCGGACACTATAACCCGACCCCTCGCCCGGACCGGCTGGGCTCGCCCGCGTCCCCCCCTCACGCCGACCTGCTGCTGGACCGCGTCTACTCCGACTCGGAGGAGGAGCGCGAGTACCAGGTGCTGTACTGTGAACCGGACACTATAACCCGACCCCTCGCCCGGACCGGCTGGGCTTGCCCGCGTCCCCCCCTCACGCCGACCTGCTGCTGGACCGCGTCTACTCCGACTCGGAGGAGGAGCGCGAGTACCAGGTGCTGTACTGTGAACCGGACACTATAACCCGACCCCTCGCCCGGACCGGCTGGGCTTGCCCGCGTCCCCCCCTCACGCCGACCTGCTGCTGGACCGCGTCTACTCCGACTCGGAGGAGGAGCGCGAGTACCAGGTGCTGTACTGTGAACCGGACACTATAACCCGACCCCTCGCCCGGACCGGCTGGGCTCGCCCGCGTCCCCCCCTCACGCCGACCTGCTGCTGGACCGCGTCTACTCCGACTCGGAGGAGGAGCGCGAGTACCAGGTGCTGTACTGTGAACCGGACACTATAACCCGACCCCTCGCCCGGACCGGCTGGGCTCGCCCGCGTCCCCCCCTCACGCCGACCTGCTGCTGGACCGCGTCTACTCCGACTCGGAGGAGGAGCGCGAGTACCAGGTGCTGTACTGTGAACCGGACACTATAACCCGACCCCTCGCCCGGACCGGCTGGGCTCGCCCGCGTCCCCCCCTCACGCCGACCTGCTGCTGGACCGCGTCTACTCCGACTCGGAGGAGGAGCGCGAGTACCAGGTGCTGTACTGTGAACCGGACACTATAACCCGACCCCTCGCCCGGACCGGCTGGGCTCGCCCGCGTCCCCCCCTCACGCCGACCTGCTGCTGGACCGCGTCTACTCCGACTCGGAGGAGGAGCGCGAGTACCAGGTGCTGTACTGTGAACCGGACACTATAACCCGACCCCTCGCCCGGACCGGCTGGGCTCGCCCGCGTCCCCCCCCTCACGCCGACCTGCTGCTGGACCGCGTCTACTCCGACTCGGAGGAGGAGCGCGAGTACCAGGTGCTGTACTGTGAACCGGACACTATAACCCGACCCCTCGCCCGGACCGGCTGGGCTCGCCCGCGTTCCCCCCTCACGCCGACCTGCTGCTACCACCATACACGCGGGCCCAGTGTTGATTGATGGGTGCCAACGACTGTAGATGCGACCACGACCAACGGCTTATCGTGGTTTCTGAAGCACGGAGAAGCTCAAAATAGTAAATATAGATCACCCATCCAACAACCGACCACTGCCAAAGTTGCTTAACTTCAACGATCGCAGCTGAATGCCCTAACCACTTGCGCCATCGAGCTCTTCCGTGGAAGATAGCTACACTCAAAGTGCATGAAATAAGTATGGAGCGCACATCAATGGCATGAGCGCTTATGATCAATAAAAAAAAAAATATATACATGCTCCAATTAGACGACAATTTAACTGGCCACTTCACGCTTCACTATAGACGAGCAGAAATCTTTATATAACGAGAATAACGCATATCATCGTGATTTTCGTACTACTTACGCAGTAGTAAATAATTAAATATTAATAAATATAAGAATGAATCACCAAAATCACATAGACCACAACTTAAGTTTTGTGTTGTAAAAATCAGAAACATTACATTATCAAATAACTTATTTAGTGAATCTAACTTTACACATGAATAACACTTTAGTAAAATCGGTAGAGGGAAATATTAATCATTGAGTCATTATTCTTCAATAGGAGAGAAGACGGCGAAATACGGAATACATGGAGCAGATCGAAAGGGAATTCTTGGAGGAGCAGCGGAAGAAAATGGAAACGGACACGCGCCTGCAACCAGAAAAACCGCCCGACGAAAGGTTAGTATTGTAAAAATAATTCACAAAGTGAAAAATTTGTTTGGTTTTATGTAACCACGATGCAAGTGAAAGTTTTAAAATTTTGACTGGCTGACTGGCAAACCCGGGCTGCCTGCGTAGCAGGTGAGCTAACACTAAACCACCGATGCTTATTGATTAGATTTGTTTAGTTTTAATAACAATGTCTATGTAGGAAAATTTTCGTGTTCGAATTTCTTTACTTCAAATAGAATTAAAAAAATATATATTTATACGCCTCTTTCTATCTCTGTTTGACTTAACAAAAATCTCATGATCTATTAAGCAGGATTAACCCTTAAATTAAATATAAATCTATTTGATTTAACTGTATTCAAATCATACTTTAGCAAAGATAGCTTCTTATTTAGTAGCTTGTGAATTATTGATTTATTACGTTATGAGATTACGTAATAAATCAGTAAGAAAGCCGATTTACTGGCAAAACTCTTTGCGGCTAACTCCCGAATGCAATGCACTGCCACCATCATTACCTCACTGTGGCACAACGATGCCTGATATTAAAATCAGGCAGCGCGAGGTTCGTGCCGAATTGCAATCACTCGACGTCCGGAAAGCTAGTGGACCTGATGGCATCCCAGCAGTAGTACTTAAAAAATGTGCAGCGGAGTTGTCTCCCGTGCTCACGCGCTTGTACCAATGCTCGTATTCTTTGGGGCGTGTGCCGGAGACTTGGAGAGATGCTAATGTGCAACCGGTGCCCAAAAAAGGGGATCGCTCAGACCCGGCAAACTACCGGCCAATAGCAGTCACCTCAGTTTTATGTAAAGTTCTAGAAAAGGTCCTTAATAACCATCTGACCCGCTACCTAGAGGATCACTCCCTGATTAATGATCGTCAATATGGTTTTAGACCGAAACGATGGACGGGTGATCTTCTAGCGTACTTAACTCGTATCTGGGGCGAGGCTATCGACAAGCGTGGCGAGTCGTTGGCTATCAGCCTTGACATTGCCAAGGCGTTCGACAGGGTATGGCACAAAACCTTCTCTCCAAGCTTCCGGCATACGGTCTGCCAGCCCAGTTCTGTTCTTGGGTAGCTGACTTCCTGCATGAGCGTAGAATTCGTGTCCTTACGGATGGTAGCAGTTCGCGGTTCATGTCAGTGAATGCCGACGTTCCCCAGGGCTCCGTCCTATCCCCCACTCTCTTTCTGCTGCATATCAATGACTTAATTCCTCTTGGGAATATTCATTGCTATGCAGACGATAGTACAGTGCATGCGGGGTATCTCGGACAAGCAGCGGCTGGGCTGGCGGTAACCAAGGAGATACTGGAGAATCTTGTCAATGAACTCAATCAGGCTTTGGACCACATTTCCGAATGGGGTACCAGGAACTTGGTTGAGTTCAATGCCAAGAAAACTCAGGCTTGCGCTTTCACGGCAAAAACATCGCCATTCCTTCCCCTTCCCTCTCTTCAGGAAACAACACTACCGCTACAAAGCAACATTTCCATGCTCGGTATGGAAGTTCGCTCAGACCTGAATCCAAAGAACTACATCGAAACCATGATCAAAACAGCTTCACGCGAACTCGGAGTCCTGAACAAGGTGCGGCGTTTTTTCACGCCCGATCAACTGTGCTTGTTGTACAAAACGCAAGTGCGGTCCTGCGTGGAATATTGCTCGCACCACTGGGATGGCTCCGCCAAGTACTTGCTCGATGCTTTGGATAGGTTACGCGGCGCGCGATCCGCATCATAGGCGATGAGGAGGTGACTAAACACCTTGAGCCTCTTCAATTACGCCGTGACGTGGCGTCACTAAGCGCGTTCTATCGTCTGTACCACGGCGAGTGTTCTGAGGAGTTATTCTCTCTTATCCCACCTTCTCCTTTCCTTCAGAGGACCACGCGCGCTGGCCTACGTTGTGACCGTCTAACTGTGGCCACAATTCCAACGCGTACAAAGAAATTTGGTGACTCATTTCTTTGTCGCACTATCTGTAAATGGAATGCTCTGCCCGCTCACGTGTTCCCTCCCTCTTACAACCTGGGATCCTTTAAAAGAGGCGTGAAGAAGCAACATGCAGGCCGGCAGGGTGAGGATGGCTGGTGTGGCAGGTAAAACTGCAGTATCAGCTATCTTCACGTCTGGACTTCACCTTCACTTAACATCAGGTGGGGTGGAGTCATTTGTCGGACCTATCTATAAAAAAAAAAGAATAAGAAATAATATGAAAGACGAACTGCGCTAAAAAGTGGTTCCACTAAAATTGCGATTAAGTAGGCGGGGCGAAAAAACTGCGATACGCCGATCATTGCATTTTTTTAGATTTCCGATTAACATTTTCTTATCCAATGAATGGATAGCCGAATAGGCTAGTTGACTCATGTCAAATTGTACTATACAAATGTATATTTCTTACAATTTTTGGTATGAGAAACCTAAATACATCGGTTTCACTTCATGCAATTAGAAGATGGCTGTAGTAATTTAATTTGAAAATTAGTTTTTTAGTCTAAACTTTATAAACACTAAAAACGCTGTCCACCAAAATTGTGACGTCACAAAAACAACTTAACCTAATGTCAATGTCGTGTTACCGTGGTTTCTTTCTTCGGACTAAAATACATCTAAAAACTCTAATATCTTGTAGAAAATTTGCCGTTTATTGGTTTTGTTGACTAAATTAATGCTGGACGCCAGATTCGTGAAAGCAGAAACAACAAAACTCTTTGACTTAGTAAGGTACATTCATTACCTTAAAATTGTATTATTAAATTTTAAATGTTATTCAATGAGTACTTACATCAAAGTGATCTTTGCAAGAAGAAATGACTTTCAGGCGATAAAGTTACAGGATTTAGCAAGTTTTAAACATATGTTCATACGTAGTGATGTTAATTTCTCTAGGCAATTTAAATCACAACTTTTCTGGAGCCTTTAACGATATGTTTCTACATTCTAGTATAATACAATCATGATAATTACTATATTTTTCATGTAATCTATTAGAAATTATGGTTTTATAATATAAACTAAGATAGGTTATTTTCTACATGCTTGCGAGTGTTTGTTTACAAATGTTTTGATGTCATAGCATAGATAAATCTATAGACTAAAATGGCTGACAGCGTTTTTGTATGTCCATGAAAACTCTATTTTGAAATTAAAGTTAAAGTAGCTTTCTAGGTCAAAAAAAAAATTGAAATACATTTTTTTTTCAGTCTAATAGAACAATTATTAACCATTTAAAACATATTTTCAAAAAGTGTCAAAGTCTTTGTTTGTGTGCGTGTCGCGTTAGTATTGTTGAATAGTTGTATGAGTTTGGAGCCATATTTAAGCGTCCTTTGTTAGAGTAATGCTTCCAAATCATTTATAATTCATGGTTATGAGTAATCTTTTATTGTTACGACAGTACTGTCGTAACAATAAAAGATTACTCAGAGTCCTTTTTTCCAGATCACTTTTTCACACACAGTAAAATTACTTTTACTGTGTGTGAAAAAAACTGACAAGATAATTACGATTTGGGCGATGAACTGCCTTTACTATTTCTATCAGTCACTTATACCTTTTCTAGTGTTTGCAAAAAATATGTTTTTTTCCCTACAGCCCCCCAGAACCGAAAGTCAACGAGGTCCGAAGTCCAGTCAAGAATCACGTCAAATCTCCCGAGCGACGCGACAGCAAGCCTGAAATGGAAGAAGGCGAGATTAGCTCTGAGGAAGAACCGGCGCGCAGGAAGAAGGAGAGGACGAAAGAGGAGAAGAGACAGAGGGTGGTGTCGGTCAGCGAACACGAGAACAGCAATAACGAGACCAGTGCTAGTGTTAATGGAGTTAAAGAGGTAAATCTATACTAATATTATAAACAGAAAATATTTTTATTTAGTATGTTTGTAAGAAATAAACTCAAAAGCTATCGGATTGATTTCAAAAATTCAGTCACGATTAGATGGAGATCTATTATTTAATCGTGTCAAAATAAGTTTCGTCCATGCAAAGCCAGGGCGGATCGTTAGTGTTTTATATAATGTGAAAAGATTTTAAATTAACATGTAGTCAGCCCGGTGGAAGTAGTAGGCCTGATGAAACTTTCAGTACCTAGTGTATCAGTCAGTAAAAATTTCCCAGAGATATAATATCTACGGAAAACATTTATAGACAAAGGAAATGGACTGACCATTGCTTAGCCAACTTCAAGATAAATTCTAATGCGAACCACTGTCGCTTCGTCTCTTTAACGCTATTCTGTTTGTAGTCAGACGATATTGCCTGCTCTCTCTTTACAGAGTGATCAATTTCACACAGGTATCGCTCAGTTCATTTTCTATGGTTGTATATCACCTATCACCATAATTACTACTAATTCCCATTAATGTCCCACTGCTGGGGGACAGTCCTTTCCTATGAATGGAATAGGGAGATTGGGTCATGACTCACCACGCGGCCCCAATGCGGATTGGTGGGTGCTAACACCTCAACGTGCTTTCCTAAGCACGAAGGAACTCAAGATAGTAAATTTTTAGTAACCCATCCGATGACTGATTACTGCGAAAGTTGCTTGACTTTAACGATCGCAGCCGAATGCCGAATGGTAACCACTTGCGCCATCGAGCTCCTCATATAGTTATAGTATATGTTATAACATTTGTTAATTTTCATCATTGTAAAGGCGAGCGGCACTCAGTCGGAGACTTGGTCGCCGCAATCGCAAGCATCTCAAGCATCGCAAGCGTCGCAAGTAGCGCTCGACCACTCGTACTGCCGTCCCCCGCCCGCGCCCGCGGAACGACGGCCCTCAAACCATCTGCACCACGACCACGGTAATTATAACACAACACTGTACACCGCATACATATATAAACATAGAGCAGTAGAGCGGTTCACGAAAGATGACAAATGCGCAAAAGGCATTTTTAGTTCCTTTTAGAGGTACGGGGTGCGACCATAGAGGTATAAGAATACGGTAGGGGAGATATAGACTACTACAAGTGGAAGTGTCCCTCAAATAGAAAGAGAAAGAAGATGAGAGATCGCTAGCTTTCTCTCTCTAATCGCGCATGCGCCTTAGCAATGGTAACCATCTTACTATTTCGATATGATGCTTGGACCAACTATTGGACAGACGACTGCGCATGCGTCACAAGAGAGAGAGATAGCTAGTGGTCTCTCATCTTCTTTCTCTTTCTACTTGACGGACACTTTTAGAGCCGCCTTCCGCACTCTATTTTTATACTTCTATGGGTGCGACGCGTGCGGAATGCGTCTAGACGGAGCGACGCAATTGGTGCGCGCGCGTCGCGCCATTTGTCTGTACCTATCGCAAGCGTCCCAAGTGCCACTCGTACTGTGGAACGACGGGTCTGCAACCATTTGCACCACGGCCACGGTGACTAACACCATGCAGTCACACTGTACGCCGCATACATATTATCATCATCACCTTTATTAATGTTTCCACTATTGGGGCACAGGCCTTTCCTATGAATATAATAGGGAAATTGGGCCATGATATGAGGTCTTAACTAGCACTTGACCACTTTTACTGCCGCCCCCCCGCTCTTAGCCGCGGAACGACCGCCTTCAAACCATCTGCATCACGAGCACGGTGACTAACCAACAAATTAAAAATTACATGGAATACGAACTGCACTCTCTCTCTGGTCGGTCCCTCATGACTGAGGATCGTGGTTAGCATGCTAGTTGCATCTGGAATGGATGATCTGCCTCCACCGGTTTCTGTCCAGCGCGTCTCTCACAACCGTATAAAATTTGGACGACGACGTTTCTTTTATTTGATCTGTCCATCTAGTTGGTGAACGACCGCGCGATCGTTTGCCTTCGGTGTTCCCAACAACAATCAATTTTTCCAAATTGCCGTCATCCCTGCGCATTGTGTGGCCGAAGTATGATAGGATGCGTTGTCGGCATACAGTGGACAAACGAGTATTTATACGGAGCTGACTCAAAATCGATGCATTGGTGCGTTTCGCGGTCCAAGAAATTCTCAGCATTCGCCTCCAGCACCACATCTCGAATGCATCAATCCTTTGTCTTTCTCGGGCTAAAATTGTCCACGATTCAACTCCATATAAGAAGATAGGGAATACCAGGGCCCGTATCAGTCTGATCTTGGTTTTGATACTGATTCCTCTTTTCTTCGAAATGTTGTTTAGTCGGGACATAGCATCTTTAGCCATACCGATTCTCCTTTTTATCTCGGGAACGCAGCTGCCATCATTGTTGATTTGGGAGCCCAAATATATGTAGTGGTCGACGTTATTAACCCTTCAATTGCTGTAGTGCAGCGCTGCACGCCTTCGTGAGTAAAGTCCGTTTGGGGAAGTGTAGATCTGCTCGCTCGTTACCCGCATTCAATTTTTTGCAATTTTGGGAATAAATACAATGCAATACAGTTCAAAGTCTTTTGAATTTTATACCCAGATGAATACACCATTCACTCATTGTGGTGAAGTCGTTCTTATGACCAAACAACCGTTAGTACGACGATTTTAAAATCGAGTATCGGGGAGCTCGCAACTAAAAAGTAATTTTTAAAACAGTTTATTAACAACATTATATTACAACAGTATATTATTTTTTTGCAAAAATCTATTGTTTAGTTATTCAACTTTGAAAAGGTTATCAATGAAAAGCACAAGTATTCGTATAATTTATTCAAATCGCGTTTATGCCACCTAAGGTGCGAAATTGATTTTGTCTACGTTTCCTGTTAAAAATAAAAAGGTTGAAACAATTTATATAGGAAATTACTAAAAAAGAAGGTACATTGACTATCTATAATTGAAATAAAATATTTTGCTGCATGTCGACCGAACGATTTATTAAAGTTATTGAATAAATTTCAAACCGCGTCGAGCGCGCGCTGCGGCCGCGCAATCGTTCCGCAAGCGGGGGGTGTTTTAGGCGGAGGCTTTCCCGCAATTGAAGGGTGCCAGGAATGTTACTGTTGACATTTGTTAACTTTCCGGCTCTATCAACTATCATGATTTTGGTTTTTGCTCTATTCACTGTGAGACCGATGTTGCCACTCTCTAACTCGAGTCTTTGGAAAAGCTCACACATATCTTCCATGGATGTTGCCAGAAGACGAACTGCACTAAAAAGAGGTTATACGCAAATAGCGCACACAAGTGGGCGGAGCGAAAAAAATGCGATCAAGCTAATCATGGGATCGGTTGGAATTTCGGTTAACATTATCTTACCCAATAATTACATAGCCGAATCCATTTAGAGATATTTGATTTGTCAAAGTATATTTTGTTTTTCTGTGTGCGTGTCGCGTTAGTATTCAAGTTTAGTAGTATGAGTTTGGCCAAATTTTAAAGCGGTCGTTGTTAGAGAGTAATGTTTCCATATAATTTCTAATTTGTTGGTTACACCATAATAATTCAGACCATCACTATAGTACACTTAAATAAAATGATAAACCATTTCACCCCATTACAAAGAAATACTACAAATTGTTAGTGGAAACTTTGTTGATGCATGTTTTTTTCTATATTTAATTAATCTAAATGTAATAAAATATTGTTTTTCTCCTAAATAAATATAAAATAAAAAAATAAACGCCTTGGTAATTGGATGTAATCTACTACAACGGTACAATCTAGCATAATAGAACATGTATGATCACACAGTATTATCTAATGGTTTATGGAGATTCCATAAATATATGGATATTAATTATTCTGTTGTGTATTTTAGTTAGCGAAAATTCCATTTTCAAGTTGCCGCGAAAACGTTTTACTGGATATAATGGCGTCTCACCAGTATTTGACGTCATACGACTGTCATTAAAACGTCATACGATACAATGTTATGTCACATTGACCGAAAGTTTACTAGCGTGTGACGTCATTTTAGTCTTTGCCAATACCAGGCGTCTTCGTTCACGTGACAATAGCTAGGAAAACACATCTTTTTCGTGGGTTTTAAGATTAAAAATCCCAGTTATTTTAAAAATCCCTGCCAATATAGTTGATAACGGTTGGCAATTTACTAAAAGTAAAGTATAAATACAGTCAAATACCCTAATATAAACTTAATCACAATGCTTCTACTCCATCACTATTTTACAATTCACCACAATAGGGATGACTACTTACTTTTTTTCGTCTATCAGGTAGATTATCAAAAAAGTATTGGACACTTATTGAAGTGAAACTTCTTTATCGGCGTTGGAAAAAAATTTACCGTCACATTTTTCGGTTACGCGTCACATTTTTCCGTTACGCGCCATCTTTTTTTATATTAATTGTTGATAGCTGAATGATCACACTGTCGCCGGCGAGAACTCTCCCTACTCGTTTGTAGCTGAGTGACAATAGTTATTAAAGATAAGACTCGCTCAGCGATACTCGCTCAGCGTTACTCGCTCAGCGATACTCGCTCAGCGATACTCGCCCAGCGATACTCGCTCAGCGATTCTCGCTCAGCGATACTAGCTCAGCGATACTCGCTCAGCTATACTCGCTCGGTTAAGCTGGCTTGGCTGTCAAAAGCCGTGCGCGTGCATTTTAACTCATGACTGCCAATTCGTTTCTACTTTCTACTCGCTTATCGTTCATCGTCGGAGGTGGAACATGTACCTTAGATTACTGAGCCGTGTAATCATAACAGTTTCATAGGCAGTAATTTGTATTCATGTCTATGATAATAAAATCCTTTTGTTTAAACTTTATCTAATTTAACTTTATTTAACCAATTTCTGGAAAGTTGCATGTAGATCATTTTTCGAAAAATAAGGCCATAAAGAAGTTTCACTTCTTACGTGTGTACACTAGTACACGCACACATTTTTTTTCTTTATTCACTTAAAACATTACATAGATATATTTATTTGAAATATCGCATGACGTCACGTCGTGGTACAATTTTTCCTTAGCAGTGACGTCACGAGCGAGCGGGTTGGGAATGTGAGGTGGCCAAACTTTGACATATTTTATCTTTGTCAGTTTTTGATATATTAATAAAAGAAAAAAATAGGTGTCCATTTTTATGATAATCCAAATGACGTACCGAACAGAATTTCGTTTTCTTCACCCCGTTATTATCCCAATGGTAAACTCACGCATAGTACTCTGTTTAAAATGATTATATCTCCTGTCTTGTAGGATACACATGCATGGCAGAGCCTGAAAGTGAACCAAACCAGATCGAAGAAGAGAAACCCAAGAAAGAGGTCAAGAGGGTGAACAAGAGAAAACATGGAGAGAAAAAACTTGCAGAAATAACAAATAAGTAAGTCACACGGTTCCAACCATCTAATATTTATTTAACGACAATACAACATTAGATTCTATGTTCGTGTTAAAAGGGTGGCAAACAAACAAATGCATCGACTAATGGTAAGCGGTCACCATAGCCCTAATAGACGTTTGATATACCAAAAATATCACTCGCGCCGTTGGAACCTTACTCACCGACAGAAACACAACCCCACCAAAAAAGCGCATTCTACCGACTATACCACGGCGAGTGTTCTGAGGAGTTATTCTCCCTTATCCCTCCATCACCTTTCTTCAGAGGACCACGCGCGCCCGGCCTACATTGCCACCGACTTACTGTGGCCACTATTCCTACACGAACAAAGAAATTTGTTGACTCATTTCTTTGTTTTATTCGTAAGTGGAATTCTTTAACCGCGCACGTGTTCCCTCCTTCCTATAATCTGGGGTCTTTTAAGAGAGGCGTGAAGAAGTATTTTTGCAGGCCGGCAAGGTGAGGATGGTTTCTGTCAGTTTATAAATGCTGTACCAGCTATCTTCGCGTTTGGACTTTATCACCACTTAACATCAGGTGGGGTAGAGTACTCGTGTTTGCTATTTGTAAACTTGACATCAGATCAAATGTATGTACAGAACAGACAGACAAAGATCTTTATAAATGCGAGTGACAGTTCAGGGAGGGCGCCACTGCCTACGTAAATGACATAAAAATATGATTTTTATAAAGACAGCCACGTTAGTTTAAATTTTCGTCACATTCATAAACATTCTTGTCGCACTATACTTATTTCCTTTCCTTTTCACAGCCACGAGGACTATGAATCGCTCGTATACCCGAGCGTTACGTTCAAACAGCGAGACATTATGGCCGAAATGCACGTCATGTACGAATTCCTTACTCGGGGCATAGACAGGGAGGACGTAGAATACTTGAGACGAACATACGAATCGTTATTGGCTGAAGACGCGGCGCAAGGTTATTGGTTGAACGATACCCATTGGGTGGATCATCCACCTACTGATGTGTGCTATAGCCCGCCTAGGAAGAAGTCGAAGCGGCATAATAATATATACGAAGACTTGCAGGTCAGTATTGTATGATTTTGGAAGGATGGATAAATAACAATGCTTTTTCTAAGTCATAACGTCAATATTAGTTTTTACGCTCATTGAGGATTGGGATACTTATTGATATAACTCGTGTCATTAAAGAAAGGAATCAAGAATGCTGACGCAATATATACTGTCTTACACACAAGTTACGTTATTTAGGATAGCATGTGCGAGAGAGACAGAACGTCTTACGCGGTCATTTGCGATTCCTCTTTTATAATAACACGAGTTATATCAAAGTTTTAGGCTAGAGTCTTGTAATATTTGTTATCAAGTGTGTACAGAAATGTCACTTAATGTATGAGAGCTGCTAAAACTTTTTTGGAAAAATAGGCAAGTTATTTTGTAATACATATACTACTCGCTGACCCGGCGAACTTCGTACCACCCAAAAGCACTTTTGTTGCAACAAAAGAATATTGCGACCAGAAATTGTCTATCTTTCAAATTGGATAAAACTGCACACGGTGTACAAATTTGGTTAAAATCGATTCGATTAAGTAGTTTAGGTGTCCATCCCGGACAAACAACGTGACGCGTAATTTATATATATTAAGATAAGTACTCGTAAGGTTGAAAATTTTAAACAAACGCCACACCGTTTGCTAACAGGATGGCAATCTTACACGGGATTCGAATTTATATTAATTTTAAGAAATTTCATAAAAGTATCTTACAACTGAAGCTTTGATATTTGACAGTAACATCAAATTTTATGAGACACCTTTAAAATAACAGGGTCACTCAAGTGGCTCGGCGAGAACAGAGGGCTACTACAAAATGGACGCGCGTCTAAAGGCCAAATACAAGTACCATCACGGTAGAGCGGCCGCAGCAGCTATAGCCGCTCCGCACGACGACAAGAAGGCGTCCAAGATGCAGGGCCTGTCGAGGGAAGCGAGATCCAACCAACGCCGTCTGCTGACCGCCTTCGGTAACTATAATAATAATATTATTTATATCATAAACCCTACAATAATAATATAGCCGCCCCGCACGACGACAAGAAGGCGTCCAAGATGCAGGGCCTGTCGAGGGAAGCGAGATCCAACTAACGCCGTCTGCTGACCGCCTTCGGTAACTATAATAATATTATCTATATCATAAGCCCTACAATAATAATATAGCCGCCCCGCACGACGACAAGAAGGCGTCCAAGATGCAGGGCTTGTCGAGGGAAGCGAGATCCAACCAACGCCGTCTGCTGACCGCCTTCGGTAACTATAATAATAATATTATCTATATCATAAGCCCTACAATAATAATATAGCCGCCCCGCACGACGACAAGAAGGCGTCCAAGATGCAGGGCCTGTCGAGGGAAGCGAGATCCAACTAACGCCGTCTGCTGACCGCCTTCGGTAACTATAATAATATTATCTATATCATAAGCCCTACAATAATAATATAGCCGCCCCGCACGACGACAAGAAGGCGTCCAAGATGCAGGGCCTGTCGAGGGAAGCGAGATCCAACCAACGCCGTCTGCTGACCGCCTTCGGTAACTATAATAATAATATTATCTATATCATAAACCCTACAATAATAATATAGCCGCCCCGCACGACGACAAGAAGGCGTCCAAGATGCAGGGCTTGTCGAGGGAAGCGAGATCCAACCAACGCCGTCTGCTGACCGCCTTCGGTAACTATAATAATAATATTATCTATATCATAAGCCCTACAATAATAATATAGCCGCCCCGCACGACGACAAGAAGGCGTCCAAGATGCAGGGCCTGTCGAGGGAAGCGAGATCCAACTAACGCCGTCTGCTGACCGCCTTCGGTAACTATAATAATATTATCTATATCATAAGCCCTACAACAATAATATAGCCGCCCCGCACGACGACAAGAAGGCGTCCAAGATGCAGGGCTTGTCGAGGGAAGCGAGATCCAACCAACGCCGTCTGCTGACCGCCTTCGGTAACTATAATAATAATATTATCTATATCATAAGCCCTACAATAATAATATAGCCGCCCCGCACGACGACAAGAAGGCGTCCAAGATGCAGGGCCTGTCGAGGGAAGCGAGATCCAACTAACGCCGTCTGCTGACCGCCTTCGGTAACTATAATAATATTATCTATATCATAAGCCCTACAATAATAATATAGCCGCCCCGCACGACGACAAGAAGGCGTCCAAGATGCAGGGCCTGTCGAGGGAAGCGAGATCCAACCAACGCCGTCTGCTGACCGCCTTCGGTAACTATAATAATAATATTATCTATATCATAAACCCTACAATAATAATATAGCCGCCCCGCACGACGACAAGAAGGCGTCCAAGATGCAGGGCTTGTCGAGGGAAGCGAGATCCAACCAACGCCGTCTGCTGACCGCCTTCGGTAACTATAATAATAATATTATCTATATCATAAGCCCTATAATAATAATATAGCCGCCCCGCACGACGACAAGAAGGCGTCCAAGATGCAGGGCCTGTCGAGGGAAGCAAGATCCAACCAACGCCATTTGTTGACCGCCTTCGCTAACTGTAAAATAAGCAAGAAGGCGTCCAAAATGAACAAAAACATTCTTAAAACTATTCTCTATTCAATTTGCTCTGTGACAAAAGGTAAAAGATGCAGGGCCTGCCAGGTTTTTTTATCTTGAGGTTTTTTTCTAAATTTAATACTAATGTAGTTCAGTCTATTCGCAAAAACTGACTAACGAAAGCGCAAGCGAGTGGAGGAGGTGTGAGAATGCACGGAAACAATACTGAGTGCATACCAAGAAGTTTCCAAAACTGCTCTCTTCTAAGACAAGTAGTTTCTATAATTTTCTAACCAACATACGTTTGATGCCTATTTCTATGTTCACAGGAACGGATACGGATTCAGATTTGCTCAAGTTCAATCAGCTGAAGTTCAGAAAGAAGCAATTGAAGTTCGCCAAGTCTGGTATCCACGACTGGGGTCTCTTCGCTCAGGTAAATATCCTCTCTTTGTAATTCTACTTAAGGTTATCACTTTATATTTAATCAGAGTTCTTTCTTGCTTTTGGCACTTCTCATCATTTTATTTTTTAAGCATTTAACTGCTGGATATTTAAATCTAAAGAAAAAATTACTAGAAAAGAAACCACGCGACAAGCAGCAGACGGGACTCGAACCCGTACTCTCCGCTAGCCGGGTTCACTGGCCAATTATACTACCGTGGCTTTAATGGCCGTGTCGAATTTCTTCTCTAATTCTGCAAGGCAGCGCCACTTCTTCTTGAAATTGAAAATAACATAACATTTATAAATGTGAAGTTACTGTTGCAAAAAAGCGAATTATAAGGAAATCAAACACGAGGAATACAAAATAATTTGTTTTATTCGTTCAAAGGTCATAGGACCTTGTTCAAAATTCTGAACTTGTTAGGCGTGATGTCGATGACAGCTGTCGGAGCAGTCAAGCAAAATTTATAATTCTGAAATTATGGTATATTTGTTAACTTAAACTCTTCGTTGCCACAGGAACCGATAGCGGCTGACGAAATGGTCATAGAGTACGTGGGACAGATGATAAGGCCTATAGTTGCGGACGTTAGAGAAGCTCACTACGAGGCGACGGGAATAGGCAGCTCCTACCTGTTCCGGATAGATCTGGACACCATCATAGACGCCACCAAGTGCGGCAACTTGGCCAGATTCATCAACCACAGCTGCAACGTATGTATAAACTTTAAAAGACCATAGACATACGGCCCATAGACATAATAATATGGCTAACGAGACGGTCATAGAGTTAGTGGGGCAGATGGTAAGACCTGGATTCCATCATAGTCGCCACCAAGTGCGGCAACCTGGCCAGATTCATCAACCACAGCTGCAATGTAAGTATAAACTTCACAGGACCATCGACATACGGATTATTAAATAGTCATAGAGTATGTGGGATAGTTGATAAGACCCATAATGTCTCACTATGAAGCCACGGGCATAGGCAGCTTTTACCTGTTCCGGATAGACTTGGACACCATCATAGATGCCACCAAGTGCGGCAACCTGGCCAGATTCATCAATCATCCACAGCTGCAATGTAAGTATAAACTTAAATCGGCTTATTACAAAACGTAGACTAAATTTTTGTTTGCTACTAAGAAGACAGAGACAACATTAGGTTAGACCAAGACTAACTAGTCCACTTTTTGGAATAAGGCCATTAAGGACTATAGATATATGGCATACATGCTTATGTGGCCAACGACGGTCATAGAGTTAGTGGGACAGATGGTAAGACCTGGACTCCATCATAGACGCCACTGGCCAGATTCATCAACCACAGCTATAATGTAAGAACAGACTTCAGAGGACTATCACTACTGTGCCCTCTAGTGAAGAATAGCTGAACTTATTGGTACATGACAGTTATGCTTCGATGAACAATTCTATAACAGGTAACGGTAACGGATTGCATATAAAATCGAAGCTAAAAACTGTCCGCGTATATTTAAACTTATGCAGCTTTATTCGATTCGCAATGAACAAAGATAAATGTTTTAAAACAGTGTAAGTTGAACCTACTAATAATTATCTCACTAATATATATATATCAAACAAAAAAAATCTAACAAAATAAAATACTTTTGCCAGTCATTGGCCAGCGAGTTACTGTGTTTTGTATTAACATAACTAATTTAAAATAAGGTCTCACTACTCAAAGAGGCTATATTTACCGAGACGGATTTTACGCGCTGACCCGTTACCTATAGAATTAAAATGGTTGATCGAAGCAGTTTTGGGGAAAAAGTTTCTTCGCATTTTATACGAAAATTAAAATATATATATATATACATTTGACTAAAGTATGTAGGTGCGTGCCATTTTGTTCGATAACTGCCATCTTCTTGGTACGAACATGATACCATATTGCTATACAAATTTTGGGGCTTCTTATCAAAATACCGCGACAAGTGGTTTTGGCAGTCCTCTCTTGATGTTAACCTGACACTGCCTAATGAATTCTGAGGAGACCAAAACGGGTGGATATCTGAAGGTGCAAGGTCAGGACTATACGGCGGATGCATTAACACCTCCCAGTCAAACTTTCTTAATTTTTGCTGAGTGGCTAAATATGGGTTTGTTATTGACAAAAGTCGAAAATATTCTTGAACCTCAATGCTGTATATGCACTCTTAATTGGATGTTGTTAGGAAATATCAAACCCCATTTCTAATAAAAACTATGCAATATTCCCTACAGCCGAATTGCTACGCGAAGATAATCACGATAGAGTCTCAAAAGAAGATAGTTATATACTCGAAACAGCAGATTGGCGTCGACGAAGAGATCACTTACGACTACAAGTTCCCTCTGGAAGACGAGAAAATCCCGTGTCTGTGCGGCGCGCCTCAGTGCCGCGGCTTCCTTAACTGATATAAGCTACAGGAATATCGCCTTTATCCCTTCACAATAACGAAACACCGAGCAGATTATTCGTGTTTTGTTTTAATAAACTCTGTATTATCGTGCTACATTTTAAACCTTGAAAAGTACTCGAAAATATATTTTCAAAGTATTTTTGAGCTATGTTTATTTTCGCACAATTATCTCGAGATCATTGTTATTTGTGGTCAATTACCAGACTGCCTTAAGTTATTTATCGACGACAGATTCTGTTATGGACTTGTACATATTACAAAAAACACGGGACATCGTCTGATTATGATAATACTAATAATGATAATCCCATATTGAAAAAATAGTCTTGACAGTAGCGCTAGCATATTTTTCGAGAATAAGGTTAGTCTGATTCTACCTCATGTAATGATATCACATCGAGATTTACTAGATGATGTCCACGGTGCCTCCAGAGCTTCCGTTACGTTAAACGTTGGATGAAGTCGGCTCAGAGGCCCAACCACGAAATTTGACAGCTCCGTAATCGCATCGTTATTGTCAAATTTTGTATTTTAAAAGCTAGTTTGTTCTTTCGTCCGATAGGGGCGCTGCTTAGTTTTCATAGAAACTTTGAGGAAGCGATACGATTACGGAGCTGTCAAAAATCTTGCTTGGGCCTCGAATCGTCACTGCGGCCAACGATTTTTGTAGCCGCAGCGGTTTCAAGCTGCCCCATGATTTAGAATCGTTTTATATATAATAACATAATAATTTGTGTGATGTGTGTGAATTTGAAAGTTTACTTCTTGTATTTAATGTGAAGATTCGGCGAATCGTGTATGTATAAATTATCTCTCAACTGTATTTGTAATATAATATAATTATACTAGTTTCGACTGAGTCTGAAAATATGTTTTATTAGACGTAGAATGTCATGATGTAATACTGTATAATTATTGTTTGTTTTGTACATTGTTTGTGAATAAAGATCTCTGCTATATTGCGCCAGGTTTATGTAGTACACTTTTCAAGTACACACTTTGTAATGGATGTTCGGTTTCGTGAACTAATGATTAGTTTGTTACTCAATTATTAGTTTCTACATTTTTAATATGATCGTATTATCCTACATAAATGAGTTTCGAAATCAAGGGGGTAAACTGATTATTTGTAATGAATTAAACTTGCGATTTTTTAAATCGCACTTCACTATGATGTTATGTAAAATGTATAAGAATGTAAATAAAAGATTCCAACATTTTACATCCTTTTTGTTTATCTAAGCATCTCTGAAGTAGCAACAGCGGCGTGCCCAAGGTTTAGATTTGGGGCCTGAAGTTTCAATAGTGCTATGCCTACTGCATTTCTTGATCAAGTATGAAGGTAAGTTAGTAGTAAGTGAGGGTAACGGGATTTCAATAGTAAAAACATAAACTTGCGCAATACAAACATATGCCACACTTAGACTCTTGTGATACCAAAACTATTACTCGCGCCCTTGTCTACTCTGACCCAATGCCCCACCCCGTGGAGCCCTGGCACCTGACAGCAACAACACCACCTAAAGGAAGTGTTATTTTACTGTGGTCTGTACTGTAAGGTTATTTCCCCAGACGGGCGCGGCCCTCAAATTCGAGCGCGAAATTCGCTAGGTCCTACCTCTCTATGTAAAATTGCAACAACGCAGGCTATCTTTCTGACGTTTATTTTCAATGAAGTTTAAATAATATCATCTATTACACTTGCACTTTGACCTGTGCCTGTGCAATGAAAGCCCACTGGTATTTCAGAAATAAATAAATAATAAACTTTATTTCTCTCCACAATCTTATACATGCTTCATGAGTAGCAGATTATAAAACTGAGGTCTAAGATTGTGAGACACTGGTGACCAAACTAAGCTGACGCCTGGGTCTCAGTGCACCAGCCTCTCCCCGCTTAAGAAAGTTACATAAGCAAAAAAAAAAGGAGAACAAAGATAAAATCTAGTTTCACATTTATATTATTTTGATATGGTATATGGTAGTGCTGGTTGTGAGTATAGTGCTTATGTGCGTGTGTAAAGTGTGTGTGTGTGCGTGTTTATGTGCATGTGTGACAGGCGCGGTCGCAGCCATAAATTTTGGAGGGGGTCACTCACTACACTAATAAAGAATAGGTATCTGGAATGAAAAAAATGTGTGCGTGTACTAGTGTACACACGTAAGAAGTGAAACTTCTTTATGGCCTTATTTTTCGAAAAATGATCTACATGCAACTTTCCAGAAATTGGTTAAATAAAGTTAAATTAGATAAAGTTTAAACAAAAGGATTTTATTATCATAGACATGAATACAAATTACTGCCTATGAAACAGTTATGATTACACGGCTCAGTAATCTAAGGCACATGTTCCACCTCCGACGATGAACGATAAGCGAGTAGAAACTAGAAACGAATTGGCAGTCCTGAGTTAAAATGCACGCGCACGGCTTTTGACAGCCAAGCCAGCTTAACCGAGCGAGTATAGCTGAGCGAGTATCGCTGAGCGAGAATCGCTGAGCGAGTATCGCTGAGCGAATATCGCTGAGCGAGTATCGCTATGCGAGTTTGGCTGAGCGAGTCTTATCTTTAATAACTATTGTCACTCAGCTACAAACGAGTAGAGAGAGTTCTCGCCGGCGACAGTGTGATCATTCAGCTATCAACTATTAATATAAAAAAAGATGGCGCGTCACGGAAAAATGTGACGCGTAACCGAAAAATGTGACGGTAAATTTTTTTCCAACGCCGATAAAGAAGTTTCACTTCAATAAACATTATTGCACAAGACACGATTTAGTTTATACATTACTTTTAAAATATTGTTATACAATCTTTATCATAACGACGCATATCGATTTTGGTAGGATTACCACAAGTACGTAGTTCGGTTCCTTGTTTCTAAACTAGTACTAGATGTCATTTCCAAGGTATTTTGGCCATCGTACGTAGTTCATAAAACAACACTAAATGTCAACAAACTATAATATCGCTGTTAGGGGGGGATAGCTAGAAATTTCTTTTTATTATTTGGCAAATTTTTGAGATTTTTCAATTTGACCTTAGATTTGGGGGAGGGGGGGGGATTCGACCCCCCCGGTCATGTCCTCTGTGACCCCCCCTTCGGACAGCGCCTGATGTGTGAGGTGTGTGTGTGCGTATGTGTGTGTGTGTTAGTGTGTGTGTGTGGACGGGGCGTGTGGGACAGGCTCGTAATTCAAGAATTCATAAGGCTTTCTTTTTCTACATAGTTTAGGTTTTGCAGGAAATTGGTGACTTTCTTCTTGCAGCAGAATCTGGTGACATGTATTGACAATTTTCGATTTAATTTGTTGTAGATAAATGGTCCAAGAAAACTATAAAAAAGAGAATTAGAGAAAGAGGTGTTAAGTATAGGAGATACATGTACATAGATTATATTTAGAACAGTACACAGGATAAACAGTTGTCTTACAGTGAGCACTTGCGTGATTTGATATAACTCAAATGTGGGAAAGAGAATTGGCTTGAACATACACACTTTAAGTATAACTCTTTGAGCACGCTCTAAGCATAAAAGGTTGGATTTGGCAGCTCCACCCCAGGTGGTAATGCCATACATGAGTAGAGATTGACAAAGTGCTGTATAAACCATTTTAATTATATGCGGCTCGGCAACATGACGTATTTTTTTGAAAACATATAAGCTTACGGATTCGGCCAGAGGTTATTTTGAGATGGGCTTTAAAGTTAAGTTTATTGTCTAATGAGACACCTACATATTTAATGGATTCCACACAAGTTAGTGAAGGGCAAGAACACGGAAAAGGAATATCAGATGAATGTGAATGGGTTATTATTTTATAAGGAATCGCAGTTGCCGGAAGAGAACGAATAGAAAAAGTTAGGTAACAAGTCTTTTGGATGTTGAGGGTTAGAAGATTACAGCGCAGCCAGTCTGAGACAAGGTTGAATCCAGACTGAGCGCAGTCAAAAACCTCCTTCCACGTGTCACCCGAGAACAAAAGGGCGGTATCATCGGCGTAGCAGACAACTTTGCAGCTGGGAACAATGAGGGAGCACAGTTCATTCATGTACACGAGGAAGAGTGTTGGGCCAAGTATACTCCCTTGCGGAACGCCATACTTTATCGAAGCATAAGAAAGAAAATAAATATCTTAGGATTAAGTGCAGACTTAAAAGAATTGTTGAACAAATCTGGGAATTTGCAAACAGTTATATTAAAACCTACAGTTCCTATAAAGCGGTTCCTCATTCCATACCAACCAGGTCCATTATCATCATCGGATATCCGTAACTGTAGGGCCTTAGGCTGGTATTACAGAATGACAACTAAATTTCTTTCATTCTGTAATACGAGCCTTAGTCTTTAAGTAAAAGCAGAATAAGCTTGGATTACTTACTCCATCCATATTTACATGTTTATTTATTTATTGCATGTCACATTAAATTCATGATGGTACATTAAATATTATGCTGGGTAAATATGTGACTCCCTTTTTTTTGAAGTTATACTTCTTTAGCCGCGTTATGAAAAAAATATGAGAGTGAAATTTTAAGATGCGCGCGCATCACTGTAACACAAAAGTAACATAATGAAGTTAGCCGCGGGCGCGTTATGAAAAAATGATGAGAGTGAAATTTTAAGATGCGCGCGCAACACTGTAACAGAAAAGTAACACCATGAAGTCGGCCGCTAAACCGCACATTACTCGTAAGTCTCGAAAAAAAGCTTCCAACAAAATAGTAATAGGATCTCTTAGTCGCACATGTTGGGACGCTCGTCGCCTCTGATCACTGTTTTCATATTTATTATTTAGTAAAACTGTAAGAATGTGCGGGAGGGCGAAGGGGGAGTGTGAGAAGACTGACGTCAAATAAAGATAGGCGTAGGTAGAAAATACTTATATTGTGATTACTATTCAATATTTGTAGGAGAAATGGTATTAATGTATCCCACAAGGGTGGAAGTACATATATACTATTATCAAGACACTAAGACGTCCCACGTGGTG